CCCCCCACCCCCACCCCCTCACTCACTCCGGACTTTTACTGGCCTACAGCCATCCTCAATTACCATGGAAAGAGAAGCAGATAAGGAGAGTATGAAATAGTGAAGCAGACAGCCCATCTCTGACAGTCCAAAAGGAAAATTATTGTAATCAGCGCAGCCTCCTTCCAAGTGTTGAGGGTCTGGATCGTGTGTGGGTTGCTAAGGGCATAACCAGAGAACATGGAGTTTTCTGGATACAGGACAAGCACAAGTTTTACTATAATGAAACACATATACTACAATGTTTATGGTACATCCAAGCAGGACCCGAAGTGCTCAGCAGTGCATTGCGCTGCTCGCCCGTCATTCCATTTCATCACCTAAATGGACAGGAGATCGTTCAGCAATGAACAAGGTGCAAAACGCTACTGCAGTGCTTTTCCTGCACAAACAGCTGGGAGTTATTAGAAATGCAGAACTGAATCTGCTGTCTATCTATCTGTGCTGCAGGAAGATCTCGGTTTGATCCACTCTAACAAGTTTTATCATGTTTGTCCTCAGTGGCAGCCTGCTTTGCATCAACGAACAAGAGCCTCAGTGTTTTCATGCTCTCTTGAAGGCTCCAAAAAGCCTGACAGTGTACTGAACACAGTACTGTGCAGCACTATTTTGTTCAGTTTAAAGTAAAAAAAGAATTCTGTGTTTTTCTAACGGCGTTTCAGATGATTATATTAGATTGATGGTCCTCTTGTTTTAAGTCATTTACAAGAGTCCAACTAACTTTGAAAAATAGTGGTGTTTGTAAAGAGTCAGATGAATGACAAAAAACTTAAATTTTCATTACATTAATTATGATACTTCCAATTCATTATAAGCATTAAAAAACATGAGCTTGAATCCTTAAATTACAGTCACTTGCTTAGTTTCAATCAGTACAAATTTGAATTTGTGTTTTTCCTAATGTGAAATTTTCATGCAGCTTAATTCCAGGAGTGGAAAGTTAATTTACTCAAGTACTGTAGTTACATATTATTTTGACATAATTTTTACTTTGTACTTTTAATGTTAATATATTAAGATCTTAGGTACAATATCATCAACAAAAACAAGAAATCATCAAACGTCCCTGTGATGAAAAATGAACATCCCGTGACAGGTGCTGCTATAGATGTCATGAGTTGTGATCCTATGCTGAGATTGAGCTGCAGTGGTTTCCCACAGATGACGGACTGGTTGACCCTGAGCCTCAGCACACTCTGGTGGATCATGCAGGCAAATACTGAGTTGGTGTTTGGTGTTTGGAGCCTGGGAGTGGCCAACCTGCTGGTGAGACTAGACTTTCCAATGCTGAGTAATCTTCTGTAGCAACTGACTGGTCTCTGGTTTGTACCCAACAGGATGTTCACATGGAGGAAACCCCCCGGAGCAGAAGATCTGTGTGCTCATGGTGTTTTCCTACAGGAAACCACTTTGGTTGTCTTCTCAGGCCTACGCATTGATCAATGTCCAGTAACTGTGAACTGTTCACATTTAGCTCAGTGAGCTCATCAAGATTACATAATTGTTAATAAACAATTGATTAATACTGTTTGGCAAGATTAGGTCTATGCCAGGAGAAAAAGACCAGTTGGGTTTAACTGCCATAGATTGATCTGATGCCATTAAAGTAAATTGCCACAGTACCTTCAAGTAAATTAAACTGTTTCATACCTTGGTAAAGTCTGTTTTCAACTTGCTAATTAGCCATGATTGATTCATTATATTAATGTGGAAACATGTGAAATCATTTGTTTAGATAAATTACGCAATTGAATTTTCATTGTTATGAAAGTGAAGGCAGTACTTAAGCAAAACAAGACAGCTATATTTATCTTGTGCAATCAAATCCAAACATTAGTTGTAAATTTAGCTATTGCTACATGGGCAACATTAGCATTAACAGCTGTTTACTTACCAGTCTTGCTGTGAGCTTCAGTCCTGTTACATTTATGAGAAAAGAGGTTATAATCCGTCCTCTGAGCAGCGCTAGTGGACACTACACTGACTCAGTATCGCAAAGTGATGCGGCGGTCTGGATCTTACGGTTGCTCCTGAACCCTGTAATACAGTCATGGCCCCAACCCTGTAGAGCAGTTTCATTTTAAAAGTGATTGAATTTTTCATTTTTTTTGTTCGATTTTCTTTATTTCAACCCAGCTAATTGTTATTCGACTCCCAAAGGTTCATCTTGCGCTCCCATTGTGTGGGGCCCCAACCGCTTGTTTTTCCCGAACTTCTAGCCGGGATCGAAAACTATATTTTCTTAGAACATCATATTAGTTTGTGCGCACCATATGCTTTTCTGTCTGTATGATGTATAAAACATGCGCTCCGGTTGCATAACAAGCACTAAAATAGATGTAAAATGTGCACATGAACGAGTAAAGTCAGTTATAGAGATTCTCAACTGATAACTACACACTTCTTTTCGATAACAAATTCGCCTTCAGGCGATCTTGTGGGAAAACGAACAGATCAAAGATGCTCTAAAATCAGTTAAAAGTCTCTTTGCTGTTTGGCTATTCATAACTGCAAGTTAACAACTGCTCCCATGATATGGCCCCACAGCCTCAGACAAGAGGAATAAAGACCTTTTAACAGTACTGGCCTTTAACTTTTTTTCCCTCATGATCATCAGAGGACTTTTTTTTTTTTTTTTTGTTCAAAACTCAGCCCCAGAGAAAAATTCCAGTCTCTTGTCCTTTTTGCAACAGTGTGAAATCAGTCTGAAGTCTGTTAAGAAGCTAAAAGGATCAAATGCTTTAAACGAATATGCAGTCGCTTTGCACACATGATAAAACTGTGCGTACAAATAATGAGGAGGCAAATTAACCAGAAAAAACTTTATGTCATCTGCCCGCCCAGCAGTATCTCATTCTGCCAGTATGTTAAAATGTGTGAATGTGGTAAAAAGTTGTCAGTATAGTTAATGAAATCTAGAGTTGGACCTAACAGCATTAGCACTCTGCTCATTTTCACTTCTACAAAACATAATAACACATTTGGATTATTACTTGAATCAACTAACATTTACAGTGGCTGGCAGTTGCTCTGAAACTTTTTAAATAACTGCCCGAAGACAACATAAAACCTCCGTGTCTAGTAACCCCTGATTCTATGCCACCACTTTGAAGCTCAGCTGTACTGGGTTGTTTTAATCAGCTCGCATGCATTAAACCGTATTTACCATGATCACTTGTATGGTTTGCCACAGAGATAAATAGTGAGCACGTCTGAGGCAAGTGGCTGAGCCCAGAAAGAAAATTCAGGGGATAATCGTGTATTAGTAATAGTTTCCATGACAGAGGTGACCATAGCATCCTTTGATGGAACAAAACAGAGCAGCATGGCACACGACGCTGCAGTCACAGAGTGGTGGAGGATGACGACCTACAGTCAATGGGCTTCTCAGAGGAGCCAGGAAAGACACTGAGAAGAGCCACACGCAGAGCATCCAGTGTGTTTCTCCCTTCAGAAGTGTTTCTCCATTAAATCTGAGCTGTGGAAAACACTCAATTATTATTTTTTTTTCAACTCATTAAGTCCCGTCTAGGCTGCAGGCCGGCTGGAGCCTTTCCCAGCATACGTTGATCACAAAGCAGGAAAATGCCCAAGACTGGGCGTCGGCCAATTGCACGGCTAATGCAGATAGACAGGCGCGGCACCTCATACCCTCAGTCAATTTAAATTCTCCATTCCACTTGACCAGCAAGGATTTTTTCAGCTGGAAAGTCCGCACAGGCCAGGAATCAAACCAGCTCTGTGTTGCTGTGAGACACCAGTGATACAACAGCATCTACAGAGCCACCATGTGGGAAACATTGATGTTTGTGTCGTTGTTTGTTCTCATCGCTACAACAACTTCTGCAACAGAGAAAAAAAAAAAAAGTAAGCACAGGTTGGAGGTCATAAAATAAACTCATACATAATCGCTGTAGTCCTATGAAACATGTTACCAGAAATTGTTATAGAAAAGATTTCCGTACCTTCCACTTTGAGAAGATGCAGAGAACTCTTCTTTCTGTGAAATAAAAGTACTTTATTTCATAGAATGTACCGTTAAGTAATAAAAGTACTACGATTCTACTATAGCACAACACTGCACCCTCAGTCTCCAGTCGGGATCTGAGACTGGGCCACTATTGGGTGACTGTATCTTTATGGTACTGCAACAGGGGAGAAACATGAATGTATAATTATGTAGATCTTATGTTTTACACATGAATGGCATGAAAATAAGCACAAATACAGCTCTACTAGAAGAATTTTATTTTACTAAATGAATTTAATTCTGATAACATGAAGCATCATTTGTCTTTGGGGCCATTGTGGCACGCAGTAAAATGTATTCAGATTTTACTGCCATTGTAATGGTAACGACTATAAATGGAGAGAAAAAAAAAGTCTTCTTGGCCAAGTGTGCATCATGTAAAATTACAGAATATGACTTCTACATAAAATTTTTCTCACAGCCCAGAAGCGGGATGCATTACTGTCTTTTTTTATGGTGCCTCTGCGAGGCAGCCAAGTTGTAAGTTTTAAAATCCTACATTTATGGGCTTTAAGAATAACATTAGTTTCTACACACAACAATATCTGAACTGTGTAACGTCCAAGTTATGACGAAATGTTTAATTAAAACACACTTACTTACTTTTTCTATGTACTTTTTTAAAGATAATATATGAGAAATATAAAAACAGACAGCTCTGAGCTGCTCTGTGCCTGACAGTTTTGAATAATTTGCCAAGTTTTCCTTCACTCGACAAATGTCCATCAAGTTGTATTAGTATTATATGTTTTTTTTGCTGCACTTGACACTGGCTCTCAAATGCCATGCCTGATAAAACTGATCGTGAACCTAAAGCAGGCTTTCACACAAGAGATTTTTGGATTTTTATTATAAAGAGCAGGTGTTTAAAGACAACTCAGACTTGTGAAATCAGTTTAAATAAAACTATCAAATGAAGATGGTCTTTTTATACAAATATATTTTGTTACCACTCTCTTTCAAATCACATAGGTCGTTTCTTTGTTCCCAGAAGTTCAGTTCAGGTTTCAGTTGCATATTTACATGAAATTTATTTGAACACACGCGTATTAACAAAAACAATCGATCATGTTTTCCTCCTTTAAGCCCAATATTCAATTCACTGTCCACATAGACGCTTTCTTCCTCTACGGGCGGTTCCTCGACCTCCGTGGTGCCGGCTGAGGTGTCCCACTGGTGGCGTTGAGCTGAGGACACCCAGAGGTGACACAGACACCCGGGGGTCCTCTGAGACCTGGGTGGCCCCTGAGTCCAGGCTGGCCTACATGTCCCCGCTCACCCTGCTTCCCTGGCTGGCCATTGAAGGCTCTGCCAGGACGTCCACGCTGACCTGTGATTAAGGCAGAAGTGTTATTTAGGCTCCAGACTTCGCAGTCTGCTCAGTTAGCTGAGTCAAGACAAAGTTGTCACTGGTTCCAAGAACAGAACATTTACAGAGAAAAATCATTTCATTTTTGGCAGATTACACGCTCTTCTTACAGTAACACATCTCCTCCCCCCTTTTCCAGGGTTCTGAAACACAGACTCGGCTGAATATAGTTTGTAAAATGTTGCTCAGGCCCAGATGTGGACGTCGATTAATGTCTCATTTCAGCCATATCATCAAACAGCATTAAATTCTAGAAGATGAAATTACCCTTTGGTCCTTGATCTCCAGTGTAGCCAGGTAGGCCATAACCCTTGGCTCCTTTATCACCTTGCTCTCCTCTGTCACCTGGAAGCCAGACACACACACACACACACACACACACACACACACACACACACACACACACACACACACAGGTTTCTGTTAGCAGGGATGACAGCAGACAGGCTGAAATGCTGTTCCCTCAGGAGTGATCTCCACTCAAGAACATGCCGTTCGTGTTGATTAAAGACCATATGTGTTACTGAGATCATTGTTAAATAAATGTTTAAAACACCTTGTAAATATTCTTCGATTTCATTGGCTTGGCATGGGAATGTAGCATGAGTGTGACATCATGCTCAGGCTGCTAACCATAAATTAGAGCCGAGAATGTACATGTTAGCCTACGGGTTTTACAGCGCTGCCGTACAGTATTTGATTCAGCGTGTTTCATACAGATTAAAGGTGACACATTTGTTCTTTCCAGCGGTGGAAAGTATCTTAATCACATATTCAAACTTTTACTTCATTTTATTTTGGAGGGAAATATTGAACTTTTACTTCACAAGATTTATTTGAATATTACTCTTTACTCATTTCTTTGGTAATCAAGATTTTACATGCAAAACATGAAGAGTTTAAATAATATGAGGCAATGTTGAAGATTAAACAGTATATAAAGAAAATTTAAATGCCGGTTCATGTAAAAATTATGACATTATACAAAAATAGGATAAAATCAAACTTTGAATGGGACATTAATTTCAGATTTAATGGTCCAAATTGATGCAGCAAAGTCCAACATATCCTCACTATTAGTCCCTTCCACTAGTCCAGGAAACTACACTTCCTATAATTCAGCATGATAGCATCTTTTGTTAGACTCTCATTGCCTGCCAAATGCCCACATCTTATCTCATCAAATTCCACGCTTCCAGTTTGCATTGCAGAGGGTCTGTTAAAAATTTGTAAAGTCCAAACACAGATAACCCCCCGATGACATCAAATGAATGGTAATGTTGCTCTACGTCTGCTAGATGTGTATAAAAGCAACTGCTCGCCGTATCGATTTTAGAAGCTGATAATATGTTAGTGATGTGTTTACAACTCGTTGTCCTGCCCCTAAGTGGCCGAAAAAAATGTCAAGGCAGGTTTAATTCTTTTTCCACCACTGGCTCTTTCTAAAACAATAACCAGTTGAATTATAGGTTTGTTGTTAATCATATTCATAAATATCTTCTGTCAGGTTTGTTTTCCGCACCTGTTTCTCCCTTTCGGCCCAGATCTCCGGCTTCTCCGTAGAATCCCTGTAGGCCCACTTCTCCATCAACACCATCATTACCAGGGTCACCCTGACAACATCATCAATAGGAAAATACACCATTAATCTTTTGGGTGTTTTCTGTATAAACCTTGCAATATTTTTTTCTTCCTAGGTTCTGTTCAAGTCATGAACTAAGGTTCCATTCACCTCTGACCTGCTTTGTAAAAAGAAACCTGTAAAGATTCTTCTGGGTGATCGTTCGATACTGAGTAAACTGAGAAAACATTGTACGGTAATTGTACATCACTATTCTTGGTTTGGCTTCAAACTCCACAACACGAGGCTTACCAGCCATAATCTAATATAGTGGAATATTTTTATATAGTAATAGCTTCAAGAGTATTTATCAGCCTGAGAGTTATTCTGATTAAAGAAGTTGTGGAACATGAATTGGTTCTACACTGTATAATAATGTGGAAAAGGCTTTCCAATCCAAGGACAGCCTTGATACTCTCCAAAAACCATTCAACACAGACCAAGTGTCTAGTCTGTGACTCCTTATTTGTCCTCATAGAGACGTGGAAAATCGTAATGTTTTCATTCCAAGGTTTTCTGCCAAATACTTCAGCTCTTTTAGTCCAGTCCAGACCATTGCAATGTGTTTGCATTTTACTCAGCCAGGGAGGCAAAAACGAACAATGTATGGAGAATTTACTGCGCTCCGGCAGTGCGTCTCAGCTAAAGGTCTGCAGGAGGTGAGCTGATACATAATAATGATTTTATTTTAAAAATAATAATAATTAAAAAAAAAAAACACCCTAGAGTGTTGATGCAACTGGCTGATCAACCTTAAACAATGAACACAAAAAACTCACAGGAGGTCCGGGGGGTCCCGTCTGTCCGGGGGGACCGGGGGCTCCCATGGGCACGTCCCCATAAAGAGGACAAACTGCAGCGCACGTCCTCTTCACTGAGTTGGCAAAGGTGGACATCTGCTCCAGCACCACTTTCTTACAAACCTCGATCACGTGCTGAGCGGGGAGGGTCGGGCCCTGTGTGACAAATCATTACCACATCCATCACTGGAGGTGACCCAACTGTGGGACATGTAATACGGATTATTACAGGACGGGGCTCGCTGAAGCAGTGGCTACCTCTCTGAAGAAATGCAGAGAACAAACAAAGCCAACAATATTTCCCTAAGCTCATTATGGATTTATAGCCACACTAAATGAAACCCTTGCTGTGAGTCACTACTAACTACGAGCCTAATGAGAAACTGTTTAAACGTGTTTTTGACACTAAAGTTGTTACCAAACACAGCGTGTGTGTGCGTGTGTGTGTGTGTGCCAGTCAGTGCAAATGATTACTCTGCTGTTTCTGTGCCATCGTTCACAGATAGATGAAGTTATAGTCAATTACAGCAGAGAATGAATAGCAGTGCTTCTCATCGTGACTACATCAAGTACTACTCTATAATGTTTGTGGGATCAGCCAAGAAAAAAAAACAAAGATTCAGAGGCTTGTATTTCACTTACTGGTGGACCTGGGGGCCCCTGAAAGCCATCTGGTCCTCCTTCACCTCGAACCCCCTTGACTCCGACAGGACCTGAACGTCCAGGTGGGCCTGCCGGGCCACGCTTCCCCCGTCCACCCTGGGGACCCTGCTCCCCCCTGCCTCCAACCTACAGAACACGTTAACAGCATCAGCAGGCCGGAATTCATGACACAGCCAGTGCATCCATCAGAGCGAGCGTACAGTGAGAAATCGCTTTTGCACGGACACAAACTTCATGGAAAGCAGTAACAAGCTTAAGATGAATTTGAATTGTAATAGGAAAATGCAGTAAGTAACAGGGCCATAGGGACAGTCAATGTGTTAATACACAAAACCTGCATTTCAAATATAATATCTGAATGTTACCATCATGTCTACAGATGCCTAAAACATGTTTGAAAAGTCGTCTGATGGAGAGATATCATGATTGTTCTGACTGTTAGGGGCCCTTGAATCTGTTCCTGCTACATAACTGTCAGTTCACTTAAGCCATACGCACAGTATTCTTCCAGTGAAGTAAACAGGTTTGCACAAACACTTTTGAGTGGTAGTATGTAATCCCATCGTCTAACAAAGAAACCAAAATTTTATGTTCGTCAAATCACGCTCTACCAACACAATCACAGCTCACCTTTCCTTTTGGGCCTTTAACTCCATTTTCTGCCTTTAAGAAAAAGAGCAAGTTCATGTTAAGAAAAAAAAAAAAAAACATGAAAAAGATGTAATGACAAGCAGAGATTAAATATTTAAGCCAGTACCTGTGAACCTTTAACTCCTTGGATTCCCTGGATTCCTGTGTCACCCTGCACAAGGCAAATGAAAAAATAAACAGTGTGGAGCAGCTTGCAAATATTTGGTCTATCAGGGTTGCACAGGTGTTCTGCTCTGTCAATGGATACATGTTTCATTCACTGGTGAACCAGAGCATCCATCAAATGAAGTGAATTTAAGGTTTTCTGATAATGTGTCAACAGGCAAATGTGAATACTTCTGTTTGTACTTGTCTCTTATATCTGTTTGTATGTCTTTTGAATGATTTGACTTTTATCCATTTTTAGAATTGACATTTACTTTTTTTAAACAGACCAGTGCCAGATTTCTACTCCAAATTTTTTTTTTAAATTTATTTATTTTTTATCAGATTTGCCACAAAAATGCCACAAAAACATAAACAGCTGAAAAGCGGTTTCTGCAGGAATATCTGCCTCTTTAATCAGCGTGGGATGTTCTGTAAACACCAAGAACAGATCCTGAGGGAGAGTTCAGCATGGGATGTGACCTCCAGTCCAGATGGGGAGAACAGGAGAGACTGAGCCAACATGCCCTGACGGGCAGCCTCTGAACTGAGCTATTGAAGTGTTTATTCTGACTCCTCATGCTGTTTTATTATGAGTTTGCTCACATGAAGCTGGGGGATGACTTGGCGATCAAAGGAAAGGCTTTAGCAGTATCATTAAGTACTAATACCTCATTTGACCTTTAATTGTTACCTAAAAATAAAGTTCTAAAAGTCTAGTGAATAAACCTGGTTTCGTAAGAGAAACCATCTGTAAATCCTAAATTTTAAGTGGCTCATTGACCCTGTAAATAATTCCTGACTAGCTACAGTAATTGTGCCATTAAATAGTAATTTTGCCTTCATTTTATATCTCTAATGGGTAATGGATGAGGATGTATTACCTTGATCCCTGGTTTTCCAGGCACACCCACGTGTCCCTGTGAAGAGATGACATGCTTTAATGTCTTGAAGAAAATGAACTAGTATTTGGGAGAGTTTAGAAAATTCATCTGGAGCACTTACAGTAGGTCCCGGTGGGCCGATAAATCCGGGTCTTCCTGGCTTCCCAGCAGAACCCTTGTAACCTCTTGGGCCCTCGAGAATAAAACATTTATTAAACCGACCTAAGGGACTGCTTTATTCTTTATCGTTTTCCTTTAAGATGGCAAACTACTTTAAGTATAGAATGTATTATGTGCTTGTCTTCAGTGACTGAAATGCCTGAAAAGTGACTTACAGTTCGGCCTTGGGGACCCATTTCTCCTTCTGGCCCCAGGGTGCCTTTCTCCCCCTGTAAAAGTCACAAATGGCAATGAATGAATCTGCCAAAAACAACTCATTTTTACATTCATTTGCAAAACCACATGAGATGAGTGAGTTACCTTTGTTCCAATTTGTCCTACTTTTCCACCAAGACCTTGTGGTCCTTGATAAGCCTGCGAGGAACAGATGACAGTTATAACAATACAAGTGCACTGCTTCCAAAATTCAGCATAGAGACATAATTATCACGAAAGTAATACCTCTATTCCTGGATCTCCGTCTCTGCCAGGTAAGCCCGGATCTCCAATAATGCCCTAGGGAGATGGTATCATTATTATAAAACAGACCATTCATTTTGGGAGTGTAAGTGAGCACCCAGGTGTGAGGCGCTGGGTGTGTCGGCAATGAACTACCTTTGGCCCGATGGTGCCGGCTCTGCCCACGGGTCCTCGGATCCCCTAATTTTAAGACAAACGACGTGCCCATCAAAATAATGCATTTTGAAATCTTTGTGAAATCAAAAGGGACACATCATTTTCCCGTCATTGTGATTATGTCATACATACAGGCGTCCCCTTCTCTCCAGGAGTTCCCCTCTCTCCAGGATCTCCCACAATACCCTGCCAAATTAACATTTGAAGAAGAAGAAATTTTAGGAGAAGTTAAGATTTTACATTTTATGCAACACATTTTGAGTCAGTTGGCAACAAGTTGAACAAATGAGCCTTCCTTCATGTATAATCCATCCCTCATGAGTAGGTTATCATTGCGGTTGAGGCGCTTCTTTCAGTGACTCACCAGCTTATGTTGATATAGTTCAGGCCCTCAGATCTCAGCTAAAATCCAGCCACATGAACTAACGTTGTTTATGGAGACAGCACATAAGCCAAAGACATAGCTGTATTCCACTGTTTTACCACATTAAAAATGATTTACTGACTCTCTGCGCTCAAATGAGGGGGTTTTGAAGATAGCAGTCACAGAATTAAGGAAGGCTTATTACAGATTATTGAACGGGAATCCCACAACAACCCACCTGCTTTCCTCTAGGCCCAGAACGCCCTATTGCACCAGTAGTCCCCCTTTCTCCCTAAAAAGACAAGCATGATGGAGTTCAATCACAATATCAATAGATAAAAAAGGACAGACAAAGGAGGAAATACGAGTACCTTAACTCCTTGAAACCCAGGAATCCCTTCATATCCTTTTTCACCTTTAACGCCCTTCAAGGAGGCCAACATGTTAGTAATACATTAATTACATAATCACTTGCAAAAGGGCTCACCACTGAGTCTGAAAGGTTAACTTACAACTTCTCCTTGTTTCCCGGACTCGCCAATGTCCCCAGGTGGTCCACGAACTCCCTGTAATTACAGTTAAAATGCCGACAATAAACCCTCTGAGTTATCTATAAAGTTATAAAAACGTTAACAGCAAACTGCACAAAACTCCAATGAAAGGTTTGTAACTTAATTAGGTGGCTCCCTAATTAAACAGGTCCAATTAAAACCTGAACCAAGCAGAGATGTTTACCTTGAAGCCAGCTGCCCCTTTTAATCCTTTCAGCCCCTTAGGACCTCTGTCTCCCTGTTAATACAACATCTCATTAAAACAAATTCGGAACATATCAGTGTAAAGAAAATGATAAATCTGGGCGTGATAAATTACCACTTGGCCCCAGAGTCCTCTCATTCCTTTCTCGCCTTTGATTCCTTCTTCACCCTGAGGACGTGCGTTTAAAGTTTCATTAATGTGTTCTGAGAACAAGCCAAACTGAGGGGCATATAGACGCTGATCTTACCTTTAGGCCTGTCTCACCAATGTTGCCATAGTCTCCTGTGTTTCCCCGGATCCCCTGCAAGACACGTTGGACTGAATCACATGCAAGACTTAAGCTTAAGCTATTTGTTTGTGAATTGAACAGCTTGTGAAATAGAGCGTAAAATGTGAACGCTGTAACGACTGTTTCCACTGAGAGAAAGTCACTAATAACTTCTGCGAGATTAAACTTTGGATGCATCAGACATCTGGCATTTGCTCCTTAAATAAACCCAGAAAGTAGCTTTTGATTTTTCTGCAGTCAGTGTGGCAAGATGGACAGGGAATAAAGAGATAAGAACGATTCAAAGTAAGAGTTGGACATACTGGGAAATACATTTATATTCACTTTCTTTCCAAGACTTGGATGCAGTCTTTTGCCTGTGTGGTAAATATTAAGCAGAAAACAGTTCTCCTGGCTCTGTCCAAAGGTAACAAAATCTCCCAGGATCCTCTAAATGTAATTGACATGCTACAGTTTGTAAAAAAAACAAACAAAAGTGTAACATAAAGAAAAAAAAAATAGTATGTAATGGAGCTGGCAAAGACTGCAGGAAGTCAGCACCTGGGGGAAAAAAGTTCAGCACATAACGCCTATAAAACTGTTGTTGTTTTTACACTTTGGTTTTTGTACAAAGTAAAACAAATGAGATATAACTTATATATAATATTACCTATATATAACCTATAACTGAGCTTTAGAGCTGCAGCTCTTCACTTTAATGTCCCTGTGACCAGAGTTGGTAGAATTTGTTTTTGGCACAGGATGGTAAAAAGGACTCAGAGTCTGTACCATAACATACAGACAGAGATAACATATTACATAATAAATAATAATTTCAATATTCCTATTCCTAGAAGTTCAAACCGAAAGCAGCGAGAACATCAAAGTAACCACATTCATTTTGTATGTGAGTCAGCGTCTTTTGGAGGCGTCTTGAGCGGTGTGGGCCTCAGAAAAGTTGAAGTTCAGGCAACTTTATGGTAAAGAGCTAAGACACGGTTCGGCGGCAAACAATCAGAATGTAGAAGTGCTCCGCTCTGGATCTTTGGACATGTTGCAATATTCCAGAGGACAGTTTGCTTAGCTTAGCACAAAGACTGGAAAAAAGGCAAAACAGCTTAAAGATAAAAACATACAACTGCAACCTCTAAAGCTCTACAATTGACATGTAGATCTGTTTTAATCTGAACAAAACAAACGTGGTTAAGCGGGGTTAGTGAGGCAAGCTAGATGCTTCTACCTGTATCCAGTTTTTACGCTGAGCTAATCATTTCTTGTAACTTCATATTTACGGCACAAATATGAGTCTCTGTCACACCATTTTTTTTTTCTTTCAAAATAACTTGTGAAAATCACACGACAAATTGAGGATAGTTACATTTAAAATGTGAACATGCTATAAATTTCAGTCACACTCACACTGGTCGTATTAGTGGAGAATATACTGCAGCCTTTTCAGCAGGATTTAGGAAACATTAGTCATTAATACAACAAAATGTACCAGTATTGTTTGCACAGATGCTGACTTCCTGGGTTGTAGAGGGACAAGTGTTTTCCAGTTGGCTGTATTTCACTGAGTCAACAAACAGATTAAACTAGGCCAGGACGCCTTTGCATTGTCAGTTTATTTGATCATCTCACCTAACACCGTTTTTAAGCAGAGTCAGCTAGGCGGAGGCTAACCTCAGAGATGGCCGACAGTACGGCGAGAGGCATGACCGTGAACTTTACGACAGTTCTAAGGCGGGTATAGCTCTGACGAGAAAAGGACCACCCACCACCTGAGATGGATAGTTCATATATCTGTGCCAGGAAATGCCCTCCTCGGATGCCAGCAGGGGAGGAGATAAACATGTTGGGGCTCTGTGATTCACATGCTGGCAGGAGGTCAAAACTCTTAACAAGTTACACAAGACAGATGTTTATTCCCAGATGTACAGCTCTGGAAATGTGCTCTGAATGTACACTGCTCTGCAGGCGTACATTTGTGTGTTCTCAGGCAGCATGGGGGATTTCCTTGAGTGCAAAGGGCATGTTATATACCAAACCATCACATATGTATAAAAAAAAAAAAAAAATCTTCCTCCTTTAAACACATGTTCTCCGGACTGTTATTAAAAGACTCTCAGATCTGCTCCAACGTAACAGTAAGCGCCAAGGATCAAAGAGATTAACAAGTCATAAATTTAAAGTGGAAATAATCACGTCTGCGGCTCCCTAAAGGATACAACTGTGAGTGTATTTGCTCTTTCACTGATCCCTGTGTAACTGGCTCCTGCAGCAGACTACTTTGTTCATTATCATTTTCTCAAACCTCCCCTCTCTTTCACAATTTGGTCTTCCTGTGGTGAATTAATCAGCCTTATCCACAAAAATAAAAACATTTAAGAAACATAACATCTGACAAATTTCACACAATGATTATGCAGACTAATGCCACTCATTACCAGACACTTTGAGGGTATGGTTATTGCTCAACTGACTGGTTTTCCTGTGTGTGTGGGATTCATTACTTTTGGCTCAGTTTCCTCCAAGTGGAAAAGCAAAGCCATTACAAAATCCTGTGATCTTGTGCCAGTTCAAGTTAAATCCTATATTCTCTGTGTTTTAGGATGCAAATGGCTATTTCAGAACTGCAAAAACAAATTTATTGTCACATCCGTATTTCTTTGTGTTTATCTTGGCCTCTTCCCTAAATCTTTTGCAAAGCGGACATGAGTTTTCAAACTATGAAAGGAGCCCCTGTGTTTACTATCGCTGAGCGCTTCTGCTTCCAGATTTGTTTCCATCCTGTCGTGTCTCGGTTGTACTTCTACTGCCATTTTCCACAGCTTCACTGCTGTCTCACAAATGAAGGTTTTACAATGTCACAATTCATTTTAACTCTTTATTGTCCAGCAAGAGGAACGGGGTGCTGCTCATGCTAAGAAGACGAAGTAAACACACCACAACACACATCCTGTGTGAGATAAGGTTTGATATCTACACGACTGAGACATACTGTACAATTATTTACCCAGTTTCCTTGTCTTCCTTGGTCTCCGGCTCCCCCTGGAAGACCTCTGTGACCCTGCAGAAGAATAAAAAAATATGTCAACACAGACTCAATTTGTCTTATTAGTGTGTTCTGCCAACTTTCACTGTGCAGGCACATTCACCTTTGGCCCTGGAGGTCCCTGAATGCCTGGTTGTCCGGGCATACATTTGCAAGATGCTCTTCCAGCTGTTAGACCGATCTCTGCATACCCTCCACACTGCCATGGGTAGATAACGGAAATGGTTTTGAAATTTCACACACATCTGTAACAGTGGGAGTGAAACATTGTTGAATCATAAGGTGACTCACCACACTGGAGAGCTCACAGCAGCCCTCTGAATAAGCCTGCTCTGGGTCACATGACACATCCATCTGCTGGAGGTCCACCTGGAAAGAGAGAGGAGATTATATGAGAAATGAAAGTTGTAATGCAAATCAATGGAAGTTGAAATATAACTTTAGATATAGAGGTATCCAAGCTGTCGACATACAGACACAGAACGATCTCCTGCAGCCCGCTTGACGATGGAGGTGTACCCTCGGCGGATAACCGGCCTTGACTCGTCAATGGACTCCACACTGACCTCCTCACAGTCAATGAGCAGCTTCACCTTCCTGCCCTTCACACTCAGCGCCAACTTGTGCCACTCTCCATCAAACAGTTTTTCCACACCATGGAAGGTCCTCAGCATCTGACTCCCACGGGGGCCAGTGTAGAAGAAGTCTAAAGAGCGCGTGTCGCCCTGGAAACGCAGGCCAACTTGATCTCGTCCCTCGGGGTCGCTGACCTGCCACAGGTTCCAGGATTTCCTGGCCGTGTCCTTGGTCACCTTAAATGTTGCAATGACGGAGTAGTCGGAGGGAAGTCCATCTGGATACACATCACTGTGGCACAAGAGTGAGGTTTGCAAGGCTGGTTAACATCATACAGAGGCTGCTTTCTTCACAAAACAACAATTGAGGGCTTTTGTGGGAACATAAGGGTTTTGTTTTAGAAGAATGTGCATAAGTTGAAACAGAGAGACTTCAGCTTTATTCATAAACCCCATATTAGCATATGAGTTGGGAAAAGTTTCAATATTCACATTTGTTTGTAACTTTTTGTGAAAATGCACTTCTTAGAGGACTACCATTCCAAGTTAATTTAATACGAACAAAGCACTTAAAGCACTAAGCCTTCCATTTTCTGCCAGGCAAAGAGAGTTCAAAGAGAAACAAGACTAAGTGACCTACAGCCATGGTAGCAGCTCTGTTAGGCTGTACCCAGGCACAACGGTGCTCTGAGCTAAACGCTAACATCAGCATGCTAACAACCATTTAGATATTAAAGTGGTGGACGGATAAACATACTGACATTGCTATCCCTAGAGTGAGGCATATAGCATGGCAAAAAACATCAGTATATTTTTGAGACACCTAAAGTATTAATATAAGGAATTATATTCATGCTAAGTGTTACTGCTATTCTCCATCTGTGAATAATTGCTTACAAAGCTCACAAATGAGACCTTATAAAGGCCAACTTAACACCCACTAAAAATCTTGTTTTTGCTAACATCCAAGGATTTAAGTTCCTACCTTGCTGTAGTGATGTACAGGTGTACTCCAGGACCCTGTGACATCACTGATGGGTGGGGTTACAGGTGCACAACAGCTTTTTCAGCCTGGTGTTCAGTTACCCTCTTAAGAGCAATATAACACCAGCCTAAAAAAGTTTCATGTCTGTTTCAACTCTGACCACACACAGCACCTGTGATGAGTGTGTTTGGGTTTGTTCAGTAGTGTGCGTAACTGCCCCAGTAACCATACCTAACAGTGATGTCACAGTGTACTAACACACCGTGGTGTACACTTCTAAATCACTGCAGCCAAGTGAGAAATCTGCAAAAATGTAATTTTCAGTTACTCTTCAATCATTTTCCAGCTCCACTGAAATTAATAACGCTCATGGAGCCTTGCACCGTACCTCATGGTCTTGCGTAGATGGATGGAGGGATTGACGCGGTAGGCCACCGCCTCAGGTTGAGAGCCATCCACCCTCCTCACTCCTCTCGACTCAGGCACACGAAACTCCTCCAGGAGATCGAAACCTCACAGCACAAACACTGAGCTTAGTTTGACATCACAGCGATTCAGCATCAAAGGTGCTGGACCACTTCTAAATCTTATGTCAGCGCTGATATCACCGATTTTTTTAAACAGTTGCATTACTCATTGTCATTAGTAGTGCCATCTCTTCACAGGTACAATGAGGTAATTCATTAAACCCATTAACATGACAAGGCTGATTATTTTCTTTCATGGGTGGATTTGGCTACTGAATTCTAAACACTGTGTGCAGTTAGAATGAGATCAGCATGGCAGCGGTGTTTCCTGTCAGGTTAAAATGCGTGGATGAGAGCTGGTGAAAGAGTCTCATTACAAATGTTAAGACTTGAGTGGAAAATAACTCAGAACACCTACTCTACAATAATGGAAAGCTTGATACCTGATGCTGCGGCATGTTAACAAATTGTTCCTTTGAATTTTAGGTAGAGTATAAGTCTGCAGAGAGGTTTTTTCTGTGAAAACACCAATCACCTGTGGTCTTTGACTTAAATATGCAGTCTTGTCTCCCTGCAGATATGTTTTACTGTCATGTTTTACTGTCAATAGGCCAACAATACACATACTGCTTCTGCTGACAGGCAGCTTTATCTGTGGGCAGAACACCACAGGTAGAAAAACATTGTGAGAACATTGTTTATTTATGGTATCAGGGAGACTCTGTTTCAGGGCTTTAAAGGTTCATGTACACAGCTTAACCCCAGCATGACCTTCTGACCCCTGAGTGCTTACACAGGCTCTGAGGGCAGGAAATATGATACTGGTTCAACTCCTGTGCAGGCAAATAGTGGACAAAGAACTGACAAACACTGACATCTGCTGGTCATGGCGCTGTAGTACATTGTTAAAGCTGGACAAAAACTAAAGTCACAGTCAGTCAAAGATCATTTATATGATATGATTACATGATTGTTGTGAAATATATTTTATATTAACCAGAAGATTCCTGACTGAGATTAAAAATCTCTTTAGCAGGAGTGTCCTTGCAAAGATAGCAGCAGCACATATAACATGTCCACTTGTGGGCAACTACACAGAAACAGCATATGCAATATGTGATGATTCAGTGTTAATATATCTATGCAGCAGGAAACATGTTGTATTCCTCAATTAAGCATGAAAAAATTCAAACTTACTTGGCAACTTCTGACATTGGGTCAATCCCAAGAAGACAAACAGTGCTGCAAACACCAGCATATCTTTGTAGGGTGGCATTTTCAAATTTTGGAAGTCAGGTGCTACAAGTGCCTGCAGTACAGCAATTAAATAAGTCAGCAATTCAATAAATTATATTCATTTATATATGTGTATACAGTGGTATAGTAGTACAGTTCACTCAAATGTGTTTTAAAACATTACATTTCTACTGTATGCATGATTATTAAAAATATAGAATATAGGAATAAAGGAAAGGAAAAAAAATGTAATGTCACTATTCTAAAAATAAGAATAGGCCTAACCTCCTGGAAGATCAAGTCAAAGTAGTGAATATTTTCTTTTAACTCCTTTTAAATAAATACTTTAATTTCTTCAATGCAATACAATTACTAAGGTTTCATAATCACATTATGTGATAAGATAATCTTCCTATAAACCCTAACACTACCTAGAACAACAGTGTCAAAAGTTGTACCCACTAAATTTTGTTCATGCAAACGTTCTCAAGTTTCACCAAATTAGAGGACACAATTACACTAATCTGCATTATCCCCTGTAGACAACTCCAATTAATATAATTCCCCACTACCTTCATTTATTTAAAAAATGCAGAAAAAATACAGAGAATATTAAAATTACTCACATATTCTTGAAAAAGACAGTCCCAGGGCTCCTGTAGATGGATCTTTTCCAGTTCCTGGTGTGAAGATATATCCCTTCTCTAAAGTGCCATCCCGGGGCCAGTGTTTGAGATGAACAGGAGGACCATTCAGAGTAGAAGCTCTCGGTCTCAGAGGAGCCTGGCCCCTGAGCTCCACTCCACCTTTAGTCCCCAGGGGATCTGTCTCTTCTCATAGGCCAGTTACACCTATACAGTCACTACAAGGTAACACAGTCCAGTAAACTGAGTCATCGTATGTAGGAAATGTAGGTGAACACACCAGGGCCTTTATGTAGGTTAAAGCTATAAGGAGAAAGTAACAGTAATGTTGAAGAATGAGCCTATACTTTAGGTTTGTTCAGTTGTGTAGCCCTGAAAAAAGTTTTGTGTATTTTACTGTGCAGAGCTTTTGTACGGCTCTTTACACATCCAATCGGTACAGCCAGAAAAAAAGACTTTTGTCGGGATTATTGATGAAACTTTGTCTATAATTGCTTTAAAAAACAGTCACACAGTTGTAGTTTATGTTCAGTGTTTTACCACCTGCATGGTCTCACTGAGAGAAAGATGTAGTATGTCACAGCTAAACACAAGACGCTCTGCAAACATTCCACCCAGAGTAAACCACACCTTCAACCTAAACCGCCACACTGGACCTGTAACTACTAGGCTACAGGGAAATTATGGGGAAAATAGATAATGGATTCAATATATGGATACAAATAGAAAAATAAAGTGTTGTAGTTCATAAAGAAATTTGGTTTTGCAAGAGATATTGACCATATTGACCAATTACCCAGCAATTGCTTTCCACCGTGGTGACCTTTAATGCCCATTCAATTATTTCAGTGCAGCAGCATGAAAAAGGGAGACGTGGGAGACAGAGACAAGGAGTTTACAGCTTTAGCAGCTGTGTGAGGCTGTGCTTAAGCTAAGTGCTAACATCAGCATGCTAACCTGTCCACAGTAACAATACTAACATTCTGATGTTTAGCATATGTTTATCATATTCACCATCTTAGTAAGCATGCTAACTTTTGCTAATAGGCACTAAACACAAACTACAGCTGCTGCTGATGGGAATGTGATGAGGTTTTATGGTCATAAACTGGTATTGAAGAATATTTTAATTCTCACCTGATGATGGTGCTATATGAGAAGAAAGGATCAGTAGGTTTCATCCTCTGGGAACCACACGTGTCTGTACAAAACTTTGACCTGATGATGGAGCTAGAAGAGGTCAGGGGATCACCAAAGTCAGTTGGATTCATCTTTTGTAAAGCACAAATACCTGTAAAGATGTCACAGTGATAGTAGAACGACACTGCCATCGCTGCTAGCATGACTCATAAAAGGTGGTTAAACCAGCAAGACAGAGAGGACTCTGTGGTTCACACCCGTCTCTGGTGGCTTTCTGCAAGCAGGTTTATTACAAAGTAATGTTACAGTAACAATTTCAGCTCTACCGAAATTAACCATACACTGACATGGATGCACACGAGAATGTCTACATGGAGTGGCACCTCGTCAAGGTCAATGCACACGCTGCTGTGAAGTGGTCAAACAAAACAGGGACTGCAGCTGCTGACAAACAAACAGGACTTGAAAGCTTCATGATTACGAGGTTTCTGCTACTTGTCTTAAATAGTGTTTTTCAAAGGTTTCTGCAGTGCTTACAGGGGTTTATTGTAGTATATTGCATTGCCCTTTAAATGCATGTTGGCAGTATATCATAGCACTTAAATAGATAATTGCAATGCCTCACATGGTACCATAATGCACCATCTACTCCAAACATCAGCATACATTAAATTACAGTACATTCAGTAACTCTCAGCGCTATCCTGCGTGTTGCCCTTCATTAGTGTGTAGAAATGTTAGTTAACCGTACAACGTAGTCATTCCCAGGTTTCCTAGTGTTCATCGAACCTCTACAGGTTTTGCATCAATAAAATAAAATACAATAAAAACAATTTGACATTTTTCACAAAAAATAAAATACATTAAAAACAAATACACAAGGCCATTAACATTCCATTCTCACATAAAATTAAATCATATTGCCTCTCAACAGAATATTTTACATCTTTGCAACAATTTAAATAACACTCAACACATTTGCAGTCTTTTAAATTAGATATCTCCAGTGTCCGTTATGTGTTTCGGGTGCAACTAGCTCCTGGGTTGTTTGTTTTCAAGGCCACTGACTATCGCTTGGATCCCTTAGCCAGTTTGCTTGTGGGAGTGGTTCTTCTTTGAGGGGTGGGGATCTTGGAGGGTTTTCCTCCACGTTGGCGGGAAGCAGAGCGCGGCGTCGCTCTGCTAGACTCTCCAACTGTCTCAGACATATCCGAGCACACAGACTGGATGTCTGAGATGTCGAAGTCAGAGGCGTCACTACCTCTGCGACTGCTCCCTCTGCTTCCGGCTTTGCTTCCAGGTCGGCTGGAAGTTCTTCTTGAATCTAGAAACATAAAATCAAGAAACAATAATTATTCACTACGAACAATAATTAATGAAGCACTAAGAATTAGCCCAGAGGTAGCAGCCACTATTGGCACAGTGCCATAGCAGTTACAGTTCACCATGACCTCTTATTTACACATCCAGACATGGAGCAACATTATCATTTACTTGGATTTAATAGCTTCTGGTCACCTAAGAGTTTTAATGCTGAACAGCATTAAAACAGCAACATGTTGAGGCTGGTAAAGACGCTGATGAGAGCCGTGACAGTGAACCACAACAATAAATTTGCAGGCCTGAAAATCAAAGCAATGGGCTAAAAGACACTAAAATGCTCTGTAGAGTTGAGATGAACTCCTGAGTGAAGTGATACTTATTTGAAGGTTTGTTACTGTGGGCAACTTCTTTCACACAAAAGTAATCATGTCATCCATTTTTAATATAAAAATATTGATCATCATCAGCTTTAATCAACCGTTTTAATGCCTGTTCTGGACCATTATCTGCACAGTGTTCATGTACTTCTTAACATAGCTAACTCTCTGATGCATTGTCTTACTAATACCACATTCTAACTGTTAGCTTAGTTGGTATTTTTACTTATTTTTCTTTTCTCTTGTGGACTATATATATATAAAGAGGGGTCCACTGACCAGTGCAACAACAGAGAAAAACACATTTTCTTCCAATTATAAGCAAAAGAGTGACTGAAGATGCTCTCTACTCACCGCCTATTGTCTGTGCTCGAGCTTTCAGTACAGCAGCGCTGATCAAGCTTCCCTCCTCGCCGGACTGAAATCCTTTGCCTGACAAGTACCCAGGAAGACGCAATTTGCTGCCTTGGACTGGTGTACTCTGTAAAAGACGGTACTTAGTTCCATTTGTAATCAATTGCAGTTAACTTTGCAGTATGGGGACAGTGTTTTAGATAATGGTCCTTATCAACTGAAGAATGTAACAAGTTGTACCAGAAAGCACTATAAATATTATTGAGTTAGTTTTAAATTTTATGAAAAAATCCTTGTAAAATCATTATTTCAGCAACAACTGGGGAATTGTTTTTAGAAGCAGTTAGTATTTGAGTCATATGTTAAACCTGCAGCGTTTATACATCATTAAACAATCACACATGCACAGATTTAATACAAAGTTGTTCATTTCAAAAGGGGTATTAAAATGAGGCAGATATTTTTGTCAGGCAAGAATTAAACGTCCAGCCCATTAGTAATCAAAGACAGTTTATAGACCCAACTGAAATCTCTAACAAATACAACTTGAGCTCTATCTTAAGTCCAATGTGTTTCAGGTTTTTATCACAGGATTAAATGGAAATTAGTAAAGGTATACAGTATGTATGAGACCAGGTTTGCATGTTTTTATTGTCTTTTTTCATAATTAATCGATGGATTTCGGTTGGGTCATAAATCTGAAGTGTTCCACATCTTTTATGTGACTATACCTCTGAGGATGAACCTTGGCTCCCAAAGGAGTCTGATGATTTAAGAGGAGTGGAGGGTTTGCTGTTTGTAAGCCAGGGCTTATCATAATTGCGGGTTATGTGTTGGGGAGTCTGAGGAACAATGGCAAATCAAAAAACACAGACATGGATTCACAAATCAAAAACTACAAGAAACGCTAGATGGAAGAAACACAAAAAAACCCCAAAACACAGGAAAATGATCAGATAATGTAACATAAATTAATTAAGGCAGATAAATAAGAGTGAAATCATAGTGCGGGATGATCAGTCTACTGACAGACAACTAAAAAACAACTGGCTCTCACAGCGGGGTGGAGCCTCTCACCTTGGGTGTACTAGTCAGTGCGTGGTGTGCTGGGACCGGACAGCTCTGACTGGAGGTGGATCTGTTGGGAGAAGCTCCTCTGGACGACGGCCGAGATCTCCGGCCTCGGTAGCGGAAGCTCGCCATCACCTGGGTGGTGCCTTCTGGGAGGATGAACTTCTCCCGCAGCTCCATGTTGGTCCTGCCTTTAGCTACAAAAATACACTCCGAATGAGCCACATTGCATGAATACGAGTATGATTATTTTTTATTAGTATTTTTGTGTTGATGATGATGTGAGTTAACACTTTATTTTCCACTTTCCTAAGTTCCTAATAACTTCACAATATTTCCTGGGAAGTTTCCTGGAAATTACTACAGTATGTAATTTGGTCCTGATTATAGGAAATTTCCTTGAACGCAAATGTTTATCGATTATTCATTTACTAATAGAAACTTCACTTTTCATAAATGTAGAATTGTGTGCCTGGCTGTGGAGAAATTTCCCATTTTGGCACAGTTTCTGTTTTCCCTATAATTAGCGCACTACACAGGGATTTTCCAGGAAACCTCTGAAAAAAATCATTGGGAGTATATTGGGAAAATACAGATAAAATCCAGAAAATAAAGTGTTACCATGATGTGACAGTCTGCTTTTAAATGAAGCAGAATACTAACAATGAATTAAAATAAAAGTTGGGATTAAAATACTGAATAAACAATGAAAACATAAGACCCCATGCGGTGTCACATCTCATCCATACTGTCCAGTTACTGCTGCAACAGTAGTGGAATAAACTTTTTGTTTCTCAACGAGCGATACCTCTTTGTTTGCTTAGACTGCTGATCCAATGGTGGAAAAATTATAATAAATCAAAATGTGCCAAAACACTCCCCCACCACAAGTGCCCAAATAAGAAGAATTACAAAACCAAGAAAACATTAACTACACAGAATAAACCAAACAGACTTTTCACCAGTTGTATTAAAAACAAACTGGCTTACATGCAGTTTGAATCACTAAGCCACGCTGTCAGTAAACAATGCAATTAATACTGTTTCAGAGACAGATTAATCATTTTTCCCCAATGATGATGCAAGGCAGTTTGATTTTTACGAGTTATACATCAGCCAAGCATCTGTTGAACCTTTCACGTGGTTTTCAAATGCCTGTGTGTTTGATTGTCAAGCAAACCTGAAAACTGCAAAAGAAGCTCAGCTCAGAAGCGCTCGCTACATGCTGAGAGAGAAGAAAAGAGCCATTGGTGGGCAATCAAGTCCCCCCCCCCGAAAAAAAACAGAAAACAGCGCCTTCGAGAAGGTGTCAGCAGGTGATGTGACTCACACAAACAACTGCATGCATGAAAAACCAGCAGGAGATGAATGACAGTTGGTTTGTGATGAGTGGAGCTGGTTCACACAGCGCGAGATACGCCATTCATTCACGCTCACACACAGTTACGGTGGTTACACACACCGGGCACCAACACAAGCAGCACACACTCGGATGTGCAGACACACATACCACTGTCGGGTTCATGGAGCAAGGTGAGAAAGTGTGAGATTTGCCAACCTATAGGAGACTGAGTAATTGAAGAGTTTGATTCCGAGCGCAACATTTTGCTCCCGTGGTGATGAACTAGAAGAAATGATATCATGTTCAGCAGGGGGAAGGTTAGAAGAAAGCAGAAACAAGCACATAAAGCTTTTGCACTGGACGCAGTCACAGAGAGGAAGTTTTCATACTGATACACATGTTGGTGCAGTTTTTTTTTACTATATCTATTTTCTTTTTTTTTTGAGTTCGGGAGGTGTTGAGTTGAGATAGCAAGAACAGACTTTAGGAATAAAGCAAATAACAGCAGACATGATCCCAAAATAAAGCTCATTTAACAAAGAGAAAAGACAAGACAGTCACGGTGGTTACTTCTACTTATATTTAAACTGAGGATTAGACTCTTAAGCTCCAAAGCCTTTGATGGATCAGAAACCAAGAAAACACTAATCCTTTTACGGTCAGTTATTCTGAATTAATATACTTAGAAATGAAACACAGTGATGACACTAATAATATTACACATCATTTTGGTGTATGAATCAATAAATGTCACTGTTTCTCACTGGATCTTCACTCTGTGTCTGTTAAAAGATTGATAAAATAATATTTATAATAATAATAACAATAATCTTTATCAACCGTGACTATGCATACAGTGTTGGTACAAAAATGTTTTTGTAAATCAAAAATTGGACAGTCAAAATTAGATTCATGGAGACCTCAGTTTCCTAAAGAGATAAAAAATAGATTAATCACTCAAAAAGGAATATTCTTGTCAATTTATACTCCCTTAAAGGCCAAACCATTTCATCACACACTAACAAAGAAAATATAAATGAACACAGTGTTTTCACGCAGTGCCTCACTGTGACTTCTTGTGGTGAACTTTTGAACTCACCTCGACAGGGGTCATTCTTCACCAGGAACTCATCCAGAGCCATCCAGCCTCCGCCCACCCGCACCATCACAGTGCTACGTAAAATGCGCACCAGACGAAGCTGCTGAGAGTCTCCGAACTATACGGCGGGGGAGGGAAGAGAGAAAAGGGGACGTGTGAACAACACTGGGCTGTGTGTGAGACAAATCTCCTCACTGCAGGCTAGAAGCTGTGCAACACTGGAAACCAGAGTGGTGCGGAGGATCAAATTTATTCCGATTGATTGATTTATCACTGTGTTTCGTGGAATCAACTTTAATCAGGAGTATTTCATTTGAAGTTTCAAAAATGATGCATCCATCAAAGATGCTTTACGTCCACTTCTGATTTCCTTTCCATGTTTACACAAACAGGAATTTTGACACAACATCAATTTTCAGTTTTCATTCTCAAAGACACAAATTACACAAAGGTCAGTCCAACTGGTTTCCTCTATTAGCGTGTGCCGGTGTATGTTACTCAAATGTATCATTCTAAAATTTCTATGTGAGTAACTATGTGAGTTCATTAATACTAAATGAGTTAATGCTAAAATATATATATTTTTTATTTTCTCATACTACAAAAAAAAGTACAAGAATCTAATGTCGAGCCTGACTAGTTTATTGTTGGGTCAATATTATTAGCTAGATTTGTGTATGTAAAATATTGTACTGTATATATGTATATATGTATATATTTTAGCCAATAAGAAACAAAATAACACAATAAAATACAGAAAAATGACTACTAGTTACTTGGAAACAGCAGTCATCATCAGATAATTGATTAATATTTCACTATCACATAGTGTAATATAAATAGAATCAATGTAGATAACAGTCAGGCTCCACATTGATATCTGTACAATGTTATTACTCGAGTGATTTCTGCTCGCATATATTTTCAGCATGTAATGTCTGACTTTATCGTCTAGCTTCAGTTTGCTGCCGTTACTGCAGGTTGAGCTGTGAAAAAAACATTAACTGAAGGCACATTATTATACCACCAGGAGGCACTGTTGTATAATAATCTGCCTTCACCTTTCCAACCACACATACCAAACGTTCAGTACACTGAGCATGTCATGGATGTGAATGGTTCAAGCTTCATGGGGTGGACACGAGACAGACGTCAGCCAGTTGGATATGACCATGAGCATTAGCACAAAAACAAAAGAATTCACACAATCACAGCCGCATGCTTTCCGTCAAAAAAACAAAAAACAAACACAATCTCACACCATGATCGAATGGACAAACAGCAATCTCCTGCAATCCAGCACTTTGTTGCACTTTCTACAACTACGACTCAAATATTCAGGATGCATTGACACTGATGCAGATCCAATGCAGCTAGCTCCGATGACACACTGAGAACAACATGAGGAATGGTTCAAATCATTTCTGTCTAATCCACCACAGTGTGACACGTAGACATGACCAAACACTGATGACCCTCCACTAAATTGCCTATTATATCATGGTATCTCTTAAACTGGCAACAAAATCTTGCACTTGTATGATTATCAGAATGATTTAATGCCACTGGTGATTTAAGTGATCAAATACATTAAAGGTGAGGATGATCTGGAGGAAAAAAGAGGCACAAGAAACATCTTAAGAATAACCATTTACCAGAATACAGCTTTCCAAAACCGCAACGTGTAGGTGGGGGGTAAGATTTTGATTTTCCCTGTTTGCTATTGTCTCATCGCCGATTAAGGAGTCATGTAAGCAGTGAACCAGACCAAACTGTCAAAAGATATATTTCAATTCAATGTAGTGTGACACAGCAATACAAACTAGTTCACAAACCACCACTGATGCCCCTATCCCCTCTCACTGACATCATTAATCCAACAAGCTTCAGAAAGCATGTGACACAATAAACCCGCATCAGTCGTGAGTTTTACATTACAACATGCAGTTTGTCAAGACAAAATATTAACTCAGCAGGTACAATGAAAAGTAAAGTGTTCATTAAAATCATCAAGGCTGCCCAGCTATGAAAACAAATTAATAAACAGTGTCAGTTACATAAAAGTGTGTCAGCCAATGTTGAGGTAAAATCATTCCCATGGTACTGAAGCGCCAGAGGCAAGCACACAGAAAGCATTATTTCCCAAAATGCCCAGCAGATGAATTTATGCCCGTGGACCAATAATAAAAAAATATGGGCTGAAATGGTACTGGCACGCTAATATTGTATTCTCTGAAACTCAAAAGCAGATATATAAACATATGCTACACTGCTTTTCACCTGGATTCTTCTTTTGCAACAAAACAAAAATGTATGTTAAAAATTTCTATAATCACAAAAAAACAAAACAAAACAAAACTTAAAACACAGAGGTGCCTTTAATGACTCTTTAGTTAGTCATTTTAAATAAAACTTCATGTTCAGATTATATTCAGCAACCATAAATTGTTAGATCTACGGCCAGTGTTCCATGTGGATTAAATCAGATGGCCACAGATCTTTATTTCTACTTCTGAGTTCCAGTCTGTAAACATCAGCCAGGAATCTGGGCAGAGAGTGTTAATTGGACAACAAACATGGTAAATGAAAGAAGGCGTAAGGCACAGAACAGAAAGAGAAAAACACAAGAGGACATTCATATGTACCTGGTTTCCAAGGTAGAACTGGTGATGCGAGGAACAATAAAAACATGGAAAGGTTAGAGTTTTTATTGGCACATTTTTCAGCATACTCATCACTTACCTTCACAAAGATCTCCCCGTGAAAATAAGAAACTTTAGTTTCTAAAACATTTCATGATCATGGCAAAGTGATAGTGTGCATTTGCAGAAAAAAATGAAGGATTTCCAGCAGGTGAAAATCTCTCTCACCCGGTATTTGTTGGCACCAATTTGCTCCACTTGGAATCGTTTTGGACATTTGCATTTTGCCACTTGACGTGTGACCTACAAACAGAGAAATGATTTTATTGAACCCTGATTCTAAAAACCTGAGAATTATTTTGAAATTGAGGGCACGAGAGTTCGTATTACCTCATCTTCAATTTTGTCTGCGTCTGTTAGTGGTTTGTAAGCGTCTTTGTTGGGATGAAGAGCTGCCACAAACTCATAGTAGTCAATGTAGCCGTCCCCGTCTCTGTCAAAGATGTCTGCCACGGCGCTCATCTCCAGACGACTGGTGGGGAATTCTGTTGAGGAGAACATTAAGTTAAAAGTTAAACATTAAAAAAAAAAGGCATTCTGCTGGCAGGGATGCTCGCTGTTCAGCTCATATGCTGGACACTTACTGGAGGAGAGAATGCCCTCTATGAACTCCTGTCGGGTCACCTTGCCGTCTTGATCTTTGTCGATGCGGCGGAAGAAGTCCATGACACGAGACTTCTTATGGTTCATCCAGCGCATGTAGCGCTTCCGCCACACATCAAAGTCAAAGTTGGCAAATTCCTTCAACTGCACCGAAAAAAAAAAAGATGACGTAAACAACCAGAACAGCACAAATTTGCAGAATAAGTGTGCGTGCGATAACACTGAGAGCAGGTCTGAGGGCTCCATTACCTCCTCCAGCCTGTCCAGGGCATCATTGAGTTTCCTCCTTCTGTCCAAGGCCAGCAGCCACACGTGCTGCCACTTAGTGACCAGCAGGTTGACCCGGGGGTTCTTGGTTTCAATGGGAGGTTGTGTTGCTGACGCATACATCGTTTGTGTGGGAGAACGTTTTCCTGCAAATGAAAGACAAAAGCCTTCATGGTGACTTGTGTTCTCTCCGTGTAATCAGGAGGAATAGATTAGCAATGACATCATTCCAGGTGATAAAGCAGGAAATGAAGAGGATGTCGCGTCACCCTGCAGTGACTCAACACTTGGCCAGATGGCTCAGGTCACGCTCTACGAGGGGTATTTGTGGGATACATACTTCCTGCTCTTCCTTTGTCGAGCACAGGGATCTGAGACTGGATTTGGGGCTCCACAGCAGCCTTCCTTTTGTGTGTCTTGGTGATTTTGTCAACATCTGGTTGCTTCCTGGTCATTTCCTCCATGAATGCCTGCAGGGAACAGCAACAATAACGCCTCCAGCTTCCATCATGTACTCCGAAGGTAGTCAACTACTTTAATCACAGATAGCCAGGGGACCATCTTGGCAATAACAGAAATAGTAAGAGAGCAATTTGCTCCTCAAAACCTCCTCAAAATAAAACAACAGTTTAAATGACCGAAAAGCAGCTCTACTTTACCTGATGTTCTGCTATGAGGCCTTTGACCTCTTTGATCTCCTGCGGCAGCGCCTCCTTGTCCTTATCGTTGAGGTTGGTCTCAGCCCACTGCAGCCAGGTCAGCAGATTCTCCAGCAGCTCCTGAGTGGCCAACAGCTCAGTGAGGGCCGTGGCCAGTCGCTGCTGGTGCTGCCGGGCCCAAGCCTGCACCTGTAACAGCAACATTACACACATTACTGCATGCTAAACAGGGAACACATACTGCATCACATATGTGGAAATGTTATGCTAAAGCTACATCAGGCAACTATCCCCACCTCCACTGTACATGGTATTGTAGCGTGAGGCATCCAAACGGTGTAATTGTGCCCGGTAATACATGTGTGTGTGTGTCTGTGTGTGTGTGTGTGTGTGACAGAGAAGAAAGGCATGTATGCAGACAGGCTGCTGTGAGCTGACCTCTTCGAACCGGGCTTTAATGATGGTGTTCCAGTGTTTGATGGTTGTGATGGAGTCTGGATGGCAGATGCTCAGAATGGCCTCCCCCATACTGGTTGCCTTATTTAGAGCCACTCGCTTTTCCTCCAGTTTCTTCATGAACTCCTTAAAAATAGCAAATGGCAAAGAGTTTAGATTTGCAGTTGGATGATCGTCAGCAAACATAAAAATGGACACATTGCTCATAAAGGTTGTTTAAACACCAGAGCGAAGCAGAGCTATTTCAATCAGATGAAATCATAGTTAAGAAAAATATTTCTGCGTTGTTGGCATGGATGATGGCATAGCAGCTACTTGAGGACAACTGGGGCCTTAACAGGTCACTAAAGCAGAAGACGCCAGCATGTTTCATTTCTTTACTGAAATAACCGAAACTGTCAAAGTAAAAATGCAAATATAAACTTAAAGTTTCGCTCAAGATAAAAGAATATAAATGTTTGCACTGCTTGCCTTGTGCTGTTCGATAAGCGCCCGCAGAGCCTCCTCATCATCAGGCAGGCTGCCATGGAAACGCAAACTCTGCTCTGCCTCAGCCAGCCACTCCAGCAGGATATGAACAGTAGAGTGAAACTCCTCAGCCTGTAGTAAAAAAAAAACAACAACAAAAAAAAAAAAACACAGTTCATGTTAGACTCATAGACTCAGTTTACCTTCTATCAAACAACTGTCGGGGCTCTGCAGTACCTGACACAGGGCCTGCTCCAGCCGGGCCTGTTTGGACACCGACAGGTTGCACACCGTCTCCCAGCGAGTGCTCAGCTCCTGCATCTGGACTTTGACCCAGGACGAGTCATCGTGACTGCTGTCGATCAGCTCCCTGGCTGAACGTTTGAGGGCCTGAACGCTTACTGTCCTCTTTCCCAACTCCTTCTGGAAAACCTGCAGAGGACATGACACAGTCAGACAACGTGAGTCCAGCCATAACATACTGAAACGGGACATCAAAAGTTATCCAGCTGCTTTGAAAAAGCAAAGAACAGAATGACCTCTGTTGCTGATGCAACACAGTTATTATTAATAATAACACTGGAAATGAGAAACATAACAGCAGGTTTTCCACACACCCTTGCTGGACAGAACAGGCACTCTCAGTGGAAAGGTACTACAATGCCTACAAGCCCTGTTGTTGTTTAAATTTATAGTCCAACCCTGGTGTGGTTTATGTGTCCTCTGTCTTCTATTGTGGTAAGAAACAGCAATGAATAAACCTCAGCGATGAAAGGAAAAGGCAGTGTTAATGCAGCAATGAAAACTTTTATTCTGGTTTTCGACGCTGGGTTTTCAACGGTACCACTAAAAGAGCAGTGATCAACCAGCAGATCATCAAATGTGGGACAGTCTGTGCCCCTGGTGGTTTACCTTGTGGTTGTCTATCAGGTTGAGAACCAGGTCTATGTCTCCATGTACGGGCTGGTCCTCAGCCATCTGAGGTTCCACTCTGTACAGCCAGTCAATAAGAGCCTGGAGAGCATCTGTAAATTGGCCGGAGAACAGCAGGGCCTCCTCCAGCTTGTTTTGTCTAGAGGACAGTGCAAATCGTTGACAGTGAATGAAGAGGTGTTTTAGGAACACTGCAAATAGTCTGACTTGTAGTTGGTGGGATAAAAATAGGGCAACAAACGTGGGAAGATGTATCCGTACCTTTCTATCGACTTGCCACAGACAGTGTCCCACTTGTCCCTCAGTTCACTCAGCATGTCGTCCAGCTTCTGATTATCGTCCTGAAGGGAGGTCTTGTCTTTCAGGGACCGTCCTGTCCGGGCGGTGGTGTCGTACACTGAGTGTTTGCTGCCCAGAGCTTTCTGGAACTCCTGTATATGAAAAATAAAAAGTCATTCCTCCATCCAATAAAGTAATTCTACTGTATTTAGAAAAAGAAAGAGCTGTTAAGAGTTGTATTTAGGGGGATTTCTTTAAGTCTTTGGTTGCACACAGTTACAGGGAACCTTCTCAAGGGATTTTCTTCTTACTACTGTTGGTATGTCAGACAGTATCCTAATCTGTGTGTGTTTTGTGATTAAGAAGACACTATTCAGCGAGGGGAAACAAAAAAAGGGGGTCAAAACTCAAGAGCCACTGCTCCGAAGAGATTAAAAGTATCCAAAAGCAAGGTCACCCCTGATACATTTGGTCCATCCTGGGATTATGACAGGATTAGCACGATCTCCCCATATAACACTGCACAGAAAACAAAAGGGACTGGGCGGCCTATAACACAAGCAAATGCACGACTAATGCGTTCAGTAGATACTGTAATTCCTATAAATATCTTTTACTGCTGGAATTATCTACTTCCATTGCCTCATGATTCTGGCTCGCACAAAATGGTTCGGATGCTGACGTTGTTTCTGTTAACTCAATGAAACTCAGCTGTAGATGCTGTCAAAGCTCCATGGCTATTTGAACTTTCATTCTTTTCCCATTAAACCGCGATAAGACGATGCTCAGTCACCTTGTGCTGCGCCAGCTGCGTCTTGATTTTGTCCGGATCGTTGGCAATTTCCACCTCCGAGTCCAGAGCCTTCTCAGATTCGTCCAACCACTCCATCAGTTTATTCCAAGTTTCATGGAACTAATGAAGGATAGAGAAACAAACGCAGTGTAAAGCATTTTGAAAAAAAAAAAAAGAAAAAGAGAAGGTATGATTTCACTTGATTTATCGCAGAGTCCTGTTTAATGTTCACATGATTAGGTTTTCAGGCCCAAGGAACGAAAGAGGCCCACGCTAATGAAAACGCTATAACAAGCTGCAGGCGGAATATGGAAGAAGCTTTATATACTATTTCCAGAGCTTTCCAGTGATAATAAAAAAGTCCAAACAGCGGTGAAACATTGCCTATTTCAAACCAAGAATAAACATGAGCAGAGCAGTACCTGTTTGGCCCTCTTCCTGGTGTCATCCAGCAGCCGGCCGCGCTCGACAGATCTCTGCACCAGCTTCTCCCAGCGGCCTTGCACGCTGAGCAGCAGGTTCTTGATCAGGACCACATCCTGTTTCTGGCTGAAGTACTTCAAGTGCGTTCCTGTCTTGTCCAGTTCGATGATGTGCTCTCTGTGGGAGTTCACCTCTGTCACGAACATCTGCACAAATACGCACAGCAGCAGCGCGGCGCAGCAGAGAGGAGAGAGGTTAAGGTCGGGTGTAAAGAGGAGGTCGTGTAATTCATATGATTAATGTGTTAATTAGCTTTGTACTGAAAAAAAAAGAAAAGCAGATGGAGTTATTAAGTCATTGATGGCAAGGCAGAAGGGTGAATTAGCAAACATTAACTGCTATTTTTATATGTGATACTGATATTATTTATAATCTTTCACCGGCTAAAGAAATTACACACTATCGCGGCAGCTGAATAAAAGCAAAGTTGGACGAATACGCTTCAACTTGGCACAGATAAACCTATCATAGCACGAACATTTAAAAGAAATGTCTCGTCATCAGCGTTTCATTTCGCTTCGCGGACTGCGTAATCCTCCTCTCCGTGCAAACATTACCTTATGCTCATCAATCTGAAACATGATGGTCTCCAGAATGAGGGAAGCGGGGGAAACCATGTTGAGCGTCTGCTCTGCTTGGGTCAGCCAGTTGATGAAGTCCTGCAGAGAGTTGTGGAAATCCGTGGCCAGTGTCAAGGCCTCTTCTAGTTTCACCTGCAGACACAACACATCATCAGGGCCTCTTGTATAGTAATGGAAATAATTCTGTTATATTTTCTCGCTCGCTATTATAATCACACTATTCCATGCTGAAAACAAACCATCTGGTTGCTACAACATTTGATGAAGAGGGGAGGACTAAACAATTATGTTTCAATTGTGCCAAATCTGGTCTCCATTGAAACAGAGGAAGTTAGCATCTCTGGAGAGGCTGATGGCGAAGCAGTAATGGAGAGATGAGCTTTTAATTGAATGAGAGAAACATCCACAGCGTCTCCACTGCGGAAAAACATCCGTTTGCTACAGCCGAGGCCGCTGGCGCAGGCTCATCGCATGACAGTAACTGCCGTGTTAATGACATTACAAACATGATGAGAGCTACGAGCATTAATATGTTTGCCTCATACGTTGTGGGTCACGTTGAGAGTCCTGCTAAATATGGAATTGTAGTTTAAGTCCCCACATATTTTATTTTTATTTGAAGACTCTGTGTGCGACACACCACAGTGTCACACTGCTTGCTGAGAGATTGGCCAGCAGCTGCAACTCTGCGCAGCTCTAAGATTTACCAGACTTTACATTCCCTGGGAACAGGACCAAAGTAAATAGGAAGCAAAAGCAAAATGTTACAGCAAACGCTCAGGCAGCCAGAATGAGGAGCTCCTTATCTGGAGTGAGAGCGGGAAGGCAGAGATGATTTATCTTTTTGTCATGAAGTGTTGATGTTTATTTATTGTAGCAACAAAAGTGAGAACCTGTTGTTCTAATGGTGTAACATATAAATACAATAAGCACAATATAGTGAGTGATGTCTTTATTTTGGCTCAGAGGTAATTTTAGCTCTACTATTTATTTAATGCACTTGTCAGCTCTTCGCTATGGCAACAAATGAGACAAGACCACTGTTGTTCCACGCTGACTCAGACAGCAACTTGCCCGCTGTGATCTACAGTGTGACCACATCCTGTGTGTGTCCTTGCCAGCACTCTGTCCTTACACCATTCATTATCGGCACTGGGATTAGAGGCTTTCAGCTACAGAGTCATGGCTCAAGTGCATGTCAGCGATCACTCGCCGGGGCCTAAATCTCAAGTTGTGAATCATTAAGCTAAGAGCAGCGAGAGCACATCCAGCGACTCCATACCTTCCTTTCAGCGACCTTCCCCTGCACGGCTTCCCATTTCTCCTTCAGGTTGGCGAGGTCCTGCTCCGTGTTGCTGTCGGGACCCTCGGGCGCCATCATGAGCAGCTGCTGACCCTTGTTCAACAGCTCCCGATACAGCTCCTCCTTCGCCTCCAAGGCAGAACACAACTCCTGCAAGAAAACGCACACACACAATGACATGAAGAGGGAGACGCTTTCGTCACACAGACTAAGTTACAGTTAAAGACAGTTCTACTTTTACTTTTTGGTTTTGTACAGCGATCAAAGTGTATGTAATGAATTTGTCTGCGGTTCGTCCAAAACCATTCCAAAAATGGTGAAAGAATGAACACAGTGAGGCACACAGACTCTCAGAGGCATGTTCCCACAGACAATTAAACTGTATAATGTTACTAATTTGATAAAAGTTATTGCTTTCAAGTAATCCCTCTGTTTTTGGTTTAATGAAATGACAGTGCTGGTGCTTCTTTGCTGTGAAAGTGTCTTGAGCTTCTCCATTAGAGAGAGGGAAAACAAAGAAGGAAAACATTCCTAAATTCATTATAGTCAGACAAGCCCGAATCAATTCGAAACACTTTAAAAGCTTTTTTGTCATCTCCTGCAAGGGGGGGGGTGTGTGCAAGTAGTGTATTTTGCAGTGTCATTTAATTTTCACACTTCAGATAAAACACAGAAAAGACACAGTCGTCTCCTTACAAGCCCCGCCATCTGTATGCGGCCTTTCATATTGTTAAACACATACCAGATGGGCGTTAAGCTGCTCCCGGGCCGTGTCTGGTAAGCCTCCCACAGCCTTTGATGCCAACAGCTGACGTTCTGTGTCTTTCAGCCATTGCTGCATATCTTCTATCTCACCATGGAAACCTTGGGCCTACAACACAATACAACCTGAGTCAGGACAAAAGGTGTCTCACACACACGCATTGTTAGCAACCTATGTCTCAGAGAGGAGGATGTCAGAGTTATTAATTCCATCGATTCATTTAGCTACTGAAAAAACTGACTATCTGCAGTGTTCAGCAGTAAAATTAAAATAAAAAACATAAACGTAATTAATTAAAGCTTTGATTAAAAATCACAAACTTTTTTTTTTTCATTAAATGTTAAAACTGTTACAATTGAATTGAAATGAAATGTTCTTTAATTTTGTTTTTGTCACTTTTTTTCTGATAAATTCTCTCATCAGTGAAAACACTCATAGATTATGAACTTTTCAAACATTTCTTGAATAAAAATCAAAATCCATGGGATATTTCCGTTCCTCATATCCCCCGTCACATCACAGCAGCCCCCTAAATGTCAAAGTTATGAATAAAAACTCCACAGGATGCAGAAGGAATGAGGAGGGGAAAAGATAGGAGTCACTCATCCAGAAAGACCTTAACATATTTGTTCCCCTGGGGGAAAGGATTCACTCACAGCTTATTAAACAATAAATAATGATAAATGAGGTCAGTGCTTATGAACTTTTTTTTTTTATACCTGAACCAGAGCACTCTCCAGTTGTTGCTTCCTCTGGTCCGTCTTCTCCAGGATAGCTTTCCACCGCTGGTTGAGGTTCTCCAGTTTGGTCTGCAGACTAGAGGCTTCCTCACCAGCGCTGGACTCCACCAGATCATTACCGGCTTTGTTCACCGTCTCAACTGTTGCTTTATGAGCCAACACGTCAATCTTGAGAACCTGTGGAGGTACAAGAAACAACAAGATGTTGGGAGGATGGATCTGAGGCGCAAAGGACTAAATAAAATCTGTGTGGATGTGAGTAGACGAGAGGAGGTCTGTCGTACATGGTGCTTGGCGAGCTCTATCTCGATGGCTTTCGGGTCTCCTCCAGCCTTCCTCTGCTCGTTGAGCAGCTCCTCGGTGTGGCTCATCCAGGCCAGCAGCTCGTCTAGTGCATGTTGGAACTGGCCCAGAGCCAGAAGGCCTCCCTCCAGTTTGTGCTGGATTAATGACGGATTAAACCATTAGATATTCCAGCGTGTGAAAGCGCTTGACATGCATACAACACAGCCTTCCACAGCCTTTTGAGCCACTGTTGAGCCTGGCTTCGAATATTATATGAAACTGCAGAATATATTACAAGTAGCAAAAAGATTTTATTACTCAGTATTTAAATAGCATCAAACTGAAATGAACAATCAGTTTGAAATGATTTCTTTCCCAGTACGTGTCTCCCTTTTCTAACCTGTCGGCTGATGATCTTCTCATCCAGGTTGTCCCAGAGCATCTTGAGCTCAGACATTGGCTCCTGAATTGCGCAGCGATCGGCCTCTTCCGTCACCTTCTTCAGCAGGAGGCCCGCCTGGTGGTTCAGGCGCTCCATCTCGATCTGCAGCTGGTACGCCTCTCCTTTGAACTCCTGACAAAACCAGCACATACGCAGTTACACCCAATCAGTCAACAGAGGTACAAAGTCACACAGACAATACCAGCTTTGCCTTTTCAGCACTAGACTTGTATGATTGTACATCAAAGCGAATGTGACTACTTTATGTTATTTTAAGGGAGCCTTTGTACCTGTACAAACTATGGCATGTCATGAATCAAGCACTCAACATAAACACAGCTGGTAAATGACACGGCTCCTGTAACAGTGAATACTGCAGTAAAGTTAAAGATGTGATTTAATTAGCCGGAGCAGAAGTGAATCATCATATTCTCAGTCTGCTGTTGCATCTTTACACAGAAATACAAGACCGTACCTTGAGTTCTACAATCTGCTGCTTGACAGTTTCCAGGTCTGTGCCTACAGGTGACATTGAATCCAGTTTGCTGTCCAGAATATCCACCCAGTCAAACATTCCCTGCGTACGAGGTGGGAAACCATTGTTACTGAGAGAAAACAAAGCTTAGAGCACAGAGGGGTCATGTTTCACACTCGGTGTCATGTAATGCAGTAAATCTATATGGTTGACAAATGAGGTAACCAAACAAATATGATAAAAATGAGAATTAAAAAACAAGCCCTGAACATAAATACTATGTTAAAAAAGTGTGAATGTGATCTTTTAAAGCAGCTGTGTGGAGGATTCCTTTCTCACCATGAAAAGATCTTAGAATAACTTTATGAGGTTAAATGTGAGCCAAATCTAAAAAAGCACTGTAGTCAGTGTTTATTGTTTAAAATTAATCGGTCTCCAATAAAACGCTGCATCACTTCAATCAACTGCAATAGTAAAAAAAACACTGTAATCTGTGGTTTCATCTGAGGGCCTTAAAAACTAACAGATTCACTTTCAAATGCTAAGGTATGTCTCTGTGAACATGAACCTGTATATTTTTCTACTGTTTATATAATAAAAACAAGTAAAAAAAATAACTTTTTTTTTTAAAGTAGGGGTTAAGTTTTGGAAGAGCTTCACAAAAGTTACCAAAAACCCATAAAGTGTTTTTATTGTGTTGCCCTTGAAAATCCTTGAAGCAGCGATCAAAGTACCTGCAGGCCGTCTTGAAACTGCACAGCAGCCTGCATGGCTTCTTCCAGTCTCTCTACTCTCTCCTTCCAAGTCTTATTGAGATTCTCCCACGCTGAATTCACCTGGAAAAATGACACGAGTGTCACCACAAGCCACATGCAGGCAAAGAAATATACAGTGTCTGCATAGGACAAAGTATCAGCAAGTGAAGAGGAAACAAAATCTCTTTGCAAAGATAGTTTTTACCTCATCGATACTCTTCTTTATCACAGGTTTATCAGGCTCCCCGCAGGCAGTCATAAGCTCCGCCCCCTGGTTTTGAACCACATCTAGCTCCTCCTGCAGCCCGTCAATCTCCTCCTTAAATCCCTGTGGAAATAAAATGCAGTATTTAAGACAAAGAAATGCTCCCTCTTTCTAAATTATCCATTGGGTTTATTCAGTCATTTCATTTGGGGGATCCGTCTACCTCCACAAACTCCTGCTGCTGTTTGACGACTGACGGATCGACTCCCGGCTCCTCCAGCTCCCTCAGCAGGTCCTGGCTGTCTTTGATGGTGACAATGAGAGCGCAGTGGTCGCACCAGAACTTGTCTGCCAGGTCCATCACATCCAGCAGCTTCGCCTCCCTCTCCTCCAGCAAGGCCTGGATGTCATTCCACAGGAACACCATCTGGTCCAGTTTGTCTTGTACAGCTTGTGGGATAAGCATGAGTGACAATTACAGTGAATACAAAATAAATTAAACACACATCACGCACATTCACATTGACGGGTTTCATGGGAAAATATTTGGTCTATTATATTGGTGTCTATTATATCTCGTGATTATTTCTTGTGCCTGAAAAAAGATTGGCATTCCCATAAAAGCTACACCTGGAGGGAAGCTTACGCAAGCCAGTGCATGAAAAAAAATGAATCCAAACTAAATTTAAGATGTTGAGCCAAGACCTTGAAGCTTTGTCTAGTAATTCTGTTTATGTACCCCTGATATTTTGGTATTGTTGACCTTTTATTATGCAATTTTTTCTTATTTCCTTTAATTATCCCAATGCACTGTTTAGTTAAACTGCCAAAAAACTTTTAACCTTTTTGTTGGAGTATTACATAAAAAAATAATTGCTTATTATATAAGAAAATGGTCTGCTAAAAAGAAGTGGAACAACATAATATCAAACAAACAAGACAATATGATATATACCATACCTTTAGCAGATATATCCTTGTCTGCCCCCTCAGACCGTGCAATCATCTCCTCGCCTCGCTGGCGCAGCGTTTCATATGAAGGCTGCAGTTTCTCCAGATCAACAGAGACGGCCTTATTTTCAGTGATCTGCTCTCTGATCTTGTCCACCTCCACTGAGATGGACGGAGGCTGACGCAGGCGCTCAGCGATCCGTTCCAGTGATTCCAGCATGGGGTCAATTTTATCATGGAACTGGTGGAGAGCGTGGAAAGGAAACACCTCAGTTTGTACTTAGACTTCATACAGCAATAACACTGAAGAAAGCTGGGAGAGCTGCTACAGAAAGACACTGTATTTATAATGAGAGACAAGCCTATAAAGCCGGTATGCAAAATAAAGCTGAAATGATTAACCAACTGACTAACTGATTAACCAATTAGTCAATCGACTGGCAATTATTTCACTATTTTAATATCCGATTAATTGTTTCAATCAATGTTCAAGAAAAAATACCAAAAATTCTCAGTTTCTCCTGATTTTTTTTTTTTTAAATCAATACAACAGTTTATCATGGGGAATTTAAATTAAATAATAATAAAAAAAATAATTTGCTGCAGCCCAACATTATCATGATTTCTAAAGTTTATCTACAAAGACGTCATGGTTATGATCTCTGTTTGAACCAGATATTATTATTATTACTAGTATTTTAATTGCATTTTATCAACATTTAAATGGAATTCCTTCAACATGTTATCATGGATGGAGAGGACCCATGATAACACTGTCATATACATTAAAGGTAAAGTAAAACAAAACATTTCCTTAGAAATGCCGAACAAACAACAACTGCTTCTGACCTGGGTGGATTTGGAGATGGCCTCGTCCAGAGTGGCCGCTCTCTGTTTGACATCAGCTTTCAGTTGGGAGTAAAGTTGGTCAGAAGTTGTGTACTTCTCTCTGATGGGCACTCCCTCCACTGGGCTCAGTTCGAGTAACTGTGGCCCGGTCTTATTCATCTTGTCGATGTGGGGCTTGTGCTCGGCAATCAGCTCTCTCATTTGCTGGAAAGGATGTGACATATTCAGATTAGTTTTTCCCTCATTTCAATAAAAGTGTTGTACTAAACATCTGCTCCTTGTCGGCTTCTTACCCTGAGTTCCTCTTGCTGCTGCCTGAGTGTTTCGTACTCGATGGCGGGTGGGGGCAGCTGGCTGAAGGTGCTCATGGTTTCCTGAAGCCACGGCCACATCTCCTCGTACGTCTCCCAGAACTGACTGGCCAGAGAGTGGGCTCGCTCAAGCTGCAGACAGCGCTCCGAGTTCAGCTGACTCACGACCCCGTACTTCTCCAAGAGAGTCTGGGTCTTGGCCTGATTGAAAACCAAGAAGATCTTTTAATTTATGTGCACATTCCTAATGGATAACCACCTGCTTCAAATTCAAAATAAACTCTCTTCACCTTGAAGATTTCTTTCTCCTCTGGGTTTTTGCTGTTCATGATGGCCTTTCCTGTTTTCAAAATCTCATCCACAGCATCTTTGTGCCTCATGATGTCCATGGAGAAAATCTGGAAAACCAGTAGAGTGAGTTTAGCTTGACGTTACAAAACAAACCACTGTGTTTGCTGTACTTTGTTGAGATGTAGGCCTGTGTCTATCCATACACATACACACACACATACACACACACACTGTATGACGGGCTGACCTTCTGTGCTTGGAGCTGTGCTGTGTTTTGGTCTTGCTCCAGCCTGATCTCACCCATCGACAGTAACTTCCTCTCAGCTTCAGTCAGCCATGAGAGTTCACTATCTGCAGCCTGTTCGAACTGGAAACAGACAAAAAAAAACTCTGTCTCTGATGTTTTCCATTGAAGAATTAAAAGATACGGTAAAAAAAAAAAAAAAACTCTTTTACTTAAAGTACAGATGGAGGACAGCTATAATGAAAAAAAGAGATTTGGTTTACCTGCTGTGACTTGAGTATGTCGGCGTTGATCTGGTCGACCTGCTGGGTGACGGTGTCACAGACGGCTCTGTACCGCTCATTGTCCTCAGTCACCAGCTTGTCCAGACCCTCACGAGTGTGCCAGGGGATCAGATCCAGGAGAGAACCGCTCAACTCATTCATCTTGTCCATCACAGGTTTTTGGTCTTTGGTCTCCTTCAGTAAGGCCTTGAAAACAGAAAACACCGGTTTAAGACACAGATGTATGTTTTTTTTTTTTTTAAGCAAATCATATTGTGTGTTAGAGGAATTTCATGTTAGGGATTACATTCGGTATCTATTTCTTAAAGAGCAAATACAAAAAAAACTTTATAGAAAGACTGACCTTCTGCCTGCTCTGTGCATGAATGAGCTGCTCGCCCACCGGCTCCTGACCCTCGAAAGCATTGATCTCAGCCTCTGCTTTCTCCAGCCAGGAGCTCAGGTCCTCATGAGTATGTTGTAGCTTAGAAGAGAGACTCAAAACACGCTCCAGTGTCTTCAAGACGTTGTCACTCATAGAGTTGATCTCAGCATATTTGGCTTTTATACCATCCAGTTTGCCTTGGATAACAACCACCTCATCACCTGTGAATAGGAAGTAAATTGTTCTATATTAATTTAAGGACTTTTGTATTTTTGCATCGTATCATCTAACTCTTGGAAAGACAGCTAATAAGTGTATTTCTCAAAATGGCAAACCATTTCTTTCAATAATGCAGCAGGGATAATGCCAGTGCTTTCTGAAAATTACATTTTAACAAATTTTTTCAACGACTTTGCTGCTGTTGAGCTGCTTCCTGAATAACATCATGACGGGTATTACAGAGACAGAATTGTTTTCTGAGATCCAGCTGTGTGAACTGTGATAGGACAGCCATAAAGTCACATGCCTGTTGTTTGCTTCAGTAGCTCCATCCCATTAGAGATGGCTTGGTCAACATTCTTCTTCCTCAAATCAATATCACTTTGTAGAGCCTGAAAATGAGAAAAAAAAAAGGACCATAGAAAGGTATTGAGAGTGACAGAAACGTTCCAATGTAAATAATGTATGACACACAGATCAATAAAATTAAATGAAACATGAATGATGCAACTTAAATGAAAAGACAACTCAATGCTTGGCCTGAGGAGGATTGTATACCCGTTGATCTGCCAGCTGCTTTTCAAGAACATCTAATTTGTAGTCCTCCACGGACACTTCACCCAGCCTGGTGTGCACCTCGTTGAGCCAGTTCATCAGAGCCACTTCATCCTCTCCAAACAGCTGGGCGTTTGCCAGAGCTTGCTGCAGCATCTCAGCTTTCCTCCTGCATCGCTCCTGGAGCTCTATGTATCTGGCCTGGGTGGCGTCCAGTTTAGACTGAACAAACTCCTTCTCGTCCACTGAGCTCACGGCTTTGAGCATCTGACCCAGACTGACGGCATGTAACAGGTCTTTACTGTGATTCATAATCTCCTCCTCTAAGGCCTGACCGTATGGGATGGGGAAACAAAACCGAGGAAATGTGACACAAACAGAAAACAAACAAATAAAACAAAAAAAATATGAAACAGAAATTTAATGAAGAACTGAATGGGAAATAATGATGAGCACAAACTTAAAGTTACAAGCAAAATGAACAAAACTGAATCCAGCTGAGCAGGACCGACACATGGTAATGGAGTAAAATGCTGCGTATTACCTTATGCTGGGAGATCTGATCTTCCAGTTTAGACGTCTCAGTGCCGATTGGCTCTGAGTTGGCCAGGTGCTTCTCTGTGGCGGAGAGCCATTCGCTCAGGGGCTCCAGAGTCTCATGGAACTGCTGAGTGACCACTAAGATGCTCTCTAGTTGTTTGTGCCTGAAATATAATGATAGCAACAGCAATGGATTATGAACAAAGTACAGGCTTCTCATTTATATGGACACACTAACAGGCAAGTTCATTTCTGCCAAACTTATTAATGAATATCTGCTAATGGCTATTGTTGTAAGTGTGCAACATTTACTGGTAATTTATTGATACCACTCTCATGTCTGAACAATAAACATTGAGCTACCTTAGGTAGCTTAGCTTAGCACATAGTCTGTAAAAAGACAGACACAGCTAGCCTGGCTCTGTGTGAACATAACAAAATCTGCCTACAAGCACCTCTAAAGATAATTAATTAACATGTTATGTGTTTAATTAGTACAAAAACTGTCTGTGTTAAGCTAAGCTAACTGACTGTTAGCTGTAGCTTCATAGCTTCATACTGTATTAACTGTACAAATGTGAGAGTAGTGTCAATTGTCTCATCTAATTCTTGGCAGGAAAGAAAAAAAAAAGGTGCATTTCCTAAAATGTTGAACTATTCCTTTAAGCTTCAGTAGGAGAAAAGTAAAGGTAAATTTAAGCATTTGACAGAATAAGAAGGTTTAATTACTTCCACAACCAAATCTAGGCAAAAACACAAATTCAAATCTTAGGAAAATAGGTGTGTTAACATTGCAGGTGTTTATACGGACCTGTTTTCAGCCTTCTTGAGCAGAGCGTCCCACCTCTGCCCCAGGCATTCGATCTCTTTTGCAACCTTCTCCTTATCCACAGACTCTGCCAGTTCTGCGACCTTCCCTCCCTCTTTTTTTATCAGCTCCACTGTCGGCTTTCGGTCATCCAGCAGTCTCTGTAAAAGCTGTCAGAGGAAAACAAAGGAGGAGAGTTATTGGGCGCCTTTAACATGCTCTGACTGCGAGCATTGCGTGGTGGTGAAAAACAGTAAATCTAACAGGCACAAATTAAGTGTCCATTAAAGTAAAAGCTTTGTGTTCCACACTCTTGTTTAACAATGGATGTCAATTAAATAAGATGAATGTGAAAGTCATAATGTTTTGTGGGTTTTGTAGAGTTGAAATAGAGAGATAAATATAGAGCTGCTGTGTTCTGAGTGTGTGTTTATGTGTTTGTACCATGTGATACTGTCTTACTTTCTGCTCTTGTATCTGTGCCTTGACCACTTTGAACTCTGCAGAGGGAGGCTTTTGATTGGCCATGAGCTCCTCTGTGTCAGTCAACCAGCTGAGCAGGGACTCCAGAGCATCCTGGAACCTCCCACAATGCAACAGGGCTTCGTGAAGCTGGGCTGAACGTTCAGCAATCTGCAGACCACATGGTAAATACAGACATCACCTGTTTTACTTAAGCAGTAAAGCGGTAACTCATCAAAGGAGGGCACTATAACAAATGGCAAGAATGAATGACAATATGTCTTTGTATTTTCACAAATGACCACTAGTCAAAAGCAAACATCAGCCAGTCAGACTGGTAGTATATAACAAATAACCTTTTTATTGAGCGTATTCCACTTTGTGTTGACACCCTCCAGGTCATCCTCAAGCTTCTTGATGCTGGTGCCTTTGGCGGCGTTTTGGATCAGGCCCTGACCGAGGGAGTTGATGTCTTGAAGCTGCGTCTGCAACGGATCAATGTCGTCTTTCTGGAAGGCCTAAAGACAAATGGAACAAATCACAATAAATATTTTATAAGTGCTCAAACTACAATGTCATCAGTCTTATTTAGGGGTTCATTAAACTGACTTTATTACTGCTCCAACTGTTCAAAGACCAATGATTTCAATGATGCATTACTGGGTTTATTGCATTTTTCAGAACGAGACCAAATTATGTATCATTCTGAACAATTCCTTTTTAAATGTGATTTTAATTTCAATATTGCTCTGTCATGACTCTGTCCTGCAAAAATCATTTGTCCAGCTGAGCTTTAGACAAATACGTTCTCAAAAATATCAGAACAGGCAACAAAATGAAATGAATAGCAAAAACAAATAACACTGGATGATCTAGATCTAGACTTTATGGAAAAAAGTGGAGTTGCAACCATTAGTTGATTAATCAATTAGTCGACAAAAATAATCTGCAGCTATATGGAGAGTCATTTAAACCTTTTAGTGGGTTTTCAGGCAAAAAATTATGAAAAAAATGCTGAACATTGTCAAGTTGTATTGGCTGATTTTCTTTGTTTTATGTCTTACAAGATATTTGAAGAAATCACCTTTTGTTCCTTCAACTTGTGACTGGCCTTTTTTTCACTATTTCAAATTATAAAGAGTTCAAAAAAGTTCAAAATGATGCCAGGGAGTTCTCCCACTTCCTGAAACACAATTGCCACGCCATCACCTCAGGTTGGGTGTGAAAATCCAGCTGACATAAACAACTCTCTAACCAGTCAGCAGCTTTCTAAAAGGGCAGAGCACGGCTAAAAGTTAAAGCACAGCTGTGCACAATCACGCACACAGCCTTCCAGGCTAAACTGGTAAGCAAAACCTAATTCACCCATCATGTAATCAGATATGTATGAAAAACACCAAGCCAGCAGCCAGGAAACACTCATCTAAAGAGGCGTGTTATCTAGTGAAACCTGCTGGACCAACTAATGAGCGAAACTCGGAAATGAAGGAAGTGGCTATTTTTGGGCACCTGTGAGGAGAAATAACCCATAGGGTCCATTTCAGGACACGCGGCGATGGCATTCAGTAAGGCCTCTATCTCGTGCTCTCCTGTGTGCTGGAATGCCTGTAAACTTTTAGGCAGACAGGCCTCCACCGACTGCAGAAACTCCTCCAGCTCCTCCATGTTGTACTTGGACGCTCCTTGTTGCACAGTACATGGTTTTGTTTGGTGGCGGCTCTCTATGGGTAGAGTTACAGAGTTTCCGTATGTCTCAGGCTCCGTCACCACCACACTAACCAACTCACAGTCATCCTGACGTGACACATCCTCTAACAGCTCAGCAGTGGACAGCTCGTCATAGTCTGTTAACGTCCTGGAGCGCCATCCAGAGCTGTCGTTTTGAGTCCTGGAGGCTGAGCCTGAGGAGGACCTCCCTGTGGAGTGTTTGTATTCTCCATTGCTCAGGGTATCCCTTTCACTGAGTCCACCCACACCAGATTCTACCTTTCGCGGCTCCTGGACCAAGCTACTGCTGTGGTAAAGAGAGCGGTTGTCCCTCGCAGGGGTGAAAGGAAACTCCTCCTGCCCTGAGCTGAGCGATCGCAGAGTTTTCAGGTCCCCGGACATATGCATCGCCTCTGAGGACGACAGGCTCCTTGTACCGTGGCCTGCTCTTTTGTGGGATCGATGAGCGTGTCGCTCCCGCTCCACAGTAGGACTGTACAGACCTGAGTCCTCTTCAGATGTCAGTGAGCTGGTCATACTCTGTCCTCTCCTGTCGTTGATCAACCCAGGCCTCTCCACGCTCCCAGAGCACAAGGTTCCACTGCGGCTGGCATACTCGCCCAGATTAGTGGGGGCAAAGGTCCGCCATGACCTTCGATGATGAGGATGGTCCTTTTTCTCTCCTCCCTGGAGCCGTGACTTAGGCACCACCGCATCAGTCGCCCTGATTATGTTCCCATTGAGTTTAAGTCCATCAAAGACCACACGCTCATCCAGCAGGGCAGGCTTTCTGCTTCTGAGCTCAAATGAACTAGAAGCAGAGATAACTCCATTTCCACACAGGCTGCTGAGGTCTAACGTGCGGTGTGTGTAAGGTAGGGTGCCTGTGAAGTGCCGGGAAGAAAGGCTGCCTTTAGAGCCCGAGTCTATCTGCTCATTGAGCCGCACGGTGTCATAAATGGATCTCTGGGGCACATAGCAGTCATCAATGTTCAGGTCCTCCTCCTCCCCCTTCCCCACACAGGAAGGGTTTTGTCTGAGGCAATCTGGTCTGCTCAGCGGTTTGCCCATGCTAAAACAATTGTCACCACTCACTACACAAAAAAAGATTAAGGATGTAGTGAAATCCTTTGAGGTATATGTTGCTCTAGTGCATATGGAGTCATTCACAAAGGAGCACAATGTGACCAATTGACATGGCAAGCAACTGTGTGCAAAATAATGAATTTTCTCCTCTTTTACATGTTAACAAATTAAAAGTTTCCACTTGTTTTTCAAAATAAAATATACAATTGCTTGTGGAGATTTAAATATTGACAAACATTCAGCTAAATGTTAAAAATAAAGTCTTATGAAATACAAACATGTCAAACAATATAAAAAAAAATCCGGTATAGCAGCTTCATACTCCATATAAGGAATGAAAATCCAGTCTTTCAATACAGTCACCTATCCTAAAAATATTCCTCTAGGCTCTTCTCCGTGCATTGCCAAAACTTAATCACTAGTCCTATGGTCCAAAGTGCTTCTTTTTCCCTGAAATCCCTGCAGCATCCATGCGAGCTGAAGGAAAATCTTCAGTGCAAAGTGAAAAATATCCACAGACAAATCCAGCAGGCTCTACCAAAAAACTGTGGGCTGTTCTGAGGAGAGCTGGTACTCTTGGATAAACAAAAAAGCCTGCCCTTTCTCTCTCATCGCTCCACTCGCAATGACAGACACCCTCCTGGCAGAGGGTTTCATGCCCCGCCCCCGCTCATTATTCAGACAACATCTGCCACAACTCCATTTGTGCTCAGAGCCGCTCCGGCACATGTTGATTGGTGGACACATGACCCTTTTTTTTTTTTTTTCCTCCTTTCTAATTCCCCCTTATGTCTGAATGGTCCATATGACTTCACTTCTAAGCCATCTTCTGCATCCTGACACAATCACTCACATTTCTTCTTCTTCTTTTTCTTTTAGTGACTGAGGGATCGGGGAGAGGAAGCCATACGCACCAGCTTTTTTTTACTTCACAGAAAAAGAAAAAAAAAAAAAAAAAAAAAAAAAAAAAAAAAAAAAAAAAAAAAAAACCTAGACCAGCAGGCAGAGCAGCAGTTCCCACTCTGATGACATCACACTATGCTGAAATAGATACACATTTTTCCTTTTTTCCCTCTTTGCCCTCTTTTTTTTTCTCTTGTGGACAGTTGCTGTGGACCCTGCAGATATTCTTAATTACTGTGGAATGCTGAGGGGGGCACAGGTCCCAGGTAATTTAACACCGACGTCTCTGCCAAGTGCATGAAGGGGCTTTTTATGTCCAGTGACCGGGGTAGGAGAAAAAAGGAGGATAGAGGAGATAATAAAAGGAATTTATTTTTGTTTCCTGGATTGTCTCTGCCACAGTAGCTCAGCAAGGAGCTGAACAATCCCAACTTCTTTGTCCAATTCTGCACGCATGAGAAGAGACGAAAAGAGGACGCTGGCAGAGATAAATAAGCAGTTAAAGATCTGGTGGGATTTTAAAGAAGGATGTTCAGCCACTGAAACCTGCATACTTTATAAATATTCCGGCTTTTAGGGTGAATGAATACAAATAATTCTCCTAGTCATTTTCTTGGCTGCCGAGGGTCCCATTGTCAACACTGTTCCAAATATCTTTGTGAAGTTCACATAAATTCTTTTTAGGCAAAAGTTGCAGAGAACAAAGGTTGAAGAGAGGACACATTTTTCTGTCAAAAAAAAAAAAAAAAACTGAATAAAGCTTTTTCAACAGCAACACTCAGCCTCTTCAAATAATCAGGCACAGAGGAGTTACTACAACAGTGCAGTGGCAACTAGGAGCCAAATCTGAGAAAGACAGAGGGAGAAACATGTGCTCTTCATGTGGAAGATAACAGAGAATTATCATATCTCACCAGTGATAAATCAAAATTACTTTAAATTATTCTCCGTGTAAACCTGACTGTGCTGAGCTGTGACTTTTGATAAAATGAAGCGGAGTGAAGAGTTTCCTTGATTATTAAGTGACTTGATTTCTCTTTCCTAAAAGACTAGGTTTGAGGGCTGCAATTAATGATTATCTTCATTATCGATCATTTTTCTTGATAAATCTATGAATCATTTAATGTTGTAAATAGTCTGAAAATAGTGAAAAAATGTCCAACACATTCTCAGAGCCCCAGATGATGTATTTAAATAGTTTGTTTTACCAAACCAACAGTCCAGAACCAAAAGATATTCAGTTTACCATCACAGGCCATTAAGGGAACCAGCAAACCAACTTTTGCGAAGCTAAAACCAACAACTTTGGGCATTTTTGCTTAAACAAAAAACAAAAGCAACAAATAAATTTTAAAATTTGTTGCAGATTAATTCAATCAATGAGATAACACTTGTGAGTGATTCAGTTGTGATCCAGTAAACCAAGCAACCTGACACAACATTCAACTTCTAATGAATAGGTTTTCATGTCATTGTCACAAATGTGTTGTGGGAGCGTAAAGGAGATTGTTTTCAAACTGGTCCTCTGACATTTAGGTTCAGCTGATCACTGCTTTAACACTGGAGATTTAGTTCTGCACTGGAAACAAAGACTAGAAACCTTTGATGAATAGAAAACCCAACATAACTGCTTTACAGCAATGCAATGTGCACTCTATCTGTATAGAAAGTGGCCCATAGTGGTTTCACGTTTCACTCTGAGGAGAGCGTATCATCACTATGTGGCAGTGAGTAAGCAGCACTACGTGGTCCATGTGACACTTTTTTACCATCAATTTCAATGAACTGGTTCAGCAACAGTATGATTCAGGAGGTAGAAATTCCTTTTCAAACTGAAAGACACACTGATGTAATGTCTGAGCAGTGAGAAAAGACACCCACGCCAACCCCCAGTAGTGTTGAGTCACCAGAGCTGCACTTTAAGGTACACTTAAAGATATACGTACATACACCAGGACTTCCTCAGACAAGCTTCCACAAATCTCATGTGGAAAAACGAGAGTAAACACATGAAGTCAGGCATGTCTCTTTCAAAACTTGACCTAAAATGGTAACAGCACATGAAAGAGGTGAATCCAAGCGCTGTCTTTCTCTGTTTATTTCTTTCCCACCAGCTGCCAATAAAGCCCACTTACCTACACCCACAGTCTGATCCAGAGAATATAAAACATATTATAAGAAAATCATTTAATGTTTTCATGCTGCAACTAAATAAAGAAACAATTCAAGTTTTGCTAAGTATTGGTATGGTTGAACACAAAGGGGATTTTCCAGCAGCAGCTGAGGTTGTGTATGCCCTCTCAACCCAGACTGGTGACAGCACAAGAGGGGGGGGGGGGGGGGGGGGGGGGGGTAAAAATACGCACCATGACAACACTGCTCAGCAACAATTTGAATCAATCACATCTTTAATAGTTATCCTTCAAGGCCTTTGAACTAAACTCCACACAACAAACTGTCTGACGCCCACCCCCCACCCCCACTCCACCCCACCCACACCCACAATGATACTTTAATCCATGTAACTCAACAAGGGGTATGGACGCAGCCCTGCTATGTGAGTACAACAACCTCTTAATTGAAAAAAAAAAAAAAAAAAAAAATCCCTTGACCTACATCTTAGCATAGATCTGTGTCACTTGCCTATACACGGCTGTTTACATTGTTTTATTGTAATGCTATCTAATACTATAAATGATTAAGTGTTTCAGAATTTCACCTCTAAATATAGGTTAATCCTCTTTTGGAAAACTCCACAGGAATTTATAGGCTTTTAAAAATATTTTGCATCGTCTGTAAATCTTACTAATGGCCCTTGTTTTATCCCTCACTGATACCAACAGAGATCTCCATCATTTTATGGACAATGTGGAGAGTCAGAGGAAGTGAAAACAGACCATTAGGACAAATTGAGAAGCAGTGCTGTATGTGTGACCTGCATATATTACCTGTATACAATTTGCATGTTTAGTCCAAACATTCTTACAATAAACAAAGGCTTTAAGGAATAATCTATAGCCTTTGGGATCATTGTCATTGGGCTGCTTTGTAGCAGCCGAAAAATCTATACAATACAATAGTACAATAGTGTGTACTGATAAGCTTTTACAATGAACCACCCTACAGTCATTTTCAATATTGCTGTATTAACCGTAAAGGGAGCATTACATAGCAGTTCATTTAGCTAAATTACACAACCTTTAGCACAAGCTTTAATGGACGCTCAGCTAAGGTTTCAGGACATTTTAAATATCATTAACCATCACTACTAACTGGTATCTATGTCACAATAGTCAAATTAACACCAGGCTCCTCTAAGCTTATAACCAGCGATAACGTCAGGCTGTGAAGGTTCAGAACTAAAAGAACAACAATATCAACATGAAGAGATCAGGATGCAGGCCCAGCTTCATTAATGAATCAAGTGACGCCCTGCTGGCGACCACCTGGCCGCGAGGGTCCATCCCTCCTGCACCAGCACTGCATATGGGCCGTAGCTCTTTTGTTAACAACAGATGCCCCGAATGAACCAGCAGTCCCCCGAGGATTGCCGCGCATGTAGCAAGTGTCCTCAGCATAGAGCCTGCCGCTGAACTGCCCCAGTGCAAGGTTTTGTGCTGGGACAGCATCTAAAATATTATTTGTACGATTTTGGGGAAAATTTTGGAAATGTAAAAGAGAAATGTTTAAGAGAGAATTGCAGATTAGCCTTTAGTCTGGATGATTCATTTGACTATGACAGTAGCATTTCTCAATAACTTCCAATTTGAAAAGCAAAGGGGGCACGAAATATTGAAAAAAAATTATGATTATGTGACATTTATTCTTAAAAACTATATGAAATTTGTACTTTTTATCATCTAATTTTAGTCAAATTCTAATGAGACTATACTGTAAGTGAACAGATTGTAAGAGCGAAAATGTCCATCATTGTATCTGTATAGACATTATTGGAAAGACACACTATTTTGAGAACTGTCAGTTTAAAGGTACAGCTACAGCACTATCGATCTATAAAGGTTCTCTTTAGACAAGCCCCAACCATCGACTAATAGTGCATATCCACCTAATGTCCACAAATACACAGTGGAGAGGGAAAAAACTTTTGGGATACCAGAAGCAGTGCAGTTCACGGCCACAGCTTCATCACTGATGTGCAAAGCAAACTAAACAGGTCTCGGTGTGTGAAGAGGTGCAAAGTCCCTCCTGAACAATTATATCATCATGTTCACAACTGTAGCAACGCATACTGATCCCCTGAGAGCTCGAAACAAATAGGTGCAAATGTAAGAAGGAAGCCGTTAACATCGATCTTTATGCTGCTGTGATTTCACATATATTCAATCATACGACTCATTCACTCAGAGGAATGAAAATCAAGTCATCTGAAATTCTGTATTTAGGCCTATGCAACAAGATGAATTTCAAACTGGGGACACTGTACCTTAAAGGCCTCCAGCTGTTGGTTGATGACGTCTGTCTCCATGCCGACCGCCTCCTGAGACGCCTCCTTGTCCTCGGCTCTGCCAAGTTTATCTTCCATTTGGTGGAGTTTACCGTACAGCTCCTCTATCTTGGTGAGAGTGCTCTGCACCTGCACCTCTCTGCCTTTAGCTCTGTCCAACAGTTTACCACACTGCTTACTCAGAGCATCCAGATCTCTCTTCAGGCCTAAGAGGTCAGGTGAGGTTTCAGTCTCCAGCATCTTCTTACAGCTGTCTCCTGCGTTGGCTGTGTTGGCCATCAGCTCTTGCAGCTTAGCCACAAAGCTCTGGATGCTGTCCTGCTGTTCTTTAAGAGTGGCCAGATCAAGATCCACAGGAGCCATGCTGTCCAGTTCATCATCCAGGTCCGTGAAATGGGTAAACATATCACGGATGCTGTTTTGGAACTGCCCAATACCTTGCAGTTTACCCTCCAAGACTTGGCACGTCTCCTCTAGTTTCTCGGTCAGGGAGCCATAGTCTTTTTCTATGCTGTCAGCCTGTAGTAAGAGATCTGTCACTCCATCAGCATCGGGGACGTCTACTACAAGGTCCTTGGCCAAGCTCTTCAGGTGCTCGACTTGGTTCTGCATTCCCTCTAAACTCTTATGTTGGGCTTTCATGTTGGTCAGGTTCTTATTGCTGTGGCCCTGAACTCCCTGCGATTCATAGGCATCCACCTGCTTCTTAGCTCCCTCAAGCTGACCCTTTGCCTCCTTGTAGGCATCATTAAATTCTTTAACCGCGTGTGAGATCTTCTCCAGGGAATCCCTCTTGCTCTGCAGACCCTCCACTACATTATCCACTCTTTTGCCAATGCTAGCCTTCTCCTCCTTTATAGCTTCAGTGTCAGTGTTGGCCACCTCTAGGAGGCTATCTGCAGCCGCGTTGAGCTGCTCCACCATCCCTCGGTGCTTGTCAACATCCTTCTGGAGAGCTTTCACCTGAGAAATCGAGCTCTCAACGGCAACGGGGTCAACGGTGAGTTTGACTCGGCCCTCGCCTGCTTCACACTCCTGAATCCAAGAGCTGAGCTTCTCTGCGTGCTCCTGATACTTCCGAGATCTCTGCAGAGCAGTCTGGAGTTTATCAGCCTGCTCCACAGAGCCCTTCTTCACCTCCTCCCAGTTGGAGGAGAGGGTAGTGAGCTGCCCTTGTAGTGCCAGTTTTTCTGCGCCGTCAGTCTTCTGCAGAAGCATCTCCCCTTCCCCGATGATTGTGTTATAAGCTTCTTCATGTTCACTGAGAGCCTCCTGGAGCTTACTGTGCTCCTCCATGGTTTGCTGCAGGATGTCCACTTTGGCGGAGATGGGCTGGGGCTGAGACTGGTCCTGGAGCTTTTCACCCAGCCATGACTGGAAGTCTTTGGAGGTCTGATGGAACTGCTGAGAGCTGGCAAACGTTGAGTTCAGCTGCTCAATCTTTTTTGCTACAACAGAGAAATGTGACAAGTAGTGAGTTAAATGCTGTCACACTTTTTTACATAAAAAAAGTGGAACCATTACTACAGTACTATAGTATTACTGCACAGGACTTTTCTAATTCATTCAACATTTCTGACTGATTCAGTCATCAGTCTCAGTTTGAACCAAATAGATAGATTTAAATATATGTAAAATAAGTTGATATGTTGACAAAAAATAAAAAGTTAAAATAGAGCCTTGACCAGAGTTTTATACTCCACAAGAGTAACTGTGATTACAACAGCTTAGTCTGTCAGGAAGTTGTTGTCATAGAATAAATATATTCTGCAGTGATTCAACACGAATAGAATCATTCCTTCTTTCCAAACATTACAACACTACATTATTAGGTTAAGTTACAAGGCCAACCTGCTTTCTCTTCCAGCTGTTTGAAAGGCTTGCTGACACTCTCCAGCTGCCTCGCTAAGTCGGCTTTCAGATAGTCCTCCGTCACCATCGCTGTGAGCTCCGCGTTGATGGCCTCAGCCTCCTTCAGCTTCTTCCTCTCCTCTCTCAGCTGAGCTGAGATGTTTTGGACGTCCTCCAGCTGCATCTTCACAGCATCGGGCTGGGTGCTGTGGCCCTGATGGTTGGTGAGCTGACTCTCCAGCTGAGTGGCAGTCTGACTGAGACTCCTCAGTAACTCCTGAAACTGCCCTGTCTTCACCGCAGCCTGGTCGATGAGGCCGTCTCTCTGGTCCAGCTGCCCTGTGAGGCCTTGCCACTTTTGGGTGACGGCAGCGAGCTGCTCCCTCACCAGCTTCCCACTTGAGGGGTCCTGGTTGCCTGAGGAGCTTAGGATGGCTGAGGCAGCTTCCTCAAGTTGCTCATATTGAGGTTTACGACTCTTAAATTCATTCTGGAGGATCTAAAGGGAAGAAATTGATCAAGATGAACAAATAACTTATTTCTAAAGAGATGTAAAACCCTCAAATCATTCCCAACAGATTGCACCGTGCTTACCTGAACTTGCTGCTTCTGCATTTTAAGCATGTTGGGGTCAATCGAAAGGGGCCCAAGGACACTCATCATCAGCTCCTTCTCTGAAAGCCACTGACCAAGCTGCAGCTCAGTTGTCTGGAAGATGTCCAGATTCTTGTTGGACTCCTCCAGGTGTTGCTTCCTCTCCTCCACAGAGCCGCTGATATCCGCCCAAGCCGCATCTGAGCAGGAGAGCGGAACAGTCACACCAGTCTTCATTAGTCAGCACAATCACACCTCTCCATCCACTGTCCCACTGTTCACCGAGCGAACCCCCCACTGTGCAGGACTTGGCACTACAAATGTGTTAATTTAACTGGTGTGGCAGAGAGCAGATCCTGAGATAGGTTCACATTGTGCTACATGTGTGTACGTGGTGGGTAGACAACAAGATGGACACCGGGAGTATAGTTGCTCCAATATCTCATACAGTATGTGCCGTTTTGTAAAAGCCTTTACTCAAACACCAGTGCTGTAATGGGATACATTTCATCAATGGGACTCAACGCACCTCTGACAGTTTCAGTGACATAAATTACCCAGAGCCATCTGGAAACAACACCTTAGCGCATACCTATTTCTGCCAGCATCTGCTTCCATTTTGCCGCCTCGGGGGAGTTCGGATGAGTCTTAATCAAGTCGAGGAGCTTCTCTCTGAGCTTCTGGAGCTGCTCCTGCTTTTGCTTCATGTCGTCTTCAAATGCCTGACAGAATGAAATGAATTATGAACGTTGAAGCCTTTCGATTTCCAAGAAAGAGTGTCACATGAGTATCTCACTAACAGCAGAACACAGTCAGCGAGGACCGCATGCAGTTTTGGAGCATAATTAAATGTAACAGTTCATTCGGTGAGCAACAACAACTGTTCTGTACCTTCTGCTGTTCAAGCTGCGTTTTCACCGCATCTTTCTCTGTGGCCGCGTTGTTCCATGATGCTGCAGTCTCCTTCTTGTCCTTCAACCACGTCAACATGTCCTCCGTCTCTTTTTGGGCCTGTTTCATCTCCTGCACCGAGGTACTCAGCTCAGCGGCTCGGCTCTTTAGCGTTTCCCCCAGGCTCGCGTATCCCTCGTTGACGAATGACATGTTCTGCTGAATTATCATCAGCTCTGAGGACATTCAAAATAATTCCATCAAGTTTCCTTCGCGGGAGTATCGTACAGCGCCATAATGAGGTTATGATAACAGTGAGGCACCGTTAATATAATAGCCTTAAGGTACAGTATGTTCAGAATATGAGTGAGGAAAATATCACCAACTCCCTGTGAGTGGAATTCAAGCATACGATCTTTAATGCAGCTGCAAGCTTCACCACAAGTTAGAACAGCGTGTAGGAACAACTCCTACAAACAGATTTGTTCTTAATTGGCATGTGTGAGTTTTTAAGCTGGAGTTAAATGTTGCCCAAATAAACAAGAAATAAAAAAATAAAATAAAAAAGCAAAATTGTTATGTAGAATTAATATTTGCATGTGTACTTTGGCATGGCAACGCCTCACGCTCCAACAGCTTCCTCTAAGTCTTTACGCAGGTCGCTGTCCAGGTGAACATCCTCCACTGCACCCAACACTGGACCATCAGCCAGAACAGAATTCTCTCGTCCACCTCCACGATCCTTCTCCCTCCCTTGAGCGCCTCCCATTTTAGTCACTTCTTTATTTCTGCCACAATGCTGCTCCGTAATGTCACTGTGTTAACACCCAGACATTTTTTCTCACATTTTGGGTTCTATAATGTAACTGCAATCGCTGCCAACTTGTATTCAGCTGCAGGACTTCTTCTTCTCTTTTTACTCTTGTATGACATTTTTGTGAATGAGGCCTGGACCCTTACATAGCTAACTGGGGGCGTTGACTATGTAAATGATCAAATTACATAAACAGAGAATTTCCAATCACACCTAAAAGTGAGAGAGGTTTAAGATGTGAATATGACATTGTTGCATGAAGCCCAATCAGTGTAGTTCCCATGTAATCTTATCTTATGTGTGTGTGTGTGTGTGTGTGTGTGTGTGTGTGTGAATGGGTTGTTGGACCCTTTAAAGCTTGATGGGAACTTATAAAATAACTCGCTCTCTATGGTGTTTGGTTGAGGCTTCATTTCTTAATTAGAGCAGTAAAATATAATAAACTCCCTCTGTCTATCTCTAGAACTCATAATCAGAACATACTGTTACACTGATTTTCAAAAGTTGCTATTTGTTTGGCATAGAGCCGCCACAGTCATAGCAGTGTTTTGAAAACCGGCCGTAATACCGCCACAGCAGACCACATACACCTCTATTTTCACAGCAGTAACCCACATACACACTTCATTACCTTTATTAGTTAGGTAGGAATGGCTCGCCGGACCACCACCATTAGTAAGAGCTGATGCAAAGACATGAGACAAAGCTTGAGTAAAAGACAGGCAGACTGACTAGGATTGCTGGCAAAAGATCTTTTCCATGGTCTCTGATTGTTAGTGATTACACAGTACTCAGAAGTGTGCCCAAACACCATGCTTCCCATTCCACTGAATGATTCAGACACATGAGGTTAAGTGTGCTGACGTTTACCTGACTTGTTCTGAGTCTTTGTTTTGGCCGGGGATGTGAGGAAAGTAATGAGGCTGCACAGCTCGGATCCTTTGCTGTTCATGTCTTGGACAGCAGGGCCTTTGGATATCCATTCATCTAACAAACCCTGATGAGAGAATAATCAGACAGTTAGATGGTATATATGGGTATAGATATGACATATGGCATTTATAACACATAGAAGTAAAAGGTTGATGTGATACAGGATGGAAAAAAATCGAAATTGGATGATTTTACATCATCTTTTTTTTTCATTTTCTATTTTTACACTAGATTGAGGATCTACTTTTGTGATTTTTTTTTTCCCTCTAACATCATAGGAAAGAAAAGATTGTCTCTGCTGTACAACGTCGTGTTTCACTCCCAGATCTGTCCTGTGTGAAAACCTACCATCCATCTGTTATTAGCTGGCACAGAAAAGCACGCTGGAAAAGTGGGGAGTTTAGGGAGGATAGGACTACGATCTGTTAAAACACGCTATTACGCTATACACGCTATCTATCTATTGCAAAACACATAAGCACAAGATGTAAAGTACAATGTCAGTGGCTTCTGTTACAGCAGAGTGAGCGCAGTTGGATAAAATAAATATAGGAACGACACTCTCTATATGTTTTTCTTTTATTTATCTCGCGACTCACGGTGACTATCTGCAGGTCCGTCTCCAGACTTTTCTCACTGCTGCTCGGCTGGACTGCAGGTACTTTGTCATTGGTCTCCTCCAGCCACTTGGTGAGCGTGCTGGCTGCAGATCTGAACTCTCCCAGCTGGTCCTGACAGGATGAAACCTCTTCTTCTCTGTAGCAGACAAAAATCAGTCACATCTTACAGCCATGTGTACATTACCGACATCAGATAAACAGTAATGTTAAGGAAAAGGATGTATATGTAATTGTTAAAAGTGGAAATACAAAGATCTTCTTTTTTTTTCCATCCCTGTGTCCCCACTTACTTTTCTTTGACAGTGTCTTTAAAGGTGGTGAAGATATTGGAGAGATCGTCCATCTTGCTCTGGATCTGGGCTTGGTTTCCATCAGGGCTTATTTCAGACAGCTCTTTGGACAGAGTGTGCAGCTTCTCCAAATCACCGGCATGTTCAGCCATCTCAGCCTTAGTACTCTACAGAAGTTATAATAGTCAGTCAGTCCTTATAAAAGTATAAAAAATATATCAATACATCAATTTATTGTCAGTAGTATACTTACCTGCATCAGCTCAGAGAGTTCATTGAAGGTTTTTCCCGGCCCGTCCGTCTCCTGAAGATCTTGCGTGCGCTTCACAACAAACTGCTGAACTTTATCTGCGACCGTCTCAAACTCTTCCACCTTTTCTTTCAGCTGCTCCAGTTGGGAAACTTTTTGCTTGTGCTTGTCACAAGCATCAGAGAAGCGCTGAGAGAGAGCGTCCATCGTAGACTGCAGAAGCGCGGCGGCGGAGGGATCTGCCGTCTCCGCAAACTTCTTCACCTTGGCTTTCATGGCTGAGATGCTGCTCTGGCGACTTGCTATGTCCTGCTCTAACGCCTGGGAAAACACAGGACGGACAACGGCAGGGTTGTAATACATAAATAATGTGGATATGGAGCTGGTGACAAACAAAACCAACCACTTACAGCATAAAATAATAGTTACAGTATAAAGTTATTGTACTGCTGAAATACACACTGCTTCTTTGCTGAGGATGTCTCCAATAGATGCAGAGTCCAGGGGAATTTGTCCTTTCTCTTGGACACTGGCCTCCACTCCCTCCATCCATCCCATCATTTCATCCAAACCATCCTGGACACTCATGGAGCGAGTAAGAGTGATCTGCAGTTTCTCATTTCGATCACTTACAGACTTAGACACGTTGTCGTAACGCTCCACTATGTCGTCTGCAACACAGGGAGGCAAATCAGGTTACGCTTCAAGCTGAGCAGCTTCTCACTGTTTGGGAGACACTGTGAGATAAACATTTCAAAGTAAAGCTGAAACTTATTTGGCATTTATGAGTTTGTTAATGCTATAATTTCAGCAAAGGATTAGACTCACATGGTTTAGGTAAAGTAAAAGCATTTTTAAATGGAGGCCAATAAAACAGTGATTGTGGGAAAATTAACACAAATGAGACACTCTAAAAGCAATATGTTTCACACAGACAACTTGTGTAAATTGTAGAAAAGGCTTGCTGGACCCTTTGCGATATGCAGCCTTTTGGCTTTAAGACCTTTCTGCTTGTGGCATGAGAAACATTTTGCAGGACTACGAGGTTTATTGACTTCAAGCTGTGTAAACGCTTGATTTTTTAAAAGCTTTTCGATGTCTGGCATCTTTAAACTTGCTTATTTAAAGGCCTAAATCCTAATCCCTTTATCTGAGAAGTGAGTGTGAATGATGACACATAAAATCATTCAGATGGTGCGAGATCTGCTCCCTGCTTTGATATTTCCCTCACCTACTGTCTCCTGGATCTCGTCGGGGTTGCTCAGGAGGTCCCCCTCCGATGTGATCAAACACTCAGCTGTTTTGCGTAATGTGTCAATAGCAGTCTGATGTCCTGTCATCTGACTTTGCAGGGCCTGTGGATCAACAAGAATGAGGAAGTCAGAGAAAATAAAACTGCATCCACATAAATACATGTCCTCTGCCTGGATTTATACTACAGTTCGCAGGTTATGCATTTCGCCAGTGTGATGGATTGAAGATAAAAGCACCAGAATGATGATGTGCAAGAATGTCTGGATTATATCTATGTAATATCGACTCATTCCACAGATACAGTTAGATGTAGCTGTCTGCTTCGACTGTTACATTTACAGAAAGGCTCAGGATTTCTGCAGTGATTTGTAGCCAAAGCCAAAAGCACAGTGCTCTCTGGTTGGCTCACAGGCGCCTCTTATCTTGGCATATCTATGCTGTAAGTCACTACCTCCCTACAGAGAAATGTTGTTGCTAACTGAAGCCAAAAGCTTTGACAGAGACAGCTCTTTCAGCCGAGTTTCTTATCCTCTCGTAGGAGTATGCGAGATACAAATAACTAAACTACTCACATGTGGGTTTGAATTTGAACACGCGGCTAAAAATAGCTTTGTTGCACTTCAGTCAGTGGAAACACTGTACGTATATGGTAAGGCAGGCCCATTGTGCCATGACCTTATAACCCAGTCAATGCTCCAAGTTCTGCATGTGTTCTTTCTAAATAAAGCTATCTTTTATTTCTTTAGTTGGATCATTCATAACTTAATGTCCATCACCCAGCAGCCTTTTTGAACTGTGAAAAAATCATTTTCACCAAAAGTTAAAAGCATTACATGGGAAAAAAAAAAAAAAAGATCAAAACAGCTTTTTCATATGACTCACGAGAATTACAGAGGCCTCTTAGAAAAACATGGAAAACTTACACCAAGATCAAAAAAAGATCACAATCTGAGATAAATCTGAGCTTTTCACCACAAAATTCTGAGGTTGGGCTTTTTACCAAGTCTAGACCTAAGCAGTACAGCCCTGACTTGTGGTGTTTCTTGCCTTGGTCTCTTCCAGCTGTTTCTGCAGTGTTTGTGGGTCAGCTGCTATGGCCTCTGATTGCTGCTTTCTCGCCTCCTCCTCTGAATTGGTGAGCCACTTCAAAAGCCCAGCGCTGGAGTCGTCATATTTCTTGTATTTGTCGACCACATCTTTGAGGTTGTTGCCAAGCTGATTGCACTGAAACAAAGGAAATGAAATGATACTGTGTGTGTGATATAATATTTAGATAATTAAGTGCACAGACGCAGTTTGTTAAAATAAAAATGTCAATTCTTTTTCCCAGTGCCTGCAGAGGAAGCATTGAGCTTTCTGAAAAGACAAATGCTTCCACCCAGTGGCAAGAATAAGCTACTGCAGCCTCTTAAAATTCAATCGATGAACCGCAGGATAAAATACCTGTGAATGTAGGGTTTTGTATCGACTTGCTGCTGAGTCCAGTTTATCCTTGACAGCAGAACAGGTTCCTGAAGTATCCACATTCAGCAGAGCATTCTTAGCCGCGGGGTCACCCACTCCACAGGCTTTCGCCACATCCAGAACTTTCTGTCCTGAAATCGTGATGAAGCGAAGGTCCCCTTTGTGAGAAATCACGTCTTCCGAGAAGCTCTTCTGTCGCTGGAGTTTGTCACTGAGGATGTTGAGGGAGCCAGTGGGGGCGCCCAGCTCCTCAATCTCTCCCTCCGCCTGGTCTAACCAGCCCTCAAACTCCTCGCAGTCATCCTGGAACTTCTTCAGCTCCTCCTGGACACACTGCACCTGCTTCATCTGCTGTTCAGCCTGCGTCAGAGAGGCCTCGTAGCGCCCCTTCAGTTCCTGGATGTTCTTCTGCAGCTTCTCCTTCTCCTCCGGGGACAGCACGTTGGCTTGCTTGTCGAGCAGAGCCTGAGCTGACTGGGTGGCCATGATCAGATCCTGCTGCTGGGACAGAATCTCCTGATGACGAGCCTGTGAGAGCAATGGAGACTTGAGGACGATACCAATACAAATAGCAGCAATGATGATGATGAATATTTTTATTTACATTTTTTAGAAATTTGTATCATAATTTATACTGATTTTTTTTCTTTACCATTTCTTTGCTTTTTGTCTTTACTGGTTTTAAGATCCCATTCCCTTTTCCTGTTTCTTTAATCTCAAATCTGCTTGATGCTATTAAATTATATTCTTGTCTATTTTATTGACATGTTACATAACCTGTATCTTCATTTCGTAAAGTAATCGATCTCGTCATCTCAATTTCTTCTAATTGGAAATGTCATATTTTAATTTGAGCTTTGTTCAGATAACAAGATTTTGTTAATTCAATTTTGAGCTTTTATAATTGTTGGCATTTGCTGTTTAACAGACTTAGAAATTGATCATACTTTACTTGAAAATTTCTATATTTCATTGCAACTTGTGTCTTTCAACTGTTGAGAGGGAAAGCCAAGCGTCTGCAAACCAACTATACCTTGACCCTTTCGTATTGCTTATCGAGGTCCAGGGAGGCGTCGTTCTTGTCGCTGGTCTCTCTGCCAAAATCATTTTCAGTGGTCTGTAAAGCGTTTCCATTGGCATCGTCATTGTCTCCTATCAGTCCCTTGGCTGAGGTTTCCTCTGGCAGGTTCCCATTCTCTTTACTTATACGGTCGGTTTGATCCTCGTTCTCATTCCCTATGTTGGATATCCATTCTAGAAGACCCTCAATTTTGTTCTTACTTTCTTCAAGCTGCTCAACAGCTGCTGCCTGAAAAGACATATACATCGCAGATTAATCGAATGCTGAACAGTGAAGAAAATCAATAAAATACATACAAAGGCATTATATTCAGCAATATGTTAATTACACTGTAATTAATAATATAAATTCTGATGCATAATTTTTACAGGCAACATATAAGCAGGTAATCTGACCTTTTCACTTTCCTGTTTTATGGCTGTCGTAACAACCTTCTCCAAATCTTTCCTGGACTCCTCAGCCCTCTGGTTGATGAGCGTGGCTTTGCTTTTAGCCTCTTCCAATTTGCTCTCAATGGTGGCGATCTGATCTGGCGTCAGCTTGTTCCGGTTTTCCTCCAGGAACTTTTTAGTACTGGTGATGACCTCATTCAGGGCACTGGCATTTGTCAATACGTCTTTCTGCAGAGCCTTGAGATCAGACAGACGCAAAGCCGGAGAAATAGTAAGAGCATGGACCGAAGCAGCTTTGTTTTACCTACTTACACACAAAATGTGCTTCGTAAAAGCAAAGACTATGTTTTTCAAACCTGATGTTCCTGCTGGTACTGCTGCAGATCTGTGACACACTCAGCGTTGTCAGCCTGTTGCTGATGACCAATCAGGCGGTTCTCTGTCAAGGTGAGATTATCACACACTTCCTCCAATTTTTCCGCAAACTCCTTGTGTCTCTCCAACAAAGACTGAGAAAAATAAATAAGTAAACAACACCAAGTTAATATCACACAACAACAACAACAACAAACCTGTCATTTAGACACATCTGCACTCAGTAAAACATTCACAACATACACAACAGTATTCATAAATCCCAATAGTCTGAACAGCTCAGTCAATATTTGAGAACAAGAGCATCAAAACATGAGAGAGGAGTCAGGCACACAGAGGTAACATGCAAAATCTGCTTAAGAATACATTTTCCTTCATCATAAAACTCTAGTATGCTGTAAACATGCTATTTCGCCATTCGCCAGTTTGGTCTTGTGATGGTAATAAGCACAGGAGGACACTATACTGTGTGTGTTAGTGGGTTTCATTTGGGTTGAAAGTGTTCCAACAGGGAAGGTGCGTTTTTGTCCGCTGTTAATTGTTCACTGCTGTCTTGAGTCCTGTAGAATACAACCAGCATAAAGGTTAGTGCGCAGGAGTGGTCGAGCAACTTGAGCATGCGATGATGTTATTTCTCCTAAACATTCAGGCATTCACTGTAAAATCCCCCTCCCAAATCTGACTCCTGGAAACAAAAGACAATCACTCATTTCAGAATACACTGAACAAACAATAGAAAACTGTAAAAACTTCGAAATGTTGGGATGCTGCTGAATGCTCTAAAAAAAAAAGTCTAATTCTCAGTTGAAATCCATGAAAATCATCTAATTCAATATTTGTACAAAATTTATTTTGTGTTTTGTTTTTTTTTTTTTAAAGATGATTCATCATTCTTGTCTGATGTCTGAGGTTCAGATAACGTCAAACGTGATCTGATCTACTTATCTACTATTCTAATCCATGAATTATACAATCCATGCTTCGACCAGTAACGTGTCTTATACAGCCAACTCTACATATACTTTCTTTATCAACTTTAATTTTAGTTTAGCAAACCAATGGAACCTCTGTGATATTTTATAGCATATCCACAAGCAGACCTTCTCCTGGTTCTCCCTCTCTCTGGTGTCCAGTAGGACATCTAAGGTGCGTCTCTGTGTAACAAGCCTCTCTGTCTGGTCCCTGAAAGCTCGCTGGGTGGTGCTGAGGATCTTGAGGAGGTGGCTGCTCTGAGCTGGACTGAGGAACTGAGTGTGCTCAGAAATAAAGCACTGGATGTCAAATGTGACATCCTCTAACTTGAGCCTGGCGTCTTTCAGCAGATTGCTCTCCGTGTCCTGGAACAAGACAAGATAGAAATAAGATGAGTACGTTTTTGTAGGTGATGTAGGTATTGAACATTTTAATCGGACTTAAAAAGATACCTCGTTCTGCTGAATCAAACGATTCAGTGTGTCCACATCACACAAGTTCAAATCCACGCTCTGCATCTCAGGGTCGTTTTGGATGACGCCCGCTAGTTCTTCAAGATCACTGAGATGTTTCTGGTATGTTGATTCCAAATGTACCTAAAACCATATTTGAATTAGTCACCAGCTGATGCAAGCGTTACATCACTGTATTCTAGTTACTAACATCGAACACTGACCTTCCCTGTTTCTATCGCTTGAATTAGGGAGTGAGTCTTTTCTGCACACATCTGGGAAACAGCTGTAAAATTTGCCTCTAATTCCAGACACGTTGAGGCTAAATCTTCGTGGATTTGTTTGGGAATGTCATCATCAGCTGAATTTAAGAGCTGTTTGGCTTTTTCCGTATCTTCTGTTAGAGCACCGGCTAGTCTAGAAAGTCTGGACTCCAGACACTGGACACAAGAGCAGATTAAGTCAGGACCTTACACATGCATGTAGTAAATTCATTAAAAAAAAACTGGATTATGTGATATCAAATGAGTAAATATTACACCACAGAGGACAAATGTGCTTCAGTTATTTAATTTCTAACCTGACATTCCTCTATTTGTATCTGCTGTTCTTCCATGTTGCTGCCCATTGGAGCCTCCATTAAAAGGTCTTTTTTGACATCATCTAAAACATCAGCGTGATCCTGCAGTCTCCCAACACACTCCAAAAAATCTTGGATGGAGAAAAGCTGTGGGGAAAGAATAACACAAAACAAGAGGAGCAGATGTTACCAATGCCAAAAACTTAGGGACAGAGAGGTTAGCTGAAACAACCTAAATTGTACCTTATTTTTGACCTCCTCAAATTTGCAGGTATCTGAGTTGGCAGACGACTGAGGAGATGTTCTGTGACTATCAAAATGACAGAGACCCTGGTTATCCTCTGCTGACCCCTCATCCTCTCCCTCTGAGCTCTCCTCCTTGATGCTCTCCAGTATGTGCTGGTGGTCCTCCTGAGAGTCACCCCCCAGAGCGCTGGATAGAGTGTCCATCACTTCCTGGAGCATTGAAAGGTCTTGGCTTGAGGAAACAGTCTTAAGAACCTGCAGAAGTTGCAGCTGGATGTTTGAGGCATCCGACTGCTCTGTCTTCTCATGAACTCTCTCCTCTTGCAGTAGCAATTCTGGATTTTCTCGTTCCCTGTTGTTCAAACTGAGGGCGTTTTGCTTCAGCAAATCCAGGAGAAGATCTGGGTGACAGCTCTCGATAAATCCTTGAGGTGTGTCTCTTTTACCTTTGTCTAAAGGTTGTGGAGTATTCTCAGCTATCGTGATAGTGCTCTCAATGTCTTGAGTTTGCGACTTTTGTAAATCACTGACATGAGCCCCCTCTGTAACCGGTCCCTCCTGGTCATCTACATGTGTCTTTAGAGCATTAGAAAACACTGATGGAGCTGAAGAGGCCACATCAGATGTGAGGCTGCTGTCTGACAGGAAATCAGTAGCTACCTGTGGACTTCCAGAAGCATACACATCTAATCCATCTCTGTCTGGCAGAACATCAGATTCTAACTCATGTCTCATTCTAGTTTCAGACTGCCCTGAGTTGATGTCTGATGATGCAGCGGGTGGATTTAAGCAGCGGATTTGTCGATCAATATGTGGATTTTCCTCCTCATTTCTTGGCACAGAGATCTGCTCAGAATGACTGAAAACGTCCTCATGTTGCATCTCTGGGGAAAGCCTCTCTGTGTCTAACTCTATGTCATCTGCACCACTGTGCTTTGAGTCTAACAAATCTTTATTAGTCAGTACTGTTGGCTCTGAGTTTTCTATATCGCCGCTCCTATAAGTGATGGTATTTGATGCAGAGATTTCACTTGAAACAGCAGGTAACTGAGAGGAAGCGTTCAACTGTTCAGGTCTCTGACCATTTTGAGAGCATCTGGGCTCAGATTCAACACCAGAATCACTTTCTGAATGAAGCGCTGCTCGCTGAGGTAATGTGATTCTTCTGCCATCTTCTGTAATGTTTTCGTTATAGTTACAATCACCCCTGGATACTGAGATAATTGCACTTTCAACCAAATCTCTGGGCGATGAGTAATCTGTACTTGGAGTTGGCTCATTGTCCAAAGGTGACTGAACAGCCCTTGTGTCATTCTGAACTCTACTTTCCTCAGACAACACATTGCGATGTGGTGAGGTCATGTCTACGTCACTCTCACTAACTGTCTGATTTTCCAGGTGGGAATTGTAGCCAGCAATGAAAAAATCACCTTTCATGGGTGCGCCGTCGGATTTACAAGAGTGAGAAGTCTGACTCTCTGGATCGGTGTCGCTCTCGGAGGTTCTGTCACTCAGAATAGATGGATGTGACTGGGTATTTGCAGCAGCGTTTTCTATCACTGCACTGGATACATCAGCTCTATCTGTCAGCTGGCTATTGATCAAGACTTGTGACTCAGTGTCTTCGGCCAGTAAAGGCAACCTGTCTGTTTGATGAATGCACTCTGCAGTAACCTGACTCCATGAGGAGGGTGAGATCATCTGAGGCTCGTGACCGCTCTCTGAGGGAGGGGAAATATGTGCATGATTACTCATCTCTTCTACATTTCCTCCTGTCGCACAATCTAATGCACCTCCATTCTCTTTATCAACATTTGTGAAATCAAGCAACACGGCTGCAACCTTCCTTTCGGTCGGCTGCTGTGTGTTTTCAGCTTCATTCATATTAATCAAACCCAGATTACGGTCAACAGAGATGAACTGACTGCTGTTTTCGTCTGGGTAAATGCTGGCTTTTGGATCTAAGTTAAGGCTCTTAACAGCATCAGTAACTAATCTAGACTCCAAAGACTCGCTGATACTAATGGAGCTATCAGATCTTGACGGGCCGTGCTGTTCCACTGAAGGAATAACAATATTTGAGGATATGGATCCATCTGACAGTGCCCGTTTTAAAACAGACATTATGTCCTCCTCATCTCCAACAACACTTTCATCTGACTGCAGGTCAAGCACTTTCAATAGTGTCATCTTGTCAACTAGGCCCTTACTGAAAGCTGTCTCCAGGTCATAACGTCGGCCCGAGGTGACATCTAAAATCCCCCCTTCCTCCATTTGTGCTTTCAGAAGACGAACAACATAGTCTTGCTCATTTTCACCCTTCACCAAATCCTCAGAGCATAAACTTTCAGTTGGGTTAATATCAATACTCCTTGATTCACTGCACAGTGACTCAGTATCATAGAGTGGTAGAGTCTGAGATTCACACATCCTGGATGGTGAATCAACATTTCTGCTTTCCTCAGAACTGAATGTGGGAAAGACTGACATCTCTAAAGAAGTTGGAATATCTGGACCTTCACTAACAGCACCTCCAACATCAATCTGCAAACTGTTTCCACAAATTCTCTCTGGAAATTCACCTGACGTTCTCCAATTTGCGTTGCTTTGAAACATGTTTTCCTCATCTACATCAGGCTCTGTGGTATCAGAATATTCCTCAAAAGGATCTTGTTTTAGAGCCTTGTCTTGTGCATATGTTTTTTCATCGAAGGTAATTCTTCCACTGGCCGAGGAAGCAAAATCATGAGGATCAAATGTGTGTTGTGTGTTTGCATCAAAGGTAAGGCTTCCACTGGCCGAGGAAGCAAAATCACGAGGATCAAATGTGTGTTGTGTGTTTTCATCAAAGGTAAGGCTTCCACTGGCCGAGGACACAAAATCACGACGATCAAGAGCACGTTGTGTGTTTTCATCAAAGGTAAGGCTTCCACTGGCCGAGGAAGCAAAATCACAAGGCTCAAGAGTGCTGTGTGTGCTTTCATCAAAGGTAAGGCTTCCACTGGCCGAGGAAGCAAAATCATGAGGATCAAATGTGTGTTGTGTGTTTTCATCAAAGGTAAGGCTTCCACTGGCCGAGGAAGCAAAATCACGAGGATCAAATGTGTGTTGTGTGTTTTCATCAAAGGTAAGGCTTCCACTGGCCAAGGACACAAAATCACGACGATCAAGAGCACGTTGTGTGTTTTCATCAAAGGTAAGGCTTCCACTGGCCGAGGAAGCAAAATCATGAGGCTCAAATGTGTGTTGTGTGTTTTCATCAAAGGTAAATCTTCCACTGGCCGAGGACGCATATTCACGAGGATCAAATGTGTGCTGTGTATTTCCATCAAAGGCAAGGCTTCCACTGGCCGAGGACACAAAATCACGACGATCAAGAGCACGTTGTGTGTTTTCATCAAAGGTAAGCCTTCCACTGGCCGAGGAAGAAAAACCAGAAGGGTTAGGTGTGTATTGTATGTTTTCATTGAAGGAAATTCTTCCATTGCCAGAGGAAACAAAATTATGAGGATCAAATGTGTGTTCTGTATTTTTCATTAATTCTTCTGTTTCCTCATTTATGCGTAGCGGTGTATCTAAATTTAACTGTTCTGACAGATCACCAACATTTAAATTCAGAGAACTTACATTTCTCTCAGTGTTTTCAGAAAATATCAAATCCTCAAGGAAGATTTTAACCGTCTTACTCAGCTGTGTGTCAAGTATTAGGACCCTCTGTCCTGACTTTGGATCAATGTAACTGTTCAACATTAGGTAGGAGATGAATAACTGCCTTGCCTCTGTGGGAGTAGGGATGTTGTCAACTTCTAAGCATTCTGCAGCATGGTAGCATCCATCGATTGTGAGTTTTTTATACATGAGCCAAGATGAAAACTTTTCATTAAGGTGATCAACATCAGGAGTTGTATCAGGAATTTCTACAGACTTTAAAATTTCTGCTGTATAACTGTCAATCAAACCATTCTGAACGGCCGAGGTGATGTCTACTATCTTGGAACTTCCTGGAATGTAAAAAGCTGCTATTTTTTGCTGATTACTGAACAATGTGCTGGTAAACTCATCAGTGGTGATCTGCTGATTATATTTGAATGACGTGGACACAGTTTGAATTTCCCCAGACTGAGGCAACACAAGTCCCATAAACTGCTGCTGATTTCCAAGCACAATGAGTGTGCTGTTAGAACTCATCATATCACACTGAACAGCTGCATCCACCTTTAGCTTGTCATCGTTTTGGAGGTTCCCAACATCCTCTGACACCTTAGCGCTTACTTTCTGACCGTCTTTGATTTCACCTGCATCAACCTGAGCTCCTAACAGCCTTGACATGGTCTCCTGATCGCTTGAACCCTCACAAACAGACCTCAGAGTGTTAATATTCCTCTCTGTAAGTGATTTATTTCTGCTGAGGCAGTTTATTATCAGTCTATTGACCTCACAAGGTCCAAGCTCCTGCTCAGGCTCTAAGTGTGGCACATTTTCAGCACTGCTAGGATTTATCATATCCTGACCGGTCTTCTGCCCCTGAAGAATCTCTGCATAGACAGAAGCAGATATTAAACCACACTGAAACGCGTTCTGCAAGGTTAGTGTGTCCCCTGTGTAGCACACCTTCACTCCATCGCTGTCTTCTTTGACCTCTATCATCTTAATGACCAGGCCTTCACACGTGGGTCCTTCCCTAGCCGCTGCTATGTCAGAGAGGGGGACAGAGGAGGCTTGAGAATTCTGTATGCACTTATTCGCATCATTCTGCTCTGGCGAGTGGTTCAGCGTGGATTTGTAAAAGAGATCCTGTTTGAGAGCATCAGAGGTCATGAGTTGGGGCTCTGGGACAGCGATCGTAGTCATGTGATCAGTCATGGCTCCAGTCCCAAACCCACCAATCCCATCATCCTGCAGAAAATGAAAACATGACAAATCACTGAACTGGTTTTGACACCAACATCTGTACTATTTATGTATAATGAAAATATTCAAAAGCAAGACAAAATCTATACTCACCACCACACAAACAAGGGCATGTTAAAACATCATGTGCACAAGTGCAAGACTGCATCAGGGTTGCAACAGGAGAGTGACGATTAATACATTTAAAGCTATCATGCATCTGGGATTGCGGTTTTCAGAATCTTGCAAAAAGAGAGTTGTTAGTCACATCACACACTGTAGTGCACCATATCTGTTATCCTGTGGAACTCTAAGAGAACTGAAGCACATTGATGACAGTGAAATGTCAGACCAAAGCCGGGCGCAGCTAAGCATGTTTACAGCATACTTATATTTTCTGTTTCGATTGTACAAATCCTGTTTTCTGTCCCTAATGATCCAGAGTAAGAGAATGAAATGAGCGATGCAAAAGACAACTGCTCACACTCTACTGAGAGGGGGGGAAAAAAGGTTAGTCATGCAAGTGAACATCAGGTGGCACTGTTTTCTAACACATCATAAGACACAAATGCAATCCACTCAGTCGAACAAAGAGCCCAGTGTCCAACCTCTTCTGCAGAGGTTGTCTGATCTGAACACTGTTGGGAGAGTTCATTGTATGCCTGGTTGAGTGCCTTCAGCTGCTCCTGGGCCTTCTCTCTCTCCTCTCCTGTCATTCTGTAAGACAAACGAACAATGAGGCTGAGAGTTTTAACAGTGGACAAAGTATTCCGCACGTGAGTCGCAGCAGCTTCGCTTACTTGTCACTGTGTTTGTTCAGCATCATCTGTGTGGCCCTAAGTGCTTCTGCAATTTGTTCCTTCTTAGTGACCATTTCCTCGACTGACACCTAGAACATCAAACAGTGAAATATTAATACTTTACATGCAGTACAATGACTCCTCTTTACTTTTGTATGACTGCTCTTTGAGTAGGTATCATATAATATTGTAGTCATCAGTGTGATTACAGTCAACAGAGAGCAAAGCTCACAAATACTCACACAAATGCATACACTGAATATCATTTTTAAAGTGATTTTTTATATCAAATATATCAATTATTGACTAAGGCTATACTGTATATTGCAGCAACAAAATTAAATATACACATACCATCACATATTAATGAAATCCAATAAACATCTGTGTAATAAAATGTCAACTTTGTCAAACGTAAAGTTTTTAATTTAAGTTCAGTATGTGTCAAAGAGGAGTCAATGGTCATTTTCGAGGAATAATATTATATTTATTGTTGTATTTGACTGCAGTGGGCCTAATTTTTTTTTCATTAGAAACACTTTCAGTGTGTTCAGAAACACAAGGTGGAATGGTTTCAAAATTCATCAAAATAAAATAAAATGAAATAAAATAGGAAGTCCAAAGCTGTCATTATTACATTGTAATTGTTGATTTGGAATTATATTTATATTCTTTATATTTATATTCTTTACATTTATATTCTTGTGTGCATAATGTACAAAAAATGTAAATAAAAGATTAGAAAAAAATTGCTCCCATAGATTGCTCCCAGAATAAAACTGACAACTTTTTTATGTCTACTAAAATTGTAACATTTACTACTATTACTAATACTAATAATACTAATACTAATAATTCAGTGTTGTCCCTAACTTATATGTTGCCTCGGATAAAGCATATGCCAAATGAGCAAATGTAAATGTAATACAGCAATTATAGTAATTTATTTACACTAATATATTTTAACAAATCAAGAGCTTCTCAGCACTATTCTAGAAAAATAGCAATGCTATTTTGATATACTGTACTCAACAGGGAATTTTTTATTTTTTTATTTCTATTGAATAATGTCAGCTTTGGACTGTATGTTTTCTGTATGTACACTGCATGTTTCCATGGACATATGGGACCCAGAATCTGAGCTGTATTTTAATCTATAATTTGTGGGGCTGATGTGATTTATTTGTCAGTGAGGTTGTTCTGAAGTATGAGGTGCTTGTGCAACTTATTCATTTGGTGCTATTAAATCACTATTGAAAGTGTCTGAAATAATAGATCGCAAAATACAAAATATGACCCATGCCTTTGTGAGACAAAGTGAACAGGGGATATGATATGAAGTCATTACAACCACTACCTGCTGTGTAGTGTAAAATATGGATTTAATGAATTAAATGAATTAGAAAGTAGAGTGAGTTTTTATTAGAAATCACACACTGTGACAGCAAAAGGCTGTGATATCATTTGGATTAGAAAAATAATCTTCACCATTAAAACAAAGCATTCTCTCATGTACAACAAATATGTGGCAGCATATTAAACCAGGACAAACTCAAAACACAAAAATCAATACATGTTGTTTACCTGGGGTTTATTGGCATTGCTATCTTTGAGAGCATTCCCATCATTGTTCAGGGTCTGTTTCACATTGGACATCCAGTGCAATAGTTTGCTAACTTTATCACCGTGCTCTCTCTTCTCCTCATCAACAGACCTCTACAATCAGAACAGATGGGTTTTCAACAAGATTGTTAAAAAAAAAACACTCAATGTGGGAATCCTAAAAGGGAGGGGCATTGCCAAATTACATCTATAATCAGACTAAAAACACACAAAGCTCAAGAGCTGTTGTCAGTTGCATCAAACATGGTATCAAAATACATGTGTAAAGCATAAAACAGCATTGAACTGAGAAAACAAGGTTAACTTCATTGCCTAACATAAAACCAAAGAAAATCTAATGTCCAGATTTTGAGTTTATGCTATGGACAACCACATATTTACAAATGTTTATTGCCTATACGCCCAAACATAATGAAATGTTGATTTGGCTCCAAAACCAAGAACTTTTGTTGCCTCCAGTAACCTTAACCCCGTATGACAATCATACACACTTCTTTCAAGTGCCTCTCTGAACGTGATTCTTCTCTTGGTCTTTGGACAGGTGAGACTTTTGGTGTGAAACTTCTCATCTTTGAGTACAGAGACAGTAACTTTGTCAACAAGGCCACTCTGAATGACTTCCTCAAGCGAGACTCTATCATGATTTTCGGGATTTATCAATCCTCCAGTCAGGAGCTGGAACTCGATACAGCGGAAACCAGCATCCTTTGGGAAGAGATTTTCCTGAACGGCCTGAGAAACAGACAAAGTCTTTGCAGTCTTGGGATGAACTACGCCTCTAAATGCCTGCTCAAACGGTTGGAGCTGCTGACTCAGTGCCTCATCTACAAGACCTCTCTTGAGAGCCTCAGAGACTAGAACTTTCTCCCCTGAGGAGGGATCGCAAATACCTCCAGTGCAGGCCTGAGCCTCCAACAGCCTTAAGGCAGTAGTTCTATCAGTTAAGCCCTGTTGAAAACCCTGAAGAACTGACAGCCTCTTCCTCCGAGTGACGTCCCAGAGACCAGCAATAGGGCTGTTAACATCCTCCACAACAACCATTCTTGAAAATATAAGGTCTGCAATCTCATAGACACTAAGAAGCCCAAGGCGAAAGCTGTCAAGCTCAGATGTCTCGAGAAACCTCTGACTTAGAGCAGACTCCAGACAAAGTTGTCGGCCACTTTTGACATCAGTGATGATGTGAAGTGAGCTTCCATTGGTGTCAACTATGGACTTTTCCTGCCATTCACTTTCCTGCTGTGACAAAAACAGATACGTCCTCTTGTCAATGTGTTTGCCCTTGAATGCTTCGTACGCTGACATCTCAATGCCACAACTGCTGCTGACAACAGACACTCTATGAGAACTTGTGGGAGAGGTGTTAGCTAGATGTCTATCACCAAATGGGAAGAGAAACACGCAACCATCAATGTCATAAAGGCATGTCTTGAGTATTTCAGAGTAGTATGCTTTCTGTCCAGTGTCAGGGTTGTGGAAACCTTTAGGGTTACTGACTGGATCGTACAGACCCTGTAGAGTCTCCTTGTTCAAAAGACCCTGATCAACAGCAGTGCTGGCTGGAACCCTGACACCAATCTCTGGGTTGATCAGTCCTCCAGTGGAAACCTGGACTTCAAGGATCTTCTTGCCTTTGTATCTATCGAGAATCCTTTCCTCTATTGCCTGAAACACAGACAGCTTTTTGCCAGCATGGATATAGCCACTAACAGCTTTCTCAGCCTCTATCAGTTTATCTTGCAGGCTTGTCTCTATAATACCTCTCTCCAGAGCCTCAACAACTGAGTGTGTTTGCCCTGTGGCCAGGTCTGTAAGGCTTCCCGTTGCAGCCTGAGCCTCAAGAAACTCAACTGCATAAGTCTTTGCTAAGAAGCCCTTCTCCGCAGCTTCTAGGAAGGATATCTTTTTCTTACTCGATTCCACATAAACTCCAGCAACAGTAGTCGGTTTGCCAACATATTGAGCAAGCACCTCTTCCATCGTGATAAGACCCATCTCCAACTTACGCAAAACCTCTTCATCCAAGAGCTTAAATTTGATTAAGTCTTGAATACTTGTGTTGCTTTTGAGTTCTGGAAACTTCTGAGAAGTTGAATATATCACACTCAGTCTTCCATCACTGTCTGCTGAACTCTTCTCTGACATGTTTACAGTTTCACAAGTTTCTTTGATCTGATACATTCTTGTCTTAGTGATGCTATGAGGTTGCTCTGTTAGTCCACACAGAGCCATGTATCCATGTGTTGTCATGGTCATGCGCTCATCAGGTTTGATTTGGCTCTTAAACACATTTTGCGTGTCTTTTTGTAAGAGAGTAGGAGCAGAACTACTCAAAGGTTTCTTTGTTGTTGAATCATGAAGGCTTTGGCTGTGAATGACCTCAGTTTTGTCTTGTTTGACTTGTTTCAGTCCTGCAAGATTATTTTCTTTCTCCGTTGTTACTACATATTGACGGCTGATTCCACTGACTTCCCGTTTATTCATCCTCTGGTTTTCAGTCTTCATCCTGACCTCCAATGTCAAAAGCTTTTCCTGAAGACTTTTCACCTCTTTGACGTATGACTCTATTTGCTCCTGAAGAGACCTCTCTTCATTTTCCTTTAGTTTCAGTTTCCACTCACGGTCTGTCAACAGCTGTTTAGACTTAGCTGACTCCATTGACTGTTCATTACAAAGGCTTTGCAAAGCAGTTATTTTTGAGTTGAGTCTAAGTCTGTCTTCCTCAAGTTGGGTAATTTGTGATTTTGCTTTTGACAAGTCTTGAGTGAGCTTTGTTCTTTCTTGCTGCACTTCATCCATTTTGATCTGCAGTTGCAGCTGTTGGTCCAGTTGTTGCTTTGATTCCACAGTGGTTTGATGCACTGTTGTTGTCTGTGTAACATCTTGTTTGAAATACTTGTTAAGCATTTCTGCTAATTCTGCATTGTGTGACTGTAGCTTTGACCTCTCATTGTTATTTGTGATTTCAGAGTGCAGTAAAATTAGTTTTTTCTCTATTTCAGTCTTCACTAGCAACAACTGCCTCTCGTAGCCCTCTTTCTGAAGTTCGAGTTTACTCTTTAACTCCTCTAGCATTTTCTTGCACTTTTCCAGTTGTTCTTCCTTCTGCTGGGACCTCATCTGAAGGGCAGAGTTTTCTCTTTGCTTCTGTTCAGCTTCTGTTTGGGTGCGCTGCAGCTTTTCTTTAAGTGTTCTGACCTCAGATCCAAGTGAGATGTTTTTCTCTAACACCTCAACTTTCTCCCTCCTGAGAATTGCATTCTCATTCTGTAGATTTGACCCAGATTTGTCAGAACTAGAAATTATTTCTTTGATAGTCAGTTTATGTTTCTGAAGCTCAGTCTCCAGCTGCAATATTTTGGATTCTTTGACTTGTGTTTCTTTGGTCTCTGTAGCCAATTCATCTTTAGTTCGCTGTAGGGTGACACTTAACTCTGAAAGTTTATCATTCAAGTTCTCCACTTTCCTTTCTGTTGCTTTCTTATCGTTCTGAAGAGCATATATCTCCTGCTTTAGGCTTCCTGTCATTTTCTCTGAGCTGCTGGTTAACCCTTTAATACTGTGTTTATGTTTGAAAAGCTCATCCTCTAATGCCTTCACTTTATTCAGATGTTTTTGACTTTCAGCAGATTCTTTTTCCAGTTCTGCATTCTTTTTCTTTAGCATCATGTTCAAATCATTAATTTCAGCATTTTGCATGTGGACTTTTTGATTAACTAAATACTTCTCGGCAAGCACTGAGTTCTGCTCTGATTTCAGAGTTGTTATTTCTCTCTCATAAATGGCAATATTTGAATTGAGTGCTTTGATTTTCTGCTGCAGTTCAGTCATTTTCCTAACCTCCTCACTGTAATCCTGTATCTTAATTTGAAGGTCATGGGAGCTCTGGGACTTCTTATGTAGTTCCTCCTCAATAATTCTGACCTGTGATTTGGTGCCCTCCACTTGAGACTTTAAGATTTTAATTTGCTGATCCTTGCTGTCAGTCTCCATCGTCACCTGATCAAGTTCAGCTCTTACGTTCTTCAGATTCTTTTCCATCTCCATATTTATCTGTTTCATCTCATCTACTCTCTTTTGCAATTGAGAAGCAACTAATTCACTTTTTTGGAGTTCTGCTTCAAGGTTTTTACATTTGAGTTGAGACGACTGCTCATATGTCTTCATTAACACATTTTCCTCCTTAGCTGTTTGAAGCTGCTGTTTCCAGCTCTCAATCTCACTCTTCAAAGACTTTATCTTTTGTTCAGAAACTGATCTCTCTCTTTCTAATGACTCTGTTTGGATCTGAAGGCCTCTAATATCACTGTCGCACAAGACATTTGTCCTGGTCAGCTCATTACATTTAAACTTCAGCTGATCTATTACTGCCTGCTTGGAAGCTACCTCTTCTTCTAAGCTGTTAATCTTATAAATATTCTCCTGCTCCGAGGAATTTTTCTTATGCAGGTCTCCTTGGGTGATTTTCAGCTGCTCCTTAAGGCCTTCAACTTCTGTGCTTTGGAAGAAAGTGGTTTGTTCCAGTGCCGATTTTGCTCTTTGGTGAGATTTGATTTCTTCTTGAAGTTCATTTATGGATTTCTTCATGTTTAGTATGTCCTGCTGGAGCTCATCTGATTTCTCCCTCATGTTTATCCTCTCACTTTCCATATCCATCTGAAGTTTCTTCACTCTGTTATTGCTATCATCCAGCAGCTTTTTATAACTTTGTGCTTTCTCCTCAGCAATTTCTGCTCTTTTCTGGACCAGGACTAGTTCCTCTAGTTTCTGCTGCAGGACATCCACCACGATGTGGTCATTTTCTCCAACCGCAGATGACTGAGGCTCACTGTTGACAGTTGACTGACTGTCAAATGCTAAAGGCTGCTGAGACAGATCCTTTGCTTTAGCCTGGACTTGACTTTGCAACTCTTCCTCAGTACCTTCCTCCACATTTATTTTTCTCTTAAGTGTGGTGCTCTGTTTCTCAAGATCTGGGTCATCATTTGTCTTCTTTAAGAGGTCTTCTAGTTTCCTCTGAGCCGAAGACCATTTGGCCTCTGACTGCTCAATTAACAGTTTTGTGTGACTTAATTCCTGCTCAGTGGCAGCTTTGTCTGTAACCGCTATCTCTAATTTGGTGCAATATTGATGGACGTCATGCTCAAGCTGCGATTTCTGAAAGTTTAGATCGTAAATTGTCTTCTTTTGTGTCTCTACTTCCCCCTCCAACTTTTCCAGCTGCGCTTGTCTTTCAGCCAGCAAAGCCTCCTGTTCGTGGACCCGTCGCTTAAGTTGACTAATCTCTACTTCCCCTGCAGCTTTTTGGAGCTCCATGCTCTCTGTCCTTTTTGCAGTCTCTGCTCGTTCAAAAGCTTTTCTGTTCTATAATACAAAGAAAATAAGTCATCCACTGCCTCATGTTTAATTACAAATTAGTAAGTTAAAAAAAAAAAAATTGCATGAAAACGTTACTTCTTACCAGAGCGCTGCAGCAATATTAAGCAATCTCTCCAGGAATTTGCAATTTCAAGACTGCGTGATTTTTTTAGTTAACCAAAAATACTGTGGAGGGTTGAAAATTTTAACATTCACCACATTTAACAACAAGATCCTAGATGTATTATTTTAATAGCACTTGTTACAAATTTGATCACTTCATCTTTTCCCTCCCTGATCTCAAACTTGTAACAATCGGATTTTCAGAAAACAGGTGTGAGAATACGTCTCAGCACCAATACTTGGCAAAATACGCACAAAATACTAGACAAACTCCTGGAGAAGCTGTATTTTCCCACAGAAAGGCCAACACAAGAAAGACTTTCTGTCAAAGAACGACAAAAGCTGCTTTCTCCTCCCAGCAAGTCCCCATCACCAGCGATAAGAAGTCACTCTGCGTGCAGACATGCATCACTTTTCCGCATTTTCTTTGCTTCTTTAGAGCAATGAAGCAAATTATCTTCACTCATGATGAGCTGACCATATATATATTCAGGGATGCAACCCTCGGAGGACGTCAAAAAGTCAAGAGGGGTAACGAGGAAAAATACTGGAGGTGTCTTAGTGAGGTAGTGTTGGTGCAAAACAGAACATCTAGGAACCATGCAAAAGTGAAGAAGGTGAAGCTCAATTTGGCATTATACATTTTAGCAGCCGAAAAGCCCCAACAGTCTAAAATGTGCTGCATAAGCCAATGTAAATGCATAAGTGAAGTAGGAATCTCTCACCTCCTCCTCTTCGGTTCTCTTCAGTGTTTCACTGGCAAACTTCACATAATGCGTCATGAGAGTCACAAGAGCAGTGTAGCGGGTTCGCAGATCCATGAACTTTGAAAATGAAACAAGAAAAACAAGTATGTCATTGAGCATTTACTGTGCACAGAGCACAAATCCCCTGCCAAAGTTTAATCATAGATTTACCTCTTGCTGAATGGCATCAGAAGAGCTCTGCATCCTCCGCTTCTTCAGGGGAGATTTGTGTTGGGAGTCAACCATCGCTCTGAAGGTCATCAGCTGAAGCTCATAATCCTAAAAAAAAGATTTATGTGTTTGGTTAAAAGGTTGTTTTTTTTTTTTTCTCAAATATACCAATTTCTTTGTTTAGATTGTTGCATGGTCCTCCCTCAACAAAACAGCTAATTTTATATATACGTTTATATATTTTATATATTATAAAATGTAACAAATTGTCATAAAAATCAGAAAATATCTATGGGTCTGCAGGTTGAAGAGGGGGCGAAAGAAAAACTTTAAAAATGAGTTTAAATAAGTTGAAGTAAATGAATTTACCTTAATGGCAGATGAGTACTGCTCTGAGTACTTCTGGCACTCATCCATTCTGCTCTGCTTTTGTTCAATTTCAGCAACAAGGACCTGGTAATCAAAGACACAATTTAAATATATATTTATACATCATATCGTGTCTTTATCTCAGTGTGAAGAAGAAGTTCAATCTTGTTCTACCTTTTGTTTGTTTAAGAGCTCAGCCAGTGCCTTGCTATCCTCAGGTTTATTTTCTTGAGCCTTTAGCTGTGCTTCTTCCATTTCTGTGACCCATTCATCGAGGCTGCTGTAAGAGTCTCTGTAGTGTTTCAGAGATTTGTTGATACCATCCAGGTCCCGAAGTCTGAGAATGAATGAATAACCTCAATAAGAAATACTTATCTTTGTAATACTTGCACACATATGATATAAAAAAAACACTAACCTGCTGTCAATCTGGGAGTGAATGTTCTGCCATCTTTCACTCAGCTGATCAGCTTTCTCCTTGTGCCAGTCGAGGTCAAAGTCACGCTCATTGTGGGCCTTAAACATGCGGTCACTGATCACTCGTGCTTTCTGCAGCTCATCCTCCATGTCATGGAACACCTCCTGCTGCTCATCAATCTCTGTCCGCCATTGCTATGATCAGAAGGAGAAGCGATCACTCAAAAAGAGCTGAAAACGTTGCCAATGTCGGCGAAGGGTTTTACCCAAACAGTGCATTACCTTAAGTGTTGAAATGACAGTCTCAATGGACTTGACATCAGAGTTCATGGCATCTTCCTCATAGAGTTTGGATTCATAGGCTTTAACTAGTGCCTCTGCACTCTGGCTGTGCTTCACCACCAAGCTCACAGTTTTCAGTCTGTGAAAAAAAAAAGAAAGAAAAGAGGAGCGTTCCTTCAATTCATCTACTAAATGCCACTATAATTATTTGGGGACAATGAAAGGAATGTCTTACTTGTCCATATAAATGGAAGACATGGAGTACACTTGGCTCATGCTCTGAACGAGGACGGTGAGTTCGGACGAAAGCGTCGGCACAGACGGGGAACCTGCAGCCTGTCTGAGGAACAGCTCGCACTTCTCCTTCATGACATCCAGATCCTCCTTCAGTTTATTCAGCTCTGCTGTTTTCCTCTGGATGGCGGAATGTAAGAAAATCATCATTAAAGTAACAACACCAGCAAGTTCTTCAATGTGTTACGTGTTAATTACTGACACCCAGACGTGTACCTCGTGCTCCGTGATGCGCTGCAGACTCTGCTCCAGGTCATCCCTCTCGAGCGGCGTGCGGATTTGCCTGATCAGGTGTTCTTCGTGGGCCTCCAGATGCATGCGGAAGTTGCGTATTTCTGAGATGTAATTGTTGTACACAGACTCCTCGTGTTCCTCTGTTACAGAGAAAATATACTTGGTAAGAACACTAACATGAGAGCATGAAATTTTTTTGGAGTTTCAAACAGTGACAAGATGATTTTGTTGTATTTTTTTTTAAAAACTGCCAATGCCAAAGTTTGTCTCCGTCAGAAAATCACAACTACAGACAATTGCACATGATAAAACAAAGGGAGTGTTAATCCTGCGTACAGTGTTGACTCACACATGAGCTGGCAGTAACAAGTTCACCTCTAGGTGGCATCATTATAGGGCCTTTTGCAATGAGGTGAAGTCATACACAAATGAAGGAAATAAGATGAGAACCTTTTTGTGAAAAGGGGAGGTGCATCTATGTAAATGAATGTGTCTCTGTTTATCTACACAGATCTATGTAACATCACAACATAACATTAAAAGTATTCAGTATTTTTTTCTCCAGGTATCCCACCCTATTAAAAACCCATGACCACACACTAACAACGTCCCAGTGTTTGCTTTACTTCACAGCAAAGCCAATCATCTCTATAGAAACTGACTTAAGGCTTAAATGGCTTAAAGTGCCATGTGTTTCCCTCGCGGTGCTGTGTTCAGTTTTACAGCAGCAGCTCCTTGTTGGAGGGGACTGAAAGGGAATCGGAGCCTTGCCTCTTTCCGCAGATCTGAGCAGTTCCTGGTAGTAGTCCTTGCAGGCGGCGACGTCTCTCTCGAGCTGGGCGCAGTCTGCCACTGTGAACACCTCAGACTCCTCGCTGTCTTCCAGGAACTCGTCGAAGTGGGACTGTAGGTTGCTCAAGACCTGCTGATGCTCACCTGGCAGCATGGTCTTTATCTGGATTAGTTTGCGAAACGAAAGTGGAAATAAGACAAACACAAACATATTTATTAGAATGATCATCAAAAATGTATCTGTTTATCGAGAAGAGTCGTAAAAGGAAAAAACAAACATACTGAGGCCACGTTCCAGTTGCGAATGGCTCGTATGTCAGCCATTAGATAATGCCAGGACACCACGCTCTTCATGTTGATGTGGGAGTGGTGCCACAGCGCCAGGACATTCTGGTATAACTGCTCAGTTCTGCAGGATGAGGCAAGAGGCATTAATAATGTATCCCAACTCAGCCTGGTCACCGCAACGTACGCATTCAGGGGCATTTGAATTAGTGAGTCAACTTTATATTTAGTGTAATTGCAGTGTTGGAAACTCAACGCACAAAATGAATCCTAGCGCCTCACCTTGTTGCCATATCAACAGCCTCTTTGTTGGGTGGAGGCACAGTGAAACACACAGAGGGCACCATGGCCTCGTTCCCTGCTGGGTTGATGATTTTCCACTTGGCCCGGTGAGAGTTATTGGCCAATACGCACTCGTCTTCTTTGTAAATAGTGATCTGAAAGAGTTGGGATAAGACACACGGTACAGATTTTGTATGACACACTGAAATAAACTGAAATGAAATGTGGCGCAACACAGCGCGGAGAGCTGTACCTCTATTTGACGATAATCACAGATGGCTTTTACAGGGAGGGAGGATCTCACAGGGCTCTCAGGGTTCCTGGGTCTGAGCTGCACAATGTTTTTGGCCCTGCCCACTAAACCAGCCACCGTGCTGCGGTACTGAAGGAGCTGCTCTTTCTCATCCTAGGGACACACAACACCAGTGCAATGTTTTTTTTCTTTCCTTTATTTACCTTCACATACATGCACACTTTATATCCTTCCATCAGTTTACCATGGACTCCTGAATGAGGTCCTCCAGTCTGTGCAGGCTGCTCGTTCGGTCACAGCTGTATTTCCTTTGAATGGCATCTTGCAGGCTCTTAAGGTAGTCTATGGACTCTTTGGCATCACTGAAAAACTGCACAGGGGATAAGAATGAGAAACTGGCTGCGTCTAACAAAAGAGTCTTTTCTGCATTAACGAAGCAGCAGCTCACCTCAAAATAAACAGCATTCTCCTTGAGATGCTGTTCCACGCACGAGCAGAGCTGTAAAATCCAGCTCCACTGCGTCTGCATGGCGGCTCTGTACGCCTGGAAGAGAAGTGACGCAGAAAAAATATAAACACACAATATCCAGGTGTAATAGCTGGAAAATTACAAGCTGAAACAGGACTTCACAATCTTTTAATCATAGTGCGGCAGCTGTATGCAGGGTGGAGACTCTACCGCTGTTCCAAATGTAATTGTCATGCTGACCGCAGCGCTGAGAACAGAGACAAAAACAAAAAAAAAAAGGGCTTACTTCAATAGTTAGCTTGGCTGGGTGGTTCTTGTGCATAAGGCGTTCTGCCTTGTCCTGCACAGACTTGATCGTGTCCTCCTTTTCATCCAGCTCCCTCATCAGGTCCTGTATAAAGAAATTAAGCTGAGTATCTCTGACATCCAGCTGTGGCAAGTGACCATTCACTCCATCCTCTCACACGATCTCATATCCTGCCTCGCACGGCTGAGCGTGAGGTTAATCACTCCGTCCACAATGCGAAGACAAATCCCTTCACTGACACGATTGTTTGCTTAAATGAATGCAGCTGAAACGCAGCCAACCCTCTACAACCAAAACAAGTGCCCGAGCAAGTCCTTGTTACTCTGTCTGCACGGGGGATTTCACAGATTACAGATCATTAAAAGACGCTTACGGCATGGTAGTCTCTTTTCTTGGAGATGTTGCTGTTGCGATCGCTCCAGTCAAAGGCGACCTCCTCCTCCTCCTTCTCGTTCAGCCAGATGAGCTCCTGAGTTGCCTGAGACACAAAGTCGTGCAGGCTTTCCAGGTGGCTCTGTCGCTCTCTTGAACAGCTCTGAAACAAGCAGGCAACCGTGTATTCAGACGACAACGAGCATTTCCACAGCAGCACAGATTTTAGATCGTGACTTCTGCGAACTTACCAACAGCCTCTCGTACTGCTTTTCTAGTGTGTTCAGTTTGTCTGAATAAGTTAGCTTCAGGGGAATGGTCATCTGAATCTGAGAGAAAAAAAACATGTTTTGTTGTATTTTTAGTTTCCTCTTCAGGATTTAAGATTTAATTCAGAGAATGGAGCAACTACATTCAAACTCATTAGAGTTTAGTTTAGATTATAAAACAGAAAGAAACTAAAAAATCCTTACTTCACTCAGTTTGGCATCTTTAAGACTCATTTGAAATTCTTCAATGGCTCTATGTACACTTTTGTGGTTCTCTAAATGCAGCTCCACACTTGGCAAATCAGATCCCCACTCTGAACGGTCCAGCTGCACCTTTAAGACGGAAAGGAAAAGAAAAAAAAACAAAAACAAATTCAAAATATTTAGTATCTTATTTTACAATCATAGCTACAGTACATTATAAATAAACTGGTGTTGGCAGCTCACCTGCATCTCTTCCACCCAGTTCAGCAGGTCCTGAACATATTTCATGTTGACCTCCTCCTCGGTCATGTTGGGGTCTGCCAGTGAGGATTTCTGTAAGGGCTTGCGGATCTGCATGTGTTTCAAATGCCTGAGGCTGCCTGGGTCCATGCCGCCACCGCTCCCCATGTAGCTCTGGACTGAAGCAGGCTGCAAGCCGGGGGTCAAGGCGGGGGTCAAGGACGGGGTCAGGCACGGTGTAAGGCTAGAGGTGAATGTGGACCCAGGGGTACCTAACCCCCCTGGGGTGAGTGCAGGAGTGAGGGCTGGTGTCAGGTTTGTGCTGATGTTCTGGGAGAAGCCAGAGTTCAGGCTCTGTGTGATGCCTGAGATCATCATTTTGGTTTGTTCTGTTGTCAGGGTTCGGCCTTTGCTGTACACAGAAGAACACTCAGCTCTCAGGGTTAGAAGGTCATCCCGGAGTTTAGATACCCTGTGTTGAAAAAGGAACAACAATATGAGTCATCGTAACGTATGAGAATATTCTGCGGGTTATTTTTGCAAGGGGATCTATTTTGTACCTCTGGACTAGTTGATCCGCAAAGGGGAATTTCCCATCCAGGAGAATTTGGATGTCCACCACTTGTTGTCTGAGGATATTCTCGCACTCCAACAAGTAGCCAGCAATCTCAGCTTCATGTAGGAACTGAATTCCTGACTCAAGACGTTTTGCATCCTGAGCAGAGGGGGAAAAAAAACAGACTTAAAAACTCAAGACAAACAACGTACACTCAGTAATATTTTGTTATAACCTCTGAGAAAACTTACAGACTGCAGGGCTGTCCGCGCCAACGCCAGCTTATCCTCCCCGTTAACACAGTCCCGCTGGACCCTGTTGGCAATCTGCTGTAACATCTCAAGTCTGCAAAAAAAAAAAAAAATGACGGAAATGTTATCGCTTTCAATAAGAACTAAAGAGTTTCACAAAAGCCACGCACGCACACTGTAACCTCACCTGGATCCATAGGCAATGCTGTTATTGAGAAAGACTGAGCTGTTAATTCGTAAAGGCTCAGTGAGGACGCTGTCATTGGAGCCACAGCTGGTGAAGCTGCTGTTGCTAACAGACGAGATCCCGCTAAAATAGGCCATCTTACTTCTAAACAGCTATTGCCACTCCCAGCCACTGAAACGATCGCCGTCTCTCATCCTAAACATCCCTCTGGAAGAAAACCCAGCCTCGAGCTCACCTTTACAGTTCGACTGCAAAGCGTTCGCAGTCTGAACTGATGGAACGACTTTCAACCTCCTCATATTTATAGTGTCGCAGCCAGGTAAGGAGCGTGTAAAATGAATCCCACCCTGACATAATATGCTGCCCTGAGGGGATAAAAATTAAATAACAGGTTGAGACAGTACTCCTTTATAAGAGCTGAGACTGTATAAAAGAACTGCCAAACTGCACTTACTGCCAGTTTTTTCACCACACCCAGCATTAATGCTGTAAATATGATGTGTTTATAAACCACAAAAGCAGGAACGGAGATGTAAACTTGTGTAAACTATTGTTAACAGAGCGTTTCCATAGAAATAAGATCGCCTCTGCAAACAAACGCTGATGGAAAGAGAACACCAAATAGAGTTCAAAAACTTGACCAAGCTTGCCATTAGAAAGTTGTCACCCTGTATTATATCAGAAAACATCTTTGATTCAAGCAGGCTGTGACCTTAAATCCACCTATTTATGTTGGTAACATTTGCAAGTTTCTGCCTTTTCAAAGTAACTAGACACCAGATCCATCACGGAGCAACTGCTTTAACGTTCTGCAGTTCATGAATGAAGATTCATTTGCTTCCTGATGATTTTTGCAAATCATCTGTTACAGTGGAACAAAATTCCACCGTATCATATACAAACTGCGCACTTTGGCTGCAGTAAATCTAACCCGGCAATACTGTGCACAACATAGATATGTTGATAGAAACCTTATCATAGAGGGCAACAGCTCAGTGAGGGGATTTCTATCACACTCATAAAAACACTAACATGAGACACCGTCCGTCTGTGTCTGCTTTCAGTAGAGACATTAGTGAGCTTGCAATACGACACTGGAGCACTCCAGCCTCACAAAATGTTATGCTGACTCATGTAGCATCTTTGCTCCTTTATCTATATACCGTACATTTCACTGAGATAAACAGCACATTATCCAAATGTTTCACGGCTTAGATCCCAGTGTGTGGCCTCAAACACACATGTCGTCATATTAAGCACCAGTTATGTAATAAAAATAGCGTTAGTGAAATAGTGATCTTTGGTAGATAAATAACCCATAATATTAGGTAAAAAAAACAAAAAAAAAAAACAATAAACATTACTCTCTCAATCACATTATGATAGGCCAGGACAGAAAAAGTGTTAATATGCTCAGTGCCTCTGCATACCTCTCCACCTCGGGCCTCAGGCTCTTCTCTCTTTCCAGCATGGCAACAATTAATTTTCCCCATTCCTTCTCCACATCGTTGGGGTGATGACCCGGGGGCAACTGAATACGTCCAAACTCGATCCACATCTGAAAGATCATCGACACCGCAAACATAAGATTTTGTTATTATAACATCGTTTAAGACTATCAACGCCGCGATGGGAAATATAAGCGGCGTGCTCTGCTGTGTGCTGCGTTTACATACCTCGAGCATTTTGTAGAGATTTTTGATTTTTGTCTTTTCGTTCTCTTTCAGTGGGATTTCGTGTTCTTTAAACTGCAGATACTGTGTATAAAGTGCCTGTAAAACAAAGCAGAGGTTACGCTGAAAATGTAGTTTTTTTTTATTTTTGTACCACAAAGCATCAGAATAGATATTAACTAGGAGGAAGATCTGTCAATATTAGTCCACACTCTCTACTTGTCTTGAAATCAACTGCGTTAAAGTGCCGTCGTTGTTAGAGGCTATCGATCTCCTGCAGCAAACGGATGCTGCTGCTCTCTCACATCCATCAATATCACTTTAAGTCTCAGTTACAGCAGATAAACTTTTGAAGCCGGCAATTATCCTTCTCCTTTGAGGCATTACATGCGGATTCTAAGCGCTCTGTAAAATGAGACAGCTGAAGTTCAAGGTAAATTAAAAGTTAATAATAATGACTAAAATCTACAAAATGGGGTTTATTTGTTGCGGTACGATACCTTGAGTTCCACAGGGCTGTTGGGGAATGATCTATCTGACATTATGGCCACATTGTGTTTGATCCACTGGCTGAGGTATTTGATCATGTTCTGGTACTCCACCCATTTGATATCCACATCCTGTTCAGAGCAAAAGGATCATCAGCAACAAAACACTTCTCAGCACTTTCACTCTGGGTGGAGTTGCTGAGGGACAGACGCCATCGACTTACATTAGGATTGATTCCCTCAACACCGTCAGGTACTTTGGGGAAGGCGTCGTACAGCGTTGAGACGTATGTGATGACTGATTTTTCATCCGGTGACTGAACATCTACGTCTGATGAATGAGGTGAAAAAAACAAAAAAGGGTCACCTATGAGCTGTACTCAGTGGAATTACTCCTCAAGCCAAAATCCGAGCTTCACTCCAACATGATTTAAGGTGTGTGTGTGTTTTTTTGGAGCCAAATCAAACACAACTGTATATATGGGTCTCACCCTCAGGGTCCAGCAGCCTGGCCACCCCCAGCTGCTCGGCTACACCAAACGCGTGCTCTAAATTTGATCTGTTGGTCTGTGTGGACACGCGGCTCATGTCAACAAGGTCTGGCCTACAACAGAAAGAGACGGAGAGAGAAAAAGAGACTTGTAAGCCAAGTATGACGAGACAATACTGACAAGGTAACACTGGGAAAACAAGACATTAGAGCTGAAGGAATAAAAGTAAAATCAGGGAATGAGGCTAATAACGCCAACATTTTTTTTTTTTTTGTGTGTGTGTACCTGTATTTATGAATGATGGCGTTGAATAGCCTCCCATCCCTCCAGGAGGTTGTGAAGTTTTCACATCGGACGCCTACATAGCCATCTGTTATCTGCTTGGACCAGAGCAGCAGCCTCTCCTTGGCTGTCATGTCCTCGGACTCCCCTGTCACATGGATCTCCGAGATCTGTCGCCAAGAGAAAAAGAAAAAAGTGTTTCAAAATGTGCTGACGTGAAAATGTGCAGGTAAGCCGCTTGGTCGAGAGACACAGAAAAGACCTTACCATTCACCGATTTGTCTATTTCATAATATAAAAAGCAAGCTATGCAGGAGTGGTAACAATATCAGAAAATGTGACAGCACCACAAATTACAGCTGTAATAAAAAAAACTAATGCGTTGACTCAACACCTCTATGACTCAGCAAAGGATCAACACCTCTATGACTCAGCAAAGGAGCAACATGTTAGACCTAAAGTCAGGGTTTATTATACAGAGAAATATTCCTGTAAATAATAAAATATAGATGTATTTTATTTCACATCTGACAAGAATCAGAGGTTCTTCATCCAACACATGAAAAGCTCTGTCCGTACTTTAAACACGGAAAATTTCAGCGGGCAAGTTAAAAGATAGAGCCGTGTAATAAATCACCCAACAGCTTTACAGCATACGAAACGGATGAAGAGCACGATGACGTAAAAGAAACAGCGCCACGTAAGGTAGGAGAGGATAGGATGATCTTTATTAATCCCCAGCAGGGAAACTGGTTTGCCACCATAGACAGAGACATATACACAGAATCAATGCAACAACAGTAAGAGTCAGTGAAAAACCAAGTATGTAGCTGATAACAGGATGAAACGCAAGCTCGTAAATACCAAGAGTGCAAATGTGCCAAAGTAAACTGTATGCAGACAAGCATACAGCAAGCATAGGTAACTGCAGCGCACTATGAATGAAAAGGTAACCGCGTCAACGTCGGCCACAGGAACAAAAGACGTCCCTGGACCTTTCAGTGGAGCAAGTTGCTCCTGCTGCTCTTTATGAAGCTATTGTGGAAGGGAGGGTCATCCTGTGACAGAACACTATACTACAATTTAAGACATCTTAACAAGCCTCAGGCCTTTGTACTTTATCTTCCGGTAATACGCATGTCAAGCGGCAGGAAATAATTCTGTTTGCCATGCAATACATCTTGAAGAGTTTGTTCCTGTTTCCCATATCACAGAAAATATCACCATCAATCGTGAAAACAACAATGGAAAGCGGAAAAGCAGTAACAGTCACGCATACAACACACAAGATTAATCTGCCACTTCTTTTTCTCAATGAATCAAAAAGTGAAACACGTCCATCAGAATCTTCCTGACCCGGGTTTGTTTTATTCAACTGGCATTTCAAAACCCAATGATAATTTTTTTACTATCACACATCAAATCATCACACAATCAATTGTCAAATGAATTGCCAATTCATTTTCTTCCAATCAACTAATCAATTAATCGCCTAATCTTCGCAGCTCTACAACAAAAAGCTTGGACAAAGTTAACACACACACACAAAAAAATATCACCATCCTGTAGAAAACCTGAAGCATTTCTACACAACAGGCCTACAGCCACAGACACAAGGTTGATTTGGTCCTTTAGTCCATTCAGCAGGGATCCTAAAATGACAACTCTGGCAGTAACTGAGACATGTTGAACAAGGGATGATGAACAGATCAAGACAGCACAGGCTCAACCATCCTGCGACCATGCTGAGTAAATAAGTTGAAGAGCTGAACCTGACTTCTGCTGGACAGGATGAGGTTTCCATATCACACCACAATAAAAAAATAAAAATAAAACAGATCCAATCAGACTGGGATAAAATAAAGCCATCATGGAAACATAAACATGTTTCTAAGATAATAAAGGTGCTTTTTTTTTTTTTTTTTTTTTTTTTTTACAAACAAAATTGACACATTAGATTCAAAACGCAGATAACCAATAACCGCCCTGAGATATTTGTAATTATCAACCAGACATCATCAGCATGTTGTGCCGATTTACATACAAGGTCTGGCAGCCATTAATGTAGAAAATATAAAGAATATATCCACTATAATATCAAACATACTGTAACTACATAACAAACATAACTATTCTAGAGAGATCACTAATTAGGACAATTAAAACAAGCCTTTTGTGTTCTGAATAAAACTGACTCATCACTCCTAAACACACCTCACTCAATTATTTAACTTAAGAAAAACAAAAATTGCATATTTTTCACCAAAAGAGTCACTTTTCCATTATACATATGAATATAAGTATGATTTACTGGGTTATAAAAAAAAATGTCAACACACTGTCCCTGAGCAAAGTAAATATTTCAAATCTGATAATGCAGCCATTTACAATGCTACAGGTGATGCCTGTGGTGTAAATATATTATTGAGATATAATTATTATTGATAATTAGGTAATGGGTGAAGTAGTTTAACAAAATGAACAACTTCTTTATTCTAGCATATGTTTTCACTGTAGTACTTAAATACCATTATTTACACACCGCACTTGCAATGTTCAAATTACATTATACCCCAGTCAAACCCCTTATTAATCCATCATGAATCACACACGTAAATGCTATAAATAACATGTTCTTGGTTTACCTCGAGTTGCGTGGAAATACATTTGGCAGGAGCTGGAGGATGTTCTACGTAACCAGAGCAGGTGTAGGCCCTCCGTCTCCTCCTCCTGTGTGCTTGAGAGTCCCATATAATCTTGGCAAACCTTTCCTCACTCCCAGGTCTGTCATTACCCCTCAGAGTCCGTAGCATGTGCTCCACTGCTCCGAAGCTCACAGCCCTCCTCAACTGGCGCTGTAGCAGCTTCTTCACAAGCAGGCCATCCTTGGCTGAGACACCTCTGGACGTTGTGTTAATACAACGAAGCTTTTCTTCTACAGAGGACCTGCTTCTGTCACCGTCTGTCTGCTCTGTGGAAAACCTTCCCAGCCTGCACGCTAACCTCTTGCCGAGAGGCTGATTATTACGATCTCTGAGGATTAAAACTGGTACCTCTCCGACATAGACGCCTTTGCTGATGCTGTCCTGCCTGAGTAGAGGATTCTCCACCTCTGATGGTTTATCCAGCAATTCTTGGTTCCCCCCTGTGCTCCCATCCGGGCCATCCTGAAGCTCGGCACTGTCACAGATGTCCCCACTTGCAATGGCTTCACTTCCACGACTCCTGAGAGATCCAGCAGGCTGAAATTCCCCAGATTTCCTCTTCTTCCGTTGAAAATAGCGTCGACCTTTGTGCTCTTTAGACTCAGGGTTCAGAGGGGCTTTCTTGGGGTCAACATAACATTCCTCTTTAGGGCCTCGAACACAGCCACAGATGTTTCCCATGGCTGACAGTCAAATAGTCTCTTCCCCATCGACCGTGTCAGAGCTGCTTTCAGGCAGAGTATCGGGTGAGGTCCAACTGATCCGAAGAGCCAGTATCCCGCTGACAGAAAGCCATGTTCACGCTGCGCAACGAGCGCACAATGCGCGGTGACAAACAGCCTGGCAGCCAGACATAAACCTCGGCTTCACCCAGAGCAGAGTTGGCTTTTCCCTTTCGTTGACTCTCAGAGACTCCCAGCTGAGAACTGGTCAGCCTCTCTCTCTCTCTCTCTCTCTCCCTCTCTCTCTCACTGTATTTCTCTCTGGCTCGCTCGCTCTCTCTTGGGTCTCTCCTCTGACACTGGAATCCTTTCTGACCTTTGAAACATTTCTCTGGCTTTGCTAATCCAGCACAAACACCATAAATGCACATACAGACGTGCCCCACGTGTCCGCAGCCCTCAGCTGAGCAAGAATGAAAAAAGACTTGTGGACAGACCTGTTTTTGGGGCCGGCTGGTCTGCTTCATCTACAGTAAACATGTGCATGTCACAGCCGCTACTTGGGTTTCCTAATATTTGTGTCTGTGACGAGGGGTGAAGGGAGGACAAGGTTTAAAGTGCTAGAGGATGCCAGCTGATGGCCACCTATTATGCTGTGAGAAATTTTGGCTCAGCAAGTTTGGCTGCACGAACCAGACAGAGTCCCAGCCGGTCAGAGGGGCTTTGAAAAACAGAACAGCGTGGGTCAACGAGAGCGGCAGAAGCAGAGGCAAATCCGAGCTGGACAACAAAGTGCTTTCACTTTGTCTATTAATCAAGCCACGTACAATGGCAAAGCCAGAGGTGGGGCGTAAGGACAATGGTTTGAACAAACACTATTATCTGAGCAGATCACCACCGCCGCAGTTCACAAGGGGGCAAATGCTCTGACTAGGAAGTGATTCACCGTGTAAAACCATCACAACAATTAGACAATAACATTGCCCGACAAAGTGTGGCACAAGCCCAACTGCAGAGGTGCGTGTATCGATACTTTTGAAATAAGTAGCATGCGAAAGAGTGAATATAATGCCACCACACAGCTAAATATAACTGTGTCACCGTGAGCTCACAATATCTGAAATGAAGTTTCCCTGAGGGTCAAAGTCACCTGACAGCAAACACAGTTCAAACTCCTGCTTCTATTTATGGCCAGCTTATGGTCAAAATATTGAGCGGTATTACTGCAGTATTAAATGATGTCTGCGCATGTTATATTTCAGGAAAAGGATCATATGATTTATAGCCTTAGGTGTTACAGTTTATTTTTGCAATGACAATGTTATAACAACAGAGACTGACTGACATGAGTGAATCATGTGTTGAGTGAGTGACAGAACAAGAGACGTGGCACACAGAGACAGTGATGGTGAATCAGGGCAAAACAAACAAAATAGGCACAGACACGCCTGACAGCAGTGCTATGTCACCGGCTATGCTAACGTAAACACTACACTGCCCCCGTTGAAAATACAGCGTGAGCCCATTTGTGAAGACTACAACAGTAATGAAATCAACTTCTTATCTGTACAGGCATGATCGAACAATGGCCGGTGTCTGTAATTCAAGACTTTAACAGTGAAACAGTAACCCAGCCATAGGGGAACAGCGCACACACGCACGCACACACACACGCACACACACACACTGTAAATACTCTCATTTTGTATGAGTTCATATTAAAATATTAGCCCGCTGATATAAGAAAAGCACGTACAGTATGTCCCCAAAACAACCCCTGTCGTCTAGACGGAAACCGATTCGGGATAATTTAGGCAAAACCAGGCGTATAAAAGAATATGATATAAAAACAGTGTTCAGTCTTTACATGTCAATCTGCTGGCAGCATATAAAAATTAGACAAAGCAGTACGCTGTGACTAAGGCTCAATACTTTCTCCTGACGTGCCCTGCTACCCTTCCAAAATCAAGAGGAAACAGGCCCAATCGCTGCTGGAGCGACTGCTCAAGGGCTTGCGTGAGACTGACAGCAGCAGGTGTTGGCATTATCAGAGACGCTACCTGTCAGCATGTTCAAGTGCATGCAAAATTATATTAACTTTTTTTTTTTTTTTTTTCCCCCATCATTATTTCACAGAGTGCATTAGTCAGACAGATGCATGCTTGTTCTGAAATCACTGCGATCTCAATCAGAGATGAAAGTCTACTGTAATATTCCTGTTAGTGACCAACAACTGAGTCAACGCCATGTGCAAGAGGGATATTAATAATCCAATGCAAGACAGTCAAGACTAAGACAGAGAGAAGGAGAGTAAATGAGAAGTAGTTTAAAGAATGAAATGTCTGCATGATATTGAACTGCAGTGGACACCTGGATCCTGGCATGCAAACACAGACCAACCCACTTGACATGATTTGCCTCAGAGAGAACATTCAGGGGGAAACATGAACGTAGCACAGAGTACACAAGAATCCGCAGAGCATTTTGTCCTGTAAAACAAATTTAGACTAAAGTAGGTTTTGGGAAATAATGAATTACATAGGGTACAATACTTTTCTTTTGTGAATACCAAGATATTTCAGCTACTAAGAGGTACCTGATGTGAACTTGCCAAGTTACAACTTGAATCAAACATGATCTAAAGACAGTAAGCAACGCTAACATCATATATTTCACAGCAGTCTCCAAGGAATAAGATTACAATAACAATGTTCTGCATGATGTAAGCTGCACAGCTTTGACACCTTGTGGTCAAAAGTAGAAACATCCACTTCATGGGTGTGGACTCACTGAAGGCCATTTAACACACTATTATGTAAGTCAATAACCGGCAACATGGATGTTTTTTCTGTTGCCTTCAAATACATTTGAACTCCCACAATCCTCTGCTTTAAAAAGATATGTAACAGGTAAGTCAGACGTAGAGGTTTACACAAATTAACAGCCGTTATCAGTGTGAGCTCATCAGTTACACGTAATACAAAAAAATAAAAGTAATTGATAATCCATTATCTGGGTAATAGATCATCTTAATTCCATGGCTGTTAAAAGCATAAGAATTTCCCGACCATAAAACGACAACACTGACCTGAAAGTGCAGAATTATGGTCCAGATCAGTCCCAGGGTCAGTTTTGGGTTACCGTCTGTGATGTCGTCATTCCTGATATTTACAAGTTTGACCTGATGACAAGAAACACGATTAATACACACACGTTTACAATAACTCAAAGTGTAAATGACCTGCTCTTGAGTCTCTAAATGATGGTATTAACCATTATATTTGTGTTGTGTATTCAACATAATAAAGGTGAACGTTCACTGTACTGTGCCCATGTTGCCTCATAGGCCTATTGTTTAAAATGCACCACAAGGTGGCACAATAGTCATTATATCGTTGTGGAAGAACAGTGTTATGGTCCGCACAGTGTGAGGCTGAGGTGATTGAGAGAGCATGTTTGCTACTGATTAAATGCTATAAAGCTGCCAGGACTGCTTTATCTGCTGCTTTATCAAAGTGAGAAATGATGCGTATTTAATGACGTCCTTCACTTAAAACAGAAACGGAAAGCAGAGTCTGATCATAGTGTTGGTTTAATATAGAGATAATGAATTTCTTCCTCCTGTGCCAGCCTGATCATCTTTAATAACTGTGACTTCCAACATCTTTCTTCGGAGGATGCGTGGATGTGTCTGGTGTGAACTGTAGCCAAAACAATAGAACAACTCATTTGTGACCATCTATGAATCCTTTGTCTCGAGCCTTACGTCACATCTGGCTGTGGCTCAGCCAGGCTGTGTTCTTCATCACGTCCTGACTGAGGTGGGGGAGGGGAGGGCAATCAAGGCTTTTTTAAACCCCACTGATGGGATTTGTAGTCAGCGCTCCTTAAACGCTGCTACTAGCTCCTTAAATGCTGCTATTTACCACTAGTGGCAAATGAACTGAAAAGAATCTGTCACAATATTGAGCTGGATATGAATCCATGGCAGCATAGGAAAGGCAGAAAAACATGTTTTTGCTATTACATCACTGAATCAAATCAATGAGAGCAGGCTGATTTCCAGTAGTTTAATGCTTTGAAAGGTTTATGACAAAATTTTGGCTGAAATTTATTTCAGTCCTGAGTCAAAAATGTGACCGCACAAGAGTTTGAGAGGACACTTTGACTGATTCTTACCTGCCGCCTCTTCAAATAATCCAGTGCTATTTGTACATTCTGGAGTCTGTGGAAGCGCATCCTCCCTCTCTCCCGAGGCTATGGACATAAAGAGGGGAAGAGGAGCCATGCATGGTAATCAGGTTCTTCTCAATATCACAGAACAAAATTACAAAAATGATTAGTGGCATAGAAGACGCAGGACATCAGGACATGCTTCTAGGTTCTTACCCGCTGATCTGGAGAGGTAAAGACTTAAAAGAACACACACACACACAAAAAAAAAAACTCTACCAACAACAGGAGCATCCATTCCTGCAAGTCCACTCAAAATCTGTGCATACTGTACATATAATCTACCATCCTAGAACATTTTCCACCATTTCCACCTCCACAAATTTGCTCTGAACTTGTTATAACAGATTAAGTAACATAACCTGCTCGATAATCCGCTCTGACAGCCAAAGGTGCAATTGAAATATATTTACGCTCAGTTCTCGGTGGTGTTAAGGATAAATAAAATATCGTATCGTGTGATCTTGTGTGGCAAAATGCACGTGGACGGTCAGGGGCCACAGCGTGAGGTAATGAAATGGAAAATGCACTCAAGCCGGGGTGCAGCAGCAACGGCAAAAGACTTGTGCCGCATTCAGCCATATATCTACGCTGATGGTAGGAAGAGGATGACGAATCCCGCTCATCTCAGTAGCAAAGCAACAACACTTCATAAAAACCCATGTCTTTCATTCAGTGAGTGTCATTCACTTATGAAGCCTTCTGCAAAAATACTCCAAAGCAGCGGATGAGAAGTGTCCTGATGCTCACGCAGGTTCGGAGCACTTTGACTGTATGGTTCAATAATGTGCAGAGTTTTTTTTTTTCTTTTTTTTTTTCTTTGAAATTTATTACATCTTTTTTTTGCTAGGCCAGGATGCCAGACTTCTTATTGTTTCCTCTTTTTTTTTTATCTCACATATACTGTACGTTAAAAAGAAGATTTGAGCAGGAAGCTGCCTGGGTCTCTGGATCATGTCCACATTTCTCTGTATCATCACTATCATCTGGTATGTGAAACAAAGATTCTGACATTGTTTCCTGATCAAAAGAAGTGGCATTATGAAACATAATGTTCCATAGAAATCACAAATTTAGCAAATTGGAAAAAGGGGAAAATACTCCATAAGTGTATAGAGGAACTACAATATCTGCTAAAGCAATTAAGTGAGACTATACACAGAGACAAATCATACAGTGGGATTGTGGGATTGTTTCTACACCTCTGTTAACTGGCCACAGCACGCTCTGAATTAGTTTGTTACAAGGGGGTGGAGGGGGTGAGCCACACGTACCCCCTTATCATCATCCACCGTGTCTCCATGCTGCTCAACTGCACATGCTTCTGTCCCACTCACCAACCGCAATGTCTTCAGAAAATCACGCTCCCTTGGCTTATCACCGAAAAGGCAACACATGGGGAAGAAAGGAGGACATGGACCATACACACATACACACACACACACACACACACACACACGCACACACACACACACACAGACACACACGCACACACACAACGGCCAAACCAAAGGAAGTTAGACAATGGACAGAAAACGATCAAAGAGTGGAGAACAGAAGATGGGGAAAGTAGGATGTAAACAGAAAATAGATAGCTGTTTAGAGGATGAAAGTTAGTCACAGTGGAGAGGGGGTAACTGCTGGGGTTCCTCCTACAGGAATACATGCAGTTTATCTATATAGTAAGGGACATCACAGCATGATAACATTGTGTAACTTCACAAAGACTGTATCAGCATACTTCAATATAAGAGGAAAGAATGGCATGTTAACAGAGAGATGAAATACTACTGTAAATAACCTGCTGAATAACATGCAGCACATCAGTACCATGTGTCTTAGGCCAAAGCACTACAGCTACATACACTGTGCAGCTACGTGCTCTATATGTGAGCGATTAGACACATACACATACTGAACTGTGCATGAATTTGAACCCATATGATTTCCTTATTAACGAAGTTAAAAAGGCCGCTGTTTACTTCCACCATCCCTATTTGTTAGGAAATATTGTGATATTTTCGGCTGAATAACAAATGGAAAACGTGCCTCTAGGGGCCCTGGATTAACACTTTATCAGATGATGAACCTAACTACAAACAAATTCGACTGATATCTGTGAAAGATTTTTGTTTCTTATAATTTCCTGCTCATTCCAAGTCTTGATTGACTGGAAATTGATTACACAGCTGTTACCGTGATCACTCCAGCTGTGCTTTAATCACCGTAACACAGCAGCTTCCTGCGCTCACAAACACTGCTCATGATTGCATATTCAAGCTGGCTGTGTGTCCAGTGCAGTAATGTTTGTCCTTTGAGTGACTTTGTGTGCACAGAACTGCAGCAATGTACAACAAACAAGCATGGTAAAGTCCATAGCAAGTTATTCACTGTATTGTTATTTATCTCGTACAAACTGTTACATTGGTGCTGTTTCTACATATATAGTGTATCCATGTAGGGTACTGTATTCATGCTAGCAAGTTAACTTTTGGCAGTTAGTGAGTTAAAAAAAAAGCTAGTTAGCGAGTTAAACTTTGTTAATGACCAATTACTGGCTGCCAAGAATTTGCTGGAAACTCCAGTGGGCAACCAGAGAACTTTTCCCACTTGTTAGATTTCCCCTGATGTGTGTATAACAACTTGTTGTGGGTACCGTAGTTTATATCTCACTTGAGCATCACTGCTACAACTGTGGCTCAAAGTTCCCCATCTCTGCCTGTATTCTGACTGTACGCGCAGGAGGTTTAAAGCAGGGCATACTATATCACCTTGTTTCATATTACTTACACCTACTTGCACCTATTTGCACCAAAACTAATCACAGTGATTTGCACATCAGTTAGTTTCATAGATATCCCAGAATGGACAAGGACGAAGAAATGAACTAACGAAAAAACCTGCACAGAATTTTGAGTAGGTTTCAGTGAATGCTAAATCACACCAGATCTGCTTACAGACCATCAAATCCCAGGATTCCCTCTTCCCTCCTACCATCAGTTACATAAGTCAGAAAGGGGGGGGGGGGGGGTCTATATGAAGAGGTTCTCTCACTGTCCTTCATGGTGTCTAGTGACAATCTGAATGTTTTGTGTTTTCATGACACTGATCTCAATGGAAATTTTTCTGACTGAAATTTCAATAGGTTTGTTTTGAGCTCTTATCCCTTTAAGAAAAGCCGACCATGAAAACGAATATGACAGAAAAGCATGAACTCACCAATGTGTCTCCAGACAAAACCTCCAGCAGCGAGATCAGGTTATGTCCATCTCGTAAGTCTTCGTACAGGTCATTTATATGCTTCCGTACCTGCAGACAAAGAGGAAGAAAGCAAAGTGTGAGCAAACTGAAGGTATCATTACTGTTTACAACTGTTAATACACACTGTTACACACTATAACAAATACCTTTAATCGACTACTGTACATATAATCAACGTCTTTGAGGACATTCTTACATCTGGCATAACTACACCTCACGCATTGCCTTACTTATGTCATTCATTCAACTTGGTGTTCAGTTTCCGGTTAAAAAACAGTTTCAGTTCACATTTTACAACATGATTGTTTTTTTTTCCCTCACATTTCTCTCTATACTGAAATGCATATATTGTAAAACACTAGGTAATAATTGCCTGGGCAGCATATCTTTGTGACACCTTATCTAAGCACTTGAGCAAGGCACTTAACAAGTCCAGTCCTCCCAGCAGGCCCATCTCTCCTTCCTGTCCTAAATACCGCATGTCTGAAATCACGCTGCTGCCCGTTGACCTGCTTTCACACAGGGCTTTCAGCACTGTAATCCCACATAGCAGCTACAGCTGTGGAGCCAAAATAGACCTGCACCCTTATGTTATGGGGTCAGCCAAACAAATCCCCAACTATTACTCAGCACCTCTGATTTCTCATGAACCATACGTGTAGCCTGCTGATAAAGGCCTAACGGTAAGCTAAAGAGGCCTGAAATACATATACATGTGCATGTGTCATATTTTTATTGCAGAACTGTAGACATAAAATATAATTTCCTTCTTTCTTAAGCCAAGATTGTGAGAACGTTTCGTGAAACAGTTTGAGGTGCAGCCGGCACCTCCTGAAGGCAGAGCTGGAACCAGTAGCTCCTTAGGGCCTCAAGCATCCTTCTAATTATTGTCGTATTGGCAATAATAAATGCATTCCAGTTTGAAAACATCACACACAAGTGCTCATAAAACTAGTCATCAGCACGGATCCATGGGAAGCCCAGTCCCTCATCAAGTAAAGACTGGTCTAATTGGCAGAGACCCTCTAACTTACCCTTCAGGACACCAAGCTTTGAAGATGATTATCAAAGACCCCCCCCAGGGGCAAAATAGTAAATACAACATGGTAGGTGGAAAAAGAGAGGCCCACTGTTATGTAATAATTTAAGCCTGTTCACACTGTGGCACTTGATTTGCATTTCTGAGGAAGACTGGTAACGGGTTAGCTGCAGTGTAACCAGCTGTAGAGCTGGACCAGAGGTTTTGTTTTATAATGAACAATAAGAGAATAAGAGTCCACAGCTACACCAGCAGCTCTGTGAGGCTGTTCCCCAGCGCAGCAGTGCTTTAACATGCTCACGACAACAATGTTAACATGCTGAGGTTTAGCAGGTATAATGTATAATGTTTGCCATGTTTGTTTATCTTGTTAGCATGTTAACAACACAACATACAGATGTGCATATATTTGTGGATATTTTGTCATAAACCCAAGTATTGAACAAATTCAAATTTTGATGTGATTATAGTGCTAGATGAAAAGTCAAGAGGATGATCAAAATTAAAGTTAGTCCAGAGGATGACATGTCTGAATTGAGACAACAGGAGATCATCACAGACTGCAGGATTCATCATCTGGGAACAATGAATGTATCTTACACAATGTCGGGCAAATCCATCTAGGTTATATTGAGATATTTCACTTCACATGTGAAATCTTTGCCCTGCTGGTGGGACTAGAGGAGAGGTCAGGGAATCGCCAGCATTATGAGCTCCATCCTTTGAAGGTGTACAAAGTTTTAATGGCAATCCATCTGCAAACTGCATCCATTTTCCAAAGCATACCATTAGTTTTTGATTGATTTCCTACCTTTCCTGCATAATTTGCATTTCAATATGGTATGAAAATACCAAGTACTGAAATACTCTTTTTATTCCAGTGAATTTACTGTCACATGGTACTGCTTTTGAAAGAATGGATGATGGACAATAAAAAAAAAAAAACTTATCTCGTTGAGACAGCTTGTGCAAAAGCAACCAATTTTCTATGGTTGATCATCGCTCTCACTGGCTCTATAACTGAGCAGTGAGCTGCCAAACACAATAAGCCACATCTAGCCATTTTATTTTTGAGAGTTACTGCCAGGCTAGCTTGAAATGTTTCTGTTAGCTTGACCCCATTTTCTGCTCTCCACTTTTATCTGGCAAGCAAACGACTACTTGAAAGATGTCCAATTTTCAAGACATAATGCATCTAGTACCAACCAATTTCACGTCTAAAATTTTTTTAAAGTCCCCTTAATTTAGAGGTTATATCACAGATACATGTTTATGCCTTACATACGTGTATGGGTTCGATTTCTCAAATCAAACCCATCAATGACACAAGAACCCTATAAAGTACAATATTACATTTGATTCCCAAGCAATGATTTATTTTTTTTTTAAGAAAGGCGTATTAGCAGTGACTTGCCAATGCTTGTCCGTCTGCTAATGTGTTTCATTAAATTCAACGGACAGATGAAACAGCAGAGTAAAGTGATTCAAATGCCTGAGTCAACAAAAGACAACCTGCTGCTGCAGCAACATAGCAGCACATGTCATACTAAATGACTTTTATCAAGCTTTAATAAGGAGGGAGGAATGTTAGCATGTTGGGACCTAACATGGTAATTGTTATTACTGTCAACACCTCTCTAATGGATTGTTTAAGTTTGAGGACAACGTTTTGCTGATCGTTGGAATTTTAACTATTATTTAGGTTTCATCTCTGTATTAGTGACTATAGTTTCCATATAAACACATAGAGCGCAAATAAGTTTGATTTCTAGATCAGCTTCCATATTATGAAATTTTAATGAAATAGACTGGACAAACAAACTGTTCTTACCTTCAGCAGATGCTGGTTTATCCATTTTGTAAACGTCTTCTTCTGCACTCTGTCTCTTTCATCTGAGGAAGGGAGCAAGAACAGAAAACACGTCTTGTGATTTTTTTTTCACTTTATAAAGCAATCATCAGAGGTGTATGGGCAGCACAGATTTCTTTTTGTGAAGGTTTCTGGAGTAGCTTAATTCTCCTCTGTGTAAGCCGGTTATGTAGCCTATTAGGTTGCATGGCATTTAATGGCATACGAGGTCAGAGATAAATACAGAGGGCACAAATACATAGAGAGACAAGAGTAATGATCTGTTTTGACATGTGAGCATGTGAGCTCCTCGAGGTTTTGAAGCATTTCATTTTAGTAGCTAAATCCTCTGTTTCCTGTTGCAGACAGTCAGTTATTTATAGTTTCATTGAAAGTGATGGAAGCGAAGGAAGAACTAATGAAGACCTCAAGTCCCTGTGGCTGAAAAAGAAGGATGTTGTTACCCAGAGACTGAAATGGCATCACTCTTTCCTGCATGCTGCTGACCACATTATGTTTCTTGTTTCCCGTCACCATAGCAACCACACTTCCTGCCACCAGTGACATATGTGAGACCAGGATGCGAATGGATGCAATAAAATAGGGAAAAAAAGTTTTATCCTTCTTTTTTTTTTTTTTTTTTGCTCACACTCATTTTTTTTCTAGTAGTAGTATAATGAAGAAAAGGAACACCAGTTCTTACACTTCACATATGTTTTCTTGTCAGTATTATGAGCAACTCATATTTTTTGTCACCGTATTTTCTTTAAGACTGTCCTTTATGCAGTGTCAGAGCACAGCAGGATTCATGCCAGCCACCACAGCCATGACTCATGTCACGGCTGCCACGCCTCCCAGTATGACAGAGACAACTCCTCTCAATTATCCCTCAGCGAACACCAAAAAAACACACACGCACAATCGATCACATTTACAACATCATCTGCCAACTGGGTCGCATTCAGTTCACAACAACAACAACTAGGTGGATGACAATCAGCATTTTCCTGAACTTTGACCACGGGACTAACAACACAGATAACCTCCTCCCTTTAATTTTCCTCAGTGCGGATTACAAAATGAGTTTTGCTCAAGGATATCTTACCTACTATTAGTCATGAGCGAGCACAGACATGAATAATCTCTCAAGGAAATGACAAGAAGCAGTAAGATTAATACTGACCCATGCAGCACATGAGAGTAACCAGGTGAGTCCTACGCTCCCTCTCAGTTTTAAGCAGGTACTTCATTCTCTGCACCAGCTCCTGAGGGCTGTCAAGAGGATCGTGGTTCAGGTAGACGGATGCCATGTGGATAAGCGACTGAGGAAGGAGTTACAGTCGCCGTCTTCTTGCCTGACTGCCTTATTGCCTGCCTGCCAGCCTCTAGGGCAGCCGTGACTCCCTTTCTCATCAAGCTTCCAGAACGAGTTCTGTCAGGTTTTCCATCGCTACACACTATTTTGAGTTTCCACGCGGTTAAGTGTTTATCTAGCAGCAGCACTCAAAACCACACAAGAAATCAGTGCTTCTTGTAAAAGAAAATGAAGGGGGGAAAAAAAAGAAGAAAAGTTCCTTGCTGACATGTTTAAGGAATGACTGCGGCAGGATACAGTTTATTTAAGATGTTATTTAAGAGCAATGTACCATGATTTGTTCTGGCAGTATGGTACACTTGATTAATGCTAATATCTTATCCTGTGTATCTTGAGCAATATAACCATGCGCAACTATGTACCTTAATGTTCAAAGGTGAAAACATTCTCAGGTCATTATATTGTGTATCAGCAGAAACAACTGAGAACACATCCAGACAAATAACAACATCAACACTCTTCCTGATGCAACCTGAAAAATACCAAAAAAAAGGCCAAGCGATCTTTCAACGCAAGTTATTCAGATCAGATTTTTTAGTGGAATTCTACATTTGTTTTTTGATTATTAGTGTAGCAGTTACATAAGGCAGTCACAGAAAACGAAAGCAGGCCTACCTCTGACAGGGTGGCATCTTTTTCATTTGACAGTTGTTGTGGGTGGTTATTCTTATATAACGGACCAGGCTGACTTATCATAACGCCTGAAACACACATTTCCAGGACAACAGGGGTACCTTAAGAGTCCTGTGACTGTACTCTGCAGATTTTTACATTTAGTTCATCTAAAAATAGTCCATGTGTAAAAGCTGCTGAGAATTAGAAAGTGGGTTGATCTGACAATTTATCATTTTGTATGTTGGTCTAGATGAAGGCCTGGCATGAAGCTGAAACATCACATAAAAGAAGGAACACTTTGGCCTGTCATAGCAGTTTGACTAAGATGACTCACTAAACGTGATCAATGAAAGAATCCTACCAAATAAGGAAAGTAGTCTGTCACCACATCGAAACAGTGATGCAGTGAGAGGCCTTTACCCGGCAGTGCTGCTGTGTCATCGCCGATGCGTCCGTCCCTGTGACTCTACAGTAGAGCTGAATCACAGAGAGAGATAAAGCAGTGCAGTCTGCAGTAGGATACCAATTTGGTTTGTAATGCCCATATCTAAGCTCTCTGCTGCATAATATATAAACCTCCACTGAAAAACTCATTAATATAGATTGGCCGGGCAAGTATTCAGGGAAACTCTCCAGCTCAGATCAAGGACAGGCTGAAAAAGAGTGCTATCAGATGTGGTCAACAATAGGCTGCTGTGCTTCACATATTGCACAGATTACTGATAACAGACACACTGAACACATCACATCAACATCAGCTAATGTCAGATGGTGAGATAGCCGTTTTTTCATTATTTATGCCATCCCTATTAAATCTTTAATACTAGCAGCATAAACAGAAACAGAAGTAGGCAGCAGGTTTGAATATGCAATAAGATGAGTTATTTCTATACCTGTGCTTCCCAAAAAAACATGAAGGTGAGCTTAATAGTGTAGTGCCCTCTTGAGGATCTTATGAGAATAAAAAGTAAGGATTAACTGGTTTATTGTCAGTCCAACAGAAACTGAATGCTCCCATCTTTTAAACAGCAGTCTCAGATTATTTGGTCATAAAATGAAAACAGTGCTAAAGATAAATAAAGGTCAAATATCAGACATTAAACAAATCAGCTTTCCCCCTCTAACAATAACAATGACATAATGTCAGATCAAATATGATCATCTGATTCTCCTGACGCTGCACAACTTTATCAGCCTAATCAATCTCATCCTACTTATCAAATCTAATAAAATACATGATTATGCTACTTGGACTTTCACACTTTTTTACCTATTAAACCCCATATCTGATTTAATTAGCGAAAGTACAATACTGTGGCTTATTGTGCAGATATGTGTTCCATTTCTTTATTGCTTTTCTCATTATTTAGATTTGTTTCATATGGCTTACACAATGCATTTCTCATACAAGGCTTTCTTATAGTGTAAAGAGCCTCCAAATTGTGATCACTGACGCCAACTAGAACTACATACAGTACCTACTTTTACTGAAAATACAGTACTTATTCAAATCCACCACATTGCTTTACGTATTTAAGAATAACACAAATTTTCCTTTTGACGTTTAATCGTTCGCACACATTCAAGTAGTTAGATGAATCACATCCAGCAGAGGTCTGGGAACAGCTTAGAGTATAACCAACAGCTTGTGACCTTTGACTTTAATGGGTTGATGTTTGAAGGATCACATGAAAAAGCCAGACTAACCACCTGTCTCTCACGTTACATTTGCACTTCTTGACGTTTGGGTGCCATCTAAAAGATTTTTGCCATTACAGGCTCCCTGCAGAAGTGCAATTTTACACCATGATAGGAGGTTAACCTGGGAGTAATTAAGGTATTATTTACTGTACAGTACATACATACACACTGGTTTGTGGCCTGTCTGTTCCCTGACTAGAAAACTAAGCCCAGCACTAGCCAAGAGTCCACCACAGCATTCAAATGGACAGCCATGGAGCTCCTGAGACACTTATTTGTAGACCTCAGCAAAGCACATGTGCACAGCTATAAATAGCCACAACTCTAAACCATGCTGCCATTGAAACTGCAGGCCACATAATCTGTGGCACTTAGGTGACGTCCTTCATTTCCTTACGTACAACAAAGATGACTGATGTTAATGTTCGTAGTAAAGTTAAACTTATAGTAGAGTTGTCTTTGAATGAATGAATGAATGATAGTTACTAAACTGTGTCCAACAACGCACAACCAAACTGTTGGAAATTCAACCGGCAGCAGTAAAGTCTACAGCACTTCACACTGGCTTTTCATTACAATATTTTTACAAGATTCTTGGAACAATAGAACGGATAAACTGTTGTTTTCCAGAGAATGACCTGCACAGGGGGGGCTGGTGACATCCTTTGGCATCTCGTTGCGTCAGGATGCCTAAAATATCCTCACATGATTCTGAGCAGAGCAAAGTCAAAAAGTCCTCGCAATCAAAATCCAGCCTGTGTAATCCTCTTGACCTCGTATGGGAGGGGGATCAAAACAGACAAAGTGTAAACTGAAAATCCCTCAACCGTCCAGCGTATGACAAGGACTCGCTAAACATTCTTGCTCAACAGTTCTCATTTCACATCTTGTGTGTCATAACCAGCTCAGTGAGCAAAGACATGTGTGCCTCTGCTTTGTTTTGGGTACAAGGCCATATATTACGTAGCAGTGGCAGAGATTTTGAAGTAGGTACTGGTCTTTGTCACTGTTATCCTGCTCGAGGTTAACATCTTACACCTTTGACTGAACAGGCTTCCCTTTGATGAGTAGCAAAATTCTCAAAATGTTCCTTAAAGTACACATCGAGGGAATCTCCTTCATAGCAGCATAATTCCGTGTGTTCATGGTCACATATACACAGTCAGTGTAAAAGTATCCAAAAATAAAAAAAGCTTTGCTACATCCTACAGCACAGCTCTAGATCCCCTTCATGCTTCATTAGGACACGCAATGTGCAAAAGACATTGTTCACTCTTCCAGTGCTTGCGGAAATGGTGAGGCTGTACTATAGGAACAGTGGTGCTTTGAGCTAAATGCACAATGACCATACTG